GGGCTTGACATACTGGCTTGACATCTGATTGAGCGGAGTGAGCAAAGGCAACTGTCAGACACAATAAATATTGCAAATGATATCGAGTCATCTGCATTCTCAACCATTCGACTGAAGAAATAACTTTTCCTAAGCATATATCCCCACAAGCTACTGTGGAACCGAGAGACGCGCAACTAGAGCTAGAGTCTCACGGCGACGCGCGCGATAGGTCCGCGCGAAGCTGGTAGGACAATATATGAAGGAGATATGGGAGGTTGATCTTTACTTGGGATCACTTCTGACGCGGGGCGGGGGCAAAGTCCAGCATGAGATGAATATACAGCACAAACGTCGGAAGCGCAGTGTAATCACCTGGCGTACCACATCAATGTCCCTGTGAAACTCCATGGTCGTCACGCGTATGTCACGATTTCTCGTCTAACTCGTCAGCGAATACTGCAACGTGTTGAGTTAGCCTGGTGAGAGAAGAACTACAAACGAGCGCGGGACGACGAGAGCGGACTCTGAGAGCACAGGTAATCGGACATGAACACCGACGTGGGTTCTAATTCTGAAGCCATAAATAGATGTGGGGGGCTGTTTTGGAAGGTCGTTGATGAAACGTGGTTCACGCAATCGATGATTGGAATGACATAGGGGGTAACGTGGTTGGCAAACCCAAAACTAGCCGAAGCGTTGTATGGTATATGAACTCGGGAATGACGATTGGCTATAGCGCCACCTGATGGAATCCATGCCTGCGAGACATATAAAACGTCGCCTACCTTATCAGCTTACCCCCAAGCGAGAGACCAACTGACGAACCTGTGAGTACGTAGCCAATTATTGCCTATAATTGATAATGAATCACATTGATAGATGCCTCACGATATCGAGCTATGGCTTCAGAATGTATCTGTAAAGTCAAAAGCTCCACCGCCAGTGCCGCCTCCCGACGAACCAACTCCGAAGTACATATTTGAGGGCCATGGGAGGACTATTCGGGATTTTGTCTTCTTGCACGACAATATTCACATCGTGAGTGGTTCAGAAGACGGCACGATGCGCAAGTGGGACTGCAATGCAGGACTTCTTGTCGGAGAACCATGGAAAGGCGGCGGCGGAAGAATATATGCGCTAGCGCTGTCACCGGACGGCAAGACGATTGCGTGCGGGAGGGCAGATGGAAGCGTTCAGCGATGGACCTCAGACGGAAAGATGTTGAAAGGCCTTTGGACTGGTCACAGCGACTGGGTGCGCTCACTCTCATGGTCTCCCAGCGGACGCCACATTGCTAGCGGGTCCGATGATGGTACAATCCTCATTCGAAAAGTGGAAAGTGGAAAAGTAGAGGTTGGCCCGATCAAGACGAAGCAGTACTGGGTGTGTTCTCTTGCGTATTCACCTTTGGGAGACAGGATTGCATCAGGCGGGTGGAACAAAACGATTTGCATATGGAACATCAAGACTAGCGAGCTCGTCATCGGGCCCATTCATGACATGGGTTACGACGTGACGTCGTTGGTATGGTCGTCGGACAGCACAAAACTTTACTCTGCCTCCGATAAATTCGCACGTGTCTTTGATAGCATCTCTGGCGCACTACTCCATCGCTTCCAGCATAACGATCTCCTGTATTCCGTCGCACTTTCACCAATACACAATTATGTACTGGTGTGCGTGGGCGATCAAGGTATTGCACAACTATGGGACACAAAGTCTGGTCGGCGACTCGGTCAGCCATTTCGCCACGATCGCCAAATCCTTCGCTGCGTGTCTTTCTCTCAAGACGGGAGATACATAGCATGTGGTGGACACGACAGGAAACTCACTCTATGGATGGTCGAAGACATAGCTCCTCAGCTTTCAATCATCAAGGAGGTGCTCAATAACCCATATGACAAAATTTACCAGGTAGAACTTGTGTTTGTCGTGTACGTGGCACTTGTACTGATGAGAAGTACTTTTAGTCCCCCTTGCCTTCTCTTACATCAGTATCTGAGTCATCCGCCCCCCATCACCCCCACTTGTCCACGGCTCGCCGCTTCTGGAACATCATCTGTCGACATCGCACGCCAGCAAATGAGTCCATTCCACAAGGACACCTCAAGCGCGGCTTCTTCGCTCGTCGTGCTCGCTCCAACTCGGCCCCAGAGCTCACACCCATCACACCAAGCCAACCAACACCAAACTGGAAGGTCCGAGCAGGAGAAGAAGAAGAAGACGAGGAAGGTGAAAAGGATGACGATGATGTAAGTCCTTTCTCGATCCTCACACACTGTCAGCTCGACACTGATGTTCTGTGAGTGCTCAGATCGGCTACAGCAGACTAGAAAAGGGTAAAGGCAAGCAACGGAAAGGATCTCTTGCCGACGTGCAGAACCTACCAATACATGCTCGATCGCCCACCGCAATGGCTCCAGCAAAATTACGTCCCGAGAAATTTGCCGTGCGCGGGTTCCAAGTAAGTTTCAGTTCCATCTTGTTGACACACGTGTTCTTACTAGGGGTGGATGTAACAGGGAAAGTCACGCGCAGCAACATACTGCGCTCCTCTCGCTGCAGGATACGCAAGTGGCTCGTCACAGCCGAATTCATCGTCGTAAGCGATCTCCGTACAGGCCGGTCCATCGTTGCAATATTTGCAAGGGTTTACCATCGCACACGTCCCCATCACACTTTGTGACGACCCACCACACCAGTGATGACTGAGAATCTGACTTGATCCTAGATTGTTAGCTCGTGGAAGTTCCTTGACTCCCAAGTCCAAACTACTACGAATATCCTCAATTTCGGCTGGACTTTCTTGCGTGCTTTAGTCTGTATCTTTCCTTCGTCTTCTCTGGTGAAGGTCGATTTTTCCCTCCGCTGCCCAATCACTCTTATACGATGTGATCACGTTGTTTATGTTCTCCCTCATCACTTCATTCTATACTTGTTATACTCAGGTTAAACATCTATTTAGCATCAGACGCCTTGTACTGCAGTAAATCACGGTCAACGGCCTGTTGGAATGCCAACAGCTTTAGAAGCAAAAAGCGGTTGCGTACAGAAAAGATGCAATAGTAAACAGAACATTGTGGGGCCTGTGGCAAGTGACACGATGACGCCAATTAGGGGTTTCATGAAAGGTCGTCCTTGTCGTCATACAATGCCGAGTCTTGCGGGTGCTGCGAGAAGCTCCATCCGGTCTACAAGATTCCACTCCCACTCCTCAATTAGACAACTATATGTCAACCGCGCCAACCCCCTTCGTCATCACTACATCATCGATTTATCGCATATAAAATCCCACCAACGTCCACTCTCATCTTCTTCACTCTCTCATCTTCTTCACCACAACACACAATCAATAATGTCTTACGAAGAAAACCAAGGTTCACGTCGTACGTTGAAAAAATCATTGACAGGCTTACGATATTCATCATCACCATCAGGCAATTTCAACGACGACTCCAACTATGACGCCCCTGGCGGCGCTCAATGCACAGACCACGGGGGAGACCCTTCACTTTCTGGGTCTCATGGACGCAGCGGCAGAGGCCGAGCTGGTAGACACACAGGAAACCAAGGCTGTGTTGGTAGACAAGACCAGCAGAACTTCGGTCCAGGCGACAATTATTGCGACACAGACCCTGGAATGGCTGGTAATCGCGGCCTTCAGGACACGCAGAACATTAATGTCCCTGAAGCTGCCAGTGACCAAATGGGCGGCGAATGCGAAAACGGCTATGGCCACACCGTTGGCGGCGAAGGTCGTAGTCGCGGGTATGAGCGCGATTCTGATGAGTATGATGATTCTCGCGTTGGACGTCAAGGTCAGGGCGCCGGTGCTGAGACTGGTGCTGGTCGCGGTCCGACGGGCAAGACGCCTTCTATGGGCTCCAAATTGATGGGTTAGTCTCTTTCTTTTGCTTCGCGTTTATATGTGCCCATTTTCGTGCACAGGTGGAATAGAGAAGATGGCTGCCAAAATCACCTGAACTCGAGGCTAAGGGCGAGCAGCGCAAGGTATGTTGTAATTTTATAGTTGTACAGAGGGGATGGCTTATTGTTTCGTAGACCGGCTTCTAGGCTATTTCAAATGATCGTACCTGTATTTGTACCATGAGCGTGACTTCGAGGAAAGGTGTGGACGTTGTACCTACACACGAGTAGCAAAATGTCTGCGATAAGTGATTCTGGCATACGTTGAAACCGTGAATAACATATAGCCTTGGTTGTATTCTTTGTATTTTCTCGTCGCCAGAGCCCCTTGAGTCGGAATCGCTAGGCTGAGCCCTGCGAAGCGCATGTTGACAGTTATTCAGCAACCACAAACAAAACGGCTATTATCTCAATCCATGGGGAGATCAAAACAACTTCAATTCGACAAGTGAAGACATACCGCTCATCAGGCAGATCGTTGAAATCAGCCACTGGTGGTGCTCGGTTACACGTGTCTGCATCAGTGACCGCTTTCTTTGGTTTAGTGTCCCTCTCATGCACCGCCCCCAGCCGGCGAGCCGCTATCGATGGATCACCATACCTGCTTGCGATTTGCCTAATGTAGACGGTCAAATATAGCACTCATGATTACAGCAATGTAATGCATTTGGTTCACCACTTTCGCCATCATCAATCCCTACGGCGGACCTGAGAATGACAGTGGAACTGCTCCTTCTATACGATATCCTCTCCCAGTTGCCCGGGAGCTGCTGGTCTCGAAATACATCGAACCCTAAGTCAGCACGCTCGCGTCGAGTGTAAACATGACCTCCTTACCTCTTCCGCCAGGTTCGTCATGAGCTACAAGGAACTACCTTTCGAGACTGTCTAGGTCGAGTACTCAGATATTGCGACCGTTCTGAAGGGTCTTGGTGCACAACCTAAAAAAAGTTCCGACGGTTCCGACATGTTCACCGTCCCCGTGCTCAGCGACCCCAACACTAGCGTTCTGATCGGCGAATCCCTCGAAATTGCAGCATATCTCGAGAAAAACCTATACCGCAAAGCCCATCTTCCCGCACGGCTCTGAGATGCTCAGTCGCGTATTCGACTCTGCATATCTCGACGAGGCGCACCCCATCGTGAGGCTGATATTTGTGCGCGCTGCAGAGATCATGAATCCCGCGAGTGCGGAGTTTTTCCGCAGGACACGCTCGGAGATGTTACAACTTCCTTGGGAGGAGTTTTCACCTGAGGGTCCGAAACACCATGGAGATTGTGCATATCTCGAGCAGGGTTTCAATAAGGGAGAAGCGTTACGCACGAAGAGTGGTGGAGAGTGGGTTATTGGAGATACGTTCTCGGATGCGGACATTATCGGGGCAAGCCGACTGTTTTGGTACAAGCGCGTCTTGAAGGAGGATGAGTGAGCCAGGATCAGCTCTTGGAACGGAGGTGGGCGAAAGTACTAGATAAGGTTCAGCGGGAATGTCACCTCGCGTGATAAAGACGGTGTGAAGACCGGCAGCTTTCACGGGTCAGTGGACCGGTAACCTGAGATGCCTAAAGCTTTGTAATGAGTCTAATGACCCGTTGCAGAGTTATAAATACAAAGCAGTATCCCATACCAAGTACAGCTGCGGCCTGCCAATAATGCAACCCATCATCCTGTTCGATATACCAAGCAAGCTTCCCAATAAGGAGTGGGCGCCCAACCCATCAAAGACGAGGTGCTGTGCACATGTAGCAACACCTTATGGCCTACTCACATAAACGTCAGATTCTGTCTGGGTCATAAATGCCTTCCACATGAAATTATCTGGGTGGAGTTCCCTGATATCGCCGCCACCATGAAAGGCATCGGCGCATCTCCAACAGCTGGGGAAAGATACACTTTGCCAGTCATTAAAGACCCCAACACCGGTGCAGTGGTCTCCGACTCCCACGCAATTGCCAAATACCTCGACGAGACCTACCCTGACAAGCCGCTTATACCCCGTGGGGCACACGTACTCATAGAGACCTTCGAGTCCCTATTTATCAACACAGTCTTGAATCCGGCCTTCAGGCTCCTCATGGTCAGAACTCTCGAGAATCTGAATGACAGTAGCCGAGAGTACTTCATCGACTCGCGGTTGAAGATGTTTAGAGAAACACACTGGGAAGATATGGCTCCCGAGGAGAAGGCGCAGCAAATGTGGGCTGCGCTCAAGAAGGGCCTTGGTGTGGTGGATGGGTGGTATCAAAAGAGCGGGGGGAGGTGGATTATGGGAGACACATTCTCGTTCGCGGACATCGTCGTGGTTTCTTGGATGGCTTGGTGGAATGCTATTTTGAACGAACAGGAACGCCAGGAGATCCATGCCTTGCACGGAGGAAGATGGGCACGTCTTTTGGCGGATGTGAATTCCGAGTGCAATACAGATTTAGGCTCCTTTGACGAACATAGTCGTTCCTTCTTATGATTTTCATGGACTTGCTATGTAGCTAAAGAAGTATCCGGGCCAGTCGTTGTTCCTGATCATAAGGAAGAACTTAGAACACCGACTAACACCGATCGCATGCAAATGAAGACAAACTTATTATTACGCACGTGACCGCGTTACCGCGTATCCGAACGCGTCTGTGCTTGCAATTGAACGTGACATACATCCCCAACGATGAGTACTAGTTATGATGGCTTCGGTACGAACTGAGGCACTAATTAACACAGAGAACTCATCTTATCCCAGACATCGAGGAAGACTTTACACTGGTACCTGAAGATGCTCTTCAAAACCTGGCGCCAAAGGATGACGAGCTGCAACAAAGGGCTGCGCAAAAGGAAGCAGAGAAGGCGACAAATTGTGCTAGGTTCGTCGGTTATATCCCTGGCTCGTGTCGTAGCTCTTACAACTTGCGCAGAATCTTGACAGAAAGTAAGCTCCCAGCCACTGCCATGATCTGGGGCCACTGATGTGACCAATGATGGTCAGCTTTCGGTCACGCTGGGTACAAGGGCAAGCAAAAGGAAATTATTGAGGCCGCTATTTCTGGTGTGTCATGGCACAATCTTGCCGAAAATCTGCGCCAATGTGGTTTACCATACAGGATTGGATGTCTTTGTGTTAGCACCGACGGGAATGGGCAAGGTAGGGTTTGGCTTGCAAATAAATATCAACAGATCGACCATTATATCTCACAATAATCCACAGAGCTTGTGCTTTCAGACTTCCAGCAATCGCAGATAAGGTATGTTTTCAAACTCATTGCTCGACAGGAGCTGACTTACTGTAGTTCGGTATCTCCATCGTAGTTTCACCACTATTGGGTCTGTAGAATGGGTCAATCGAGGTTGGTATAATATACTGACCCATCAATGCAGCCCTGATGAAAAACCGTGCGTTGGGTGTCTGTTCGTCTTTCCATCCGAGACTGGACTGCATTTTGCAGAAGTATCGAGTCTGCGCCGCAAGGGGCTCCCTGCAGTTTCTTGGACATCAGACACGCCGAAGGGTGAACGAGATCAGGTATTATTGCTGCTTTTCTATACTTTGAGTTGCTGAGACACGTCCCATAGATTATCGAGGACCTTGAATCAGGGAAACCCCAAACTCGTCTTTTATATAGTGAAACTTTCGTGACCTAGAAAGCAGATGTGGCGAGCTGATTACAGCTTCCCGTAGCCACACCTGAAAAACTGTGCACGCGTGAAATGATGCGTCTCCTTGAGGTCGTTTACGCCGAGGGCGAACTTAACAGACTGGTTGTGGACGAGGTGAGAGCTATCTCTAAAAATCTGATACCTGCTCATCCATTCATAGGCGCACTGCATCTCTGTGGGCATTGTACCCCATTTCTCTCGGGATTTACTAACAATAGCCATGACCACAGGAGTGGGGCCACGACTTTCGTGAAGAGTATCGCAAGTTAGGTGCTTTCCGGGAAAGGTTCCATGGAGTGCCCATCATGGCCCTCACAGCAACTGCTACCGCGAGGTATGTCCTTCATACCGCAGGTATTTCCCTACTTGATTATGGCCCTGCCGTTCGGTACATACGTTCGGTTTGTGATGCCTCCAGTGTTCAAACAGACATCATACGTAACCTCAAGATGTCGGAAGAAAGACTATTTACCGCTACGCACCCCTTTAATCGTGCTAACTTATTCTACGAGATCAAATACACTGCGGCGCTCGACTCCCTATCTCGTATGTCAGCCGTGCACGACTTCATAATGACCCTACACCGTCGTCGGGCCCGACCGAGCTCTGGAATCATCTACTGTCGTACCCGCCTGGCGTGCGATGAGCTATCGGCCTTTCTGAGGGGAAAAGGAATCAGTGCTAGGCCATATCATCGCGGAATTAGGTGCGTCCGAGGCAGCTAAAGCAACGTTCTTGATGGGATGACGGTATAAAGTTCTCATACGCTTGATAAGACATTGAGCGAATGGGAAGCAGGTGGAAATGGCGATGGTGGTGTTGACGTGGTGTGTATTCTCCATAATCTTCAGTCGTCTCTCTCAAAATGCTTGCTTGAACTACAAGGTATGCGCAACCATTGCTTTCGGAATGGGGATCGATAAAAGCGATGTCCGGTTAGTGCTCTCTTTCGGTTTGTGCTATCTTTAGACGCTAACTCTGGTGATCAAGGTATATCATTCACTACGACCTTCCGAAAAGCTTCGAAGGTGTGTACCTTTCATCAGCCACTGCGAAGAGGGAACTTGACGTATCATGCTCAGGGTATTATCAAGAGACAGGTACAACTATCTTCATTCGCCAATCTCATTCTAACTGGTTTCTCTAACAGGACGAGCAGGCCGCGATGGCTGCGTGAGTTTGTCTCACATCTCATCTTCTCCTGCTTATTTCCCTTTAGCCATCCAAATGCGTCCTCTATTATTGTAAGGTCGCCATTTTATGCCAGCGATCATAAATAATGCCAGAACACAACTTACAGCTCGTGAAGATGCCTACCGCCTCCGCAAGTTAGTATCTGATAGCCATGCTAAGAGACAGCACGTAGCAAGCAACATGTACGGTCCTCAACCTAGTCAAAGATCCATCGATAGTTTCAGTGCAGTAAGTGTCTTTTCTATGCTGGTGTCAGAAAACTGACGAGCTCCAGTTGATTAAATTTGCGGAGAACGCGACTGTGTGCCGACACGTGGTTAGTCTCTTGCTGATCACTATCTGGCTTAGTTTGATCTAATCCGAACTATTCCAAGTCCATCTGCAAGTATTTTGGTGAAGAAATCGACGCTCACGATAAGGAGGTCGTCAAGAGCTACTGTGATAATATGTGTGATGTGCGTCTTTTCCTTTCTTCAGTGCAAACCAGGGAATTGAACACGCCCAAGGTCTGCAAATACCCTGATAAAACCCTGCGCAGAAAACAGAATCTCTCCTCAGAGGACCACGTTGCTGCACTGTCGCACTCACGCTCCTTTAATGGAGATGCACTGGACGACGACGACAGGGGTTCATTTTTGGCGCCTCAGAAGCCTCCTCCTGGTCAGCGCAATGTTGTTGTACAGACAGCAAATGGCGGGTTGAAGAGGGCCAATGCCGGTCCTGCCGGTTCGTCCACGAAGAAGGCAAAGCTAGAGCCCCTGCCACCTGCATTAAGTGAGCAAATACACGTTCCAATATTCCAGTTCGGTTAAGAGTCTACCTGACACCGTGATAGTCACGAAACCTTATAGTTCTGTCAATACCCTAAGGAAGCCATTCAAAACACCGTTCAAGGTGCCGTTCAAACAGCCTCCACAAGAAGCGCGTGTTATAGAGTCCTCGGATGCTAAGCAAACTACCCAAAAGATGAAGGACGAAACCACGATGATGACGAGATTGAGTTCGTCGAGGACAGCTTCAAGTCTGCTCGGCAAACTTCCTGGGGAGAGTTGCCGCAAGACGATGTCCTGGAAGAGGAGCCAACGGACGTCGGGCAAAGTTGTGGTGATGCCTCCATCGATAATGGTGTGTCCAATGCGAACCATAAAAATGAAGCTTAGTATCTTAACATCATTCAGAACCTCAAGCAGACCTACCCGAGATTGATATCGAACTGGAAGCGAGCATCTCCAAGAAGATACCCGTAAGTCGACACCTTACATGGCGCACTATAATGATGTACAATACTGGTTAGGAACCAGCGCGGAAGGAAGTCTTCCACAGTCTTAGGCAAGCTTTACATAGAGCCCTCCGTTGGAACGATAGTGATGATGGAATGTGGGTCAATTTGAGCAACGCTCCATCCAACACCGAAGCAAGGTACTCCTAACGTGTTCACGAAGCGCCCGTCCTGACGATCTTGGCTGGCATAGACATCTTGTCCTGGCAGAGACTGCTAAAGAGATAGAGTACTCTGTGCACACAATGTCTGCCACCGAGTCTGGTTATAAACAGAGAGCAAAGGCGAAACTGGACGTGGTCAAGCTCATGGAGCGCAGGGAAAGTCTTTGGCCGATTGGCGCGGCTTATTATGATGAGGACGAAGAGGAAGCAATCGAGATGATAGGATCGTTGAGGAGCATTTGCAGTCGCTGGAGAAAGATTGGTAAAAGAAAGGCTCCATAATCTCCTTCACCTCTCCCGTATGGACGTGGACGACATGCAATATCGAACATCATTACCATCCTACTGTACTGCCATTTTTGCAGTCCAGACACTGACACCTTCTTCCCTTTGACCCATCAAATGCAGGACTCGCGGCCGGCCGGACCCTCGGCGAAGGGACATGAGAACAGACGATCCCGCAAATCGTTTCCCTAACAATAACAATGTACCCATGCTGAGGCCATAAGCTAACAAACTCACCACCTTCATCTCCAAAACGGTTGCAAATAACAACTAGTACTTCGTCGTGCAATTTACGTTCGCCTGGTTTCTTGTCGCTTTCATTTGTCGCGTTCCGAACGGTCGCCCACAACGGGTTCAAACGCATCGCCCAGTAGTTCATTACTTTCCAGCTTGGCTCCATCTCATCTGCATCTTCGATCTGTTCCGGTATTGTGTGATCAGAAGAATCAGATACTGATTCTTCTTCTCCTTCTCCTTCTTCGTCAGGATGCAACCATGCATTCAGAAGTATCAAAAGCCGCGTGCCCGATCTTATACAATGTTGCGCGAGTTCATACGGGCCGTCCTCAAGCGACTCCCACACGGCTGGATCTTGTACATTAAGGTCATTGCAGATCGCAAGCGTGGTCGGACCGAGAGGATGGGGAAGCGTCATTGTCGTAAACCCAGTTCCAGAAACAGCCCAAGGAAGATCAGCTTTAAAGAGATTGGTCTTGCGATATCCCCCAACACGCTCCCCTGTGGGACCGTACATGACTGCACTGTTTGCACCGATGCGGGGCTGATGAAACGATAAGGCGTCGCCTCCGAGTGGAGGGGCGTGTTCATGTGCTTCGAGCTTCTCAGGATACCCAGCTACCACAAAACATTCAAGAGAACGTGCTAGCTCCGCACAGAATGTGGATGTGGGTCCTGTATGCGGGTGTTCAAGGTACGGTGTGATAGCAGCTGTGTCCGGAAACACATAGCCTGAGCGCCGCGGTGGCATGTTCAGAAAAACCCAAGGCAGTGACAATAAAGCACGACGACCGGCTCACCGGAGAAAATCATCTCTGGGAAGCATACGAGATCAACAGATCTGGGTCTTAATCTAGTAGCAGGTCGTCAGGTCATCTTCTAACGTGGAGCATGAGGCTGCATACCCCTTGCATAATTGTCCGGCTTTAGCGATATTGGCTTTCACTTGGCCAAGCTTGTGGATCATGATGTTCGATTATGGCCACTGTATTCATCCCCGAGGAACTGCGCACTGACCTTTGGAGCAAACTGCACGACCGCCACACGTAGCTGTGCAGGCATCATGATGAGCCTGGTGGGAGAAAGACCAAAACTTGAAATACCGATGGACCCCTTTCCCAGCGCTTCGATTGAACCTCATGCCACTTGAGTATCTCAGCGTCGAAATTCAAAGGTTATAATCAAGGTATTACGAAGAACGAAGGATAGGAGTGAGGTAAAACAGCATCTATTCGTCTACCTATTATTAACGATCATCCTTTCGAACATGCACAGATCTTCAATTAAAACTGTCTGCCCCACATACTACCCCATTGCCAGCACATTCCTCGCATGGCAGGAGTCCCCACATGAGGCCCGTAAATAACGGGTCTCCTAACTGCCACCCCGAGGGCCTGCAGTCAAGAGCCGCGATTCCACTCTTACGTTGGTTTACTCTTGCCCAGTCAGGGTCACCTAGTCAACGAGAACATGCCTCGTGTCATCCCAGGTAGACCCACCTTGTCCCCCAGAGCTAGGATTCCACAAAGCGGGGAACTCTGGAGGAGAGGCGATGGGCTGTCAACGAGGTTTAAGAAGTCGATCACTCACTCAAGCTGGAAGTGATTTTTCGGATTAGAGAGGGGAGTATCTGCAAAAACGAGACCATCCAAAGAAATATGAAGTAAAATGACAAGAAAGCCACAACGATCCGAGAAGCGAGAAACGAATAACAAAGCGTTCAACACAGAATAAAGCCAAAACAAGTATAATATAATGGACACCACTTGCATAGTAGATGTAGGGGAATAGCTCACAGACATTCACTGATCACGAGACCGCAACGAGGGACCACTGGTAGAGAGCTCGGCATCTCGAGATCCCGGACGTGAATGAGGTTCCTCTCTTGCAGCTGAGGGAGCGGGATAGGCATTCATTATGCTTGCAAATGTTGCAGGCACAGGCTGTGGGGCTGGCGCATTGGCACCAGCAAGATATGGTGACTGTTGTTGTGGGGGAGACGATGCCTGGGAGGTAGGTGTCACGATTGGTGGTGAAGGATTTGCGTGCTGACGGGTGCCATGTGAATGAGAGCTACTCTGTCGTCTGTCTTCGATATCCCTCTGTGAGGGAGGGCGGTACTCGTGGATGCTTAGAGTGTCGGCGGATTGAGGTGGTGGAAGGACGATGGTTGTGAAAGGCTGCGATTGCAGATGTGGGGGAGGGTGCGTATAGGGAGGATTATCATCAGCGTGTCCATCGGCGACATTGGATTGGTCTTCTGGAAGTGCAGGAACGACGGCCGCGTGTCTACCGCCTAAAGGTCTGTGTCATAATCGTGTCACAATTCAGAAAAAAGGATAAGAGGAGAATGAAAAAGAGCGGCCAGCATGAACAGTAGTACGACCCGCGGTACCCGCTGGTCCGCCTCCCACTCCAGCGATTCTAAAGACTACACCGGCCATAGGAATAATCACTCACCCTCCCTCAACAAAGTTTTGCCATACGTAATCGCGCAAGCGATCGGCATTTGGCAGCTCTTGGATCAGATGCTTGATTGTGTTTTGTCCTAGCCCAAAGAAGTCGGGGCCTGAGACAGAATTCGAGTGTTGGCGATTGCGGATAGTATTGGCTTGCTTCACAATCGTAGACCATGCGCCGGTGGCGGTGCCTGCGATTTGAGGACGATCGGGGACATCCGATGCGACGATCTTGAACTTGGGTCCATCCCCGCCATCGAGGATTGAGCAAGTGTAGATCGCATCTGTCGTGGGATCCACCGTCGATGAGTATTTTCTGAAAGGAGATTGATTAAAAGCATTATTTTCTTCCAGATAAGTGCTCACCGTGTCACCTCGTATCCAACCGGGAAGATGTACCGCTCCGTGTGAAAATGCTCTCGCATGCAAACCTCTCCAAGTTGGTTCACTGTCATGATGCCGACGGTGAGGGGCAGTAATGGACGTCTCTGTTTATCACGTGGAACAGTAGGGATGCTGTAGCTCTTTGTTGTGACAGTATGAGCCTTCAGACGTTTAGGCTTGGCATGGCGCTGAACCTCGGTTGCGCGAGAGGATGACGTAGGTAAAGGGGGAGCCCCCATTTGCGGGGGTAATGAGGGGGACGGCCCAACAAGTGGAGGCGTATTTCTAGGAACAGGAACCAAGGCAGGGTGCTGTTCGCCACCGTTGGCACTGAAAGCGTACCGGATCATAATGAGTAGGTTGCTCATCATGAGGGGATATCAATGGAGAAAGTGATGATTGGGAGTGTGCCGCATTGCTTGAAGGAATAGCATCATTAGGTGAAGGGCGCACAGGAGGTTTGAGGCGAAGACGAGTGCCCTTGGTGGACACAAGAACAGGGGTTCCTGGGCCACCTCCTTCTACGGGAACAGGGATCATGGCCATGGGGGGCTGGCCAGGCGGAAGCTGGCCCATGGGCTCTTTTCCTTTAACAGCACCACGAGGACGCTTTGTTTGGCGACGGGCTTCACGAGCCTCTTCCTCTGCGCGGTCTCGATGTTCGTCTTCTGCGCGCTTGCGAGCCAACGGGCCGACATGCCGCGAAGTAAGAAGTGGATCGACCTCATGGTCGTCAGTTTCTTCTTCTGCCATTGCTTGACGAAGGTTTGATACGAAAAACGAACGAGCTTTCAAGGTTGAGAGGGAACGAGGAAAGGCACTGGATGGCGGATAAGGAACACCCGAGACGTTTGGCTCAGAGTGCGTTTCAAGCTCACGAATGCGGTCGAGCATCTTGCTGGAGTGGAGAGTTAGACGAGAATATGAGATATCGATATTGCAATGCCACGCACTCTCTTTCTTCCCGAAGTTTCACATTGCGTTCACCAGATAACCTCAACTCATGCTGCGCTTCTTTATGTTTCTAAAACAAAAATATATTAGTGAAATCATGATGGGACGATGGCTACTTACATCCTCTAACTCAAAATATCTCCGTTTTAATCGTCGATATTTATCACCGATTTCCTGGTTATCTTTTGGAGGGGCCGGTGGTGGTGGTTGCTGGACCACTGGCAACGGCGGCGGGCCCATGACGACATCAGCGGGCGGGCCCATCGTTGTGGACGATGAGCGACGACGAGACATGCAAGTTTGTGTGAAAAGTAGAAAAGAGACCCGCACAAGAAGCGCGCAAAGGTTAACCCAACCAAGCTCAAACACGACTACACAGCCTAGTCCAACAATACTTCATTTTGTCAATGTCAAACAACCGCATTGACGTTAGATGGTAAAATTTCAATTCCATTATCTCCGATAGTTATGAACCATTCTCAAGGTGTATCTTGTTTTCTTTTTAAGATTATAACCTCAAAAACTTGGACGCAGTAGCGGAATTTGGTGTTTTTTTTTCTCTCGAGAACTCGTCAACTTTGCCACGGGGAATCTGCCACGGCGTTGAGTCTGCCACATCATTTCACCATCCTATTGCTCCCGGAACCTTGGGCCACGCCACTACCACCTTCCTTTTTTCTATTTCTGGTAGTCACAATCCTCTATCAAATCGGACCAAAAGAAGTACAAAGGCAGTACCGAGATATCCTGAGCTATCATGTCTGTAAAATCTAATAGTCTTCTGAATCGTTAGCATACTACTTTCCTGCAACAACCACCAGAGCTTTTCTACGTCAGCTTACTCAGAGGACGCCATATGAGTGGAAGATAAAAATAGCACTACTGCTCGAGTCTTGTGCCTGTGCCTCCCACCACCAGACACCAAGAGATTTGCCTAAAACTTCAGTACTAATCAAGAAGGAAGTCCATACTGGTTGGCATCCCTATCATCAGGGATAGCCCAGTCGACCCGTAGCAATTCTGTACCGTCCCTGCTCAATATTTAGTGACCAGGGCCATGCTACTTTGCATCAGGAACCAGTATTCCTGTGAGCCTGATTTCCAAAATCCCTTCCACGCACGTGAACCATCAGGACTAGCCCAAATTGAAGGCTATGCGGGTTGCCGTCCAGGCGCGCTGCAACCGGAAGATAAACGGCAGGAAGGCTGGGAAAGACATATAAGGTGCTACAAGCATGTGTTGTGTTACGCTATACAATGTACACAAGGAGCGCACCCACAATGATAAGGAAGCGGCATTGAGGAATTCATTTAAAGGCACAGCGAAGGCTCCGCGAGAATGGGTTATGAGCCAGTGACTATAATTATTCAAATGATACATCATGAAGGGCGACAATCACAGCATGGGTAACTAGAGCGTACTATCAGGGGGAGCATAATACTGAGACAACAATCAGATGATTATGTGTACAAAGAAAATGGTGAGATAGTGGATACATGATATAGGCGTGTGAAATCATACTTGTGAAGTTGCACGAAGTATCAGTAATATTCCATCCGAATGCGCAGAGAAAATAGCGTCAACAGCAATTTCCTGATCAAAAGTGGTCGAAGGTGTCGAAGACTGTCGTGGGCGGGAAGTCCCAGGAGAATGAGAAGCGAAACGTGGGCTTGACGGCATTCGGGAGTTGATTCTTGCATCTCGGCGCCGTGATAGCGGCGGATCTTGTTCATTTTCACCCCTTGAATATTGAATATTAAAAAGAGAACAAGATACGGCCAGAAGAATCCGGAGCATACCGTGAATCTCTGCCAGAAAGTAATAGCACAAATTTACCAAAACCAAATCCCCCGTCGCTCGGTTGCCCTCGCTCGTTGACGCCCCATGATTTGATAACATCGATCCAGCTGCGCACACTATTTTCCGTGCGACTAGTGACAAAGTCGAAGAAACTCCGACCCAAGACCTTGGTAGTCGAGAGGAGAAGATCGTTGGAACAGTAAAGGACCGTGCAATGAATCGAGAAGCGGTCAAGGATGAGTGCCGATCTTGTGGACTGGGAGGGCAGCGGACTAAAACTAATTATTGCTGGTTTCTTGCCTCGGCTGCGGTCGGATGACGCATCACTAGTGTCCGTGTCTATGAATGGGCTAGGCAGCCGGCTGAAGAGAGGTCGTATATAGGACTTGACGACATCGGTGATGAATCGCACCACCGCTGACGACTTTCAGACAAGCAGGGATGAATAAAGCATGGTGCTTACCCTAAGCTCGAAGTTCTTCGCAGAAGGTGTGATGACCTCGACTTCTTGCGCAGTAGATGCATTTTGGAGCGCCTTTCCGCCTGGTGTGGCAAATGATATGCTGCCAACCACAACGTTGTGCACAACGGTCCGAGACTGAACCGAAATCATAAATTAAACTCGTCAGATCGAGACTACTACTTACAAACGCGCAAAGAATATATCCTTTGAAGGGATCTTTATGCTTTAATCGGAGGTATGCGAGGGCAGCGGCTTTGTCTTCGCAGATGGTGTCACTGATCGATGCAAAATTTAATAATTCATCGGGAAGTAAAATATATCCGTCAACGTACTAGTGCATCTGCTTTACCTGAGAGAACTCGTCGGGATGTACAAGCTCAAAACCAGGGCGGCCTATAAGCTCGCGGGGTTCAAAGCCTACAACAGTGTTAACGTCAGAGGGGAATTAAATGGAAATCGTCGCACCTAGGAGGTCGGATACCGATTCAGTGAGGAACAACCAGCGAGCCTAGATAAAAGGACTTTGCTCGGGGGCGCCGACACAAGCAGGTAATTATGAAACTTACATCCTCAGAGAAGTCTACGATAGCGACTTCGAACATCGTTGAGCTGGTGTCGTATAGTCTGAGGTAAAGAAGCACGTACTGAATGAAACGCGTGGTGTCTCCGATTCCATAGGTAGTCACGGTTTAATGGATACCTAAAAAAATTTCAAGGGGGCTGGTGTAGTTCGCGAAGTAGGAAGAAGGCGCGAATTGAGTGGGTAAATACACTGACGCTTACACCAGAAAATACCGTCGGAACTGACGGAGAGAAGTGAGGCTGCCGAGGTCGGGGGTCAGTGGTATTTATCTCTTCGTCAAATACAGGGAGACTTAGGGTTGTAGACCCGAAGACGCTTGAACAGAATTACCAGAGTCATGGTATTATTTTTTGGAGATTGAAAAGATTAGGTTGAGAGTCATTATAATTATGTAGCGTAGTATTACTTGGGTATTACTATTGATTCCAGAAAGGATACGCTTCCGTAATGAAATATGCGATAGATCTGAGCAACATAAGGCAAATATCCTCGTTCATCCGCCACCAGGTCGATTCAAACCGTGCAACGCCTGAACAACGCGGGGAGGTTCAAGTGGGAAATCGGAGTCGCCCAGCACTAGAAGCCCAATCCAAGTCTAGTGCCCTCCCCTTGCTGTCAAGTTTGTGCCTTGAGCATTTAATTTCATGATCGTGGGTTCACCAGATCTCACACAGGCGACAGCTCACTCAATCTCGACCCGGCTCAAACGTTGTATACTCACCTTGTCATTGGTCTGTTCATCTTTAGCCGAAAATATAGAATGTGGTCGACTGCTCGAGACGTCGCTGAAGGCGACCTCGTTATCATATGGCAGGCACGTTTTTCACCCTTCCTGGTTTTGGGGTAGCTCACATGCCTTTGATTGATTCATGTCAGACTCGAGAACTTATTCAGCCTTTGCTCATAACTCCAGGGAAAGACTTCAACTCCAGGTTTGGATATTACCGGCATGCCGACTTGGTTGGAATTCCATACGGGTCCAAAGTCGGATCTCGCAATGGCAAAGGATTCATCCATGTACTCCGACCTACCCCAGAGCTTTGGACGATGGCTCTTCCCCATCGTACTCAGATCTTGTATCTTGCCGATATCGCGTTTATCACCTCATGGCTTGACATCAAACGCGGAAGTCGTGTAATCGAAGCCGGTAAGCATCAAACATTGGACTTATAGCGGACAACGCTGCTCTTCTACTTGGCTGCCTCCACGATGCTGCACCACTCCTTTAGTTGGGTCACAGCGAAAAAAGACACGTGGATCATCGTTCCATTCCTTGTGCACTACGCCGCGTTGATGCAGCCTCTCTCGATTGATGAGGAGATTTACAACGTGTCTCAGATTGAAACTCGTTCTTCCTATCTCGTTTTTATGTTCATCTCTCTTTTATTACCTTTTCCTTAAATGCCTGTGCCAATCGGAAAATTGACCTCCGTGGGGTGGACACTCATTTCACTACGTACATTACGCAGGTACAGGATCGGGATCGTTCTCTCACTCCGTCGCAAGGACGATAGGGTCGGTTGGACATCTTTGGTCATACGAGTTTCACGAAGCCCGTGCAAACAAGGCGAAGTATGTAGCCTTCTACTTTAAGTCATAGGAAAGAATTTTAATAATATTCTAGGGAGGAATTTTCGCTCCACGGAATGACAGACATTGTGACCCTCACACATCGCAACGTGTGCAAGGACGGCTTCACAGTCGAAGACACAGTTGATGCAGGCACGTCTCTTCCTTATCATACAGATTGATTACCTGAGTCGATTATCTATTTTCTACAGTATTCCTCGACCTTCCGGCTCCGTGGGACGCTATCGAGCACGCCAAGAAGGCACTGAAGGTACGCCCACCGTTTGTTACTAATCAACATGTCCAATTCACTCGGAAATGAAAAAGAAAAACATCCCTACTCGTATATGCTGTTTCAGTCCATGCATGGAACAAGTCCTTCGAACAGTAAGCGCCTTAAATGATTCGGGTTTCACAGGTATATTTCTTCTAAAATTTAAAGCTATACGCAAGTCTCATCCATGTACCCCCGTTAGATATCACGATGTTTGAGACATTACTGAGGCCTCACGAAGTTCACCAAATATCGCTACAGCATTTAAACCACGCGATCGAGAAACTCAAGAAATCAGAACAAAAACGTGAAGACAAACGTCAACACCAGATCGCAAGGTCGAGTAAAAGAAAGCGGGACGATTTCCCGGAAACAGACGCTGACAACGCGGGAGGGAAAAGGCTCAGAACTCAAGAATCAGCGGAAGAGGAGGATGTTGACGTCCGCGATATCCCAGATGCGGTGGTGGACCCTGCCCAACCTGCCAACCAACCTGCACCAACCAAAATGTCTGTTTCAAAGGCGTCCCCCGACGTTCGGGGCCACACATCGTATTTAACTTTTGCCCGACTCGTTCCCACAGCTCCTTCAATTAACACGAGTGGAGAATAAAAATCGAGTAAAATTGGAGAATCATTCTGCTAATAGATCGATGACATAAATCATAAAGCTATAAAGTACAGAGAAGCCCCTCTAATAGATCTACTCTGCTATCGCTCTTCTAAACGCTCGCTCCAACTCGGCTTCCTCACGCAATTTAGCAGCGTTCTTCTGCGGGCGAGGCCGCAGGACTCTGCCGGGTGTCAGATTTGGGGTTCCCTTGCTAGAATTCCCGTCACGTGTAGAAGCTACACTGTCGAATCTATGATCGTCCTCTGATGCGCTGTCGGTGTCTTCTCTGATCCGCTTCTTTCCATTTTTCCGCTTTACAGACGAGTTGCGAGTAGAAGGGGTATTAGTACCGCTCTTCATTAGTGCCTTCGTTCGCCCGCCTCTCACTGTCCTCTCAGCGGGAGTAGTACTCGACCGACGTTCAGGCTCATCAGGAGCGACGATCTCCGAGGCCTGTCTCCTCAGGTCGTCTTCAGCCAGCTCGCGCATGGATTTTGGCACTGCGTTACTCCGCCGAGAAGGCACTTCAGTAGATGCCTCTCCCATCTCCACATCTTCCGCGAAATGAAGCGGCGAATCGCGGGGATGTGTATAAGACACGGCAGCACCACTATGCTCGGGTACAGCCTCATCGATTTCGGCGCAATCGCCACCGGTGGTCGAAGAGAGTAAGGACGAAGGCAAAACGGCGTGCTGATTTTTTGGGAGATGAAATGGCCTTACAACATCGTCCGCGGTAGTGAGGTACCCTCCTGGTTGCTGGGGGAAAGATCAGGGACACGTCCAGGTCATAGGTATGTATAGAAATGAAACATACTTCCTCGCCTTCATGTGCCTCAGCATTCTGTGTATCCAACCAATGCTGCGCCGTTGCGTCACCCTGATCGGATGCGTATTGCTTGCGAAGGCGATCTCGTATCCGAAGCCCTTGCACGAGACGTATCCAGCGCTTGTGAACTTGATCCAAACGTTTGACACGAGCTTTCTCCTCTGCATCATTTTCAGCTTCCAGATAAGCCTGTAGACAAGGTTGAGTTCAGTGAACACAGCAAAGGATCCGTGATGTGGCAAGTTCACCTCCACTATGATAGTTTCGTTCTCCTCGGCCACAACAATTCCCTCAATTATTGGGATAGCTCTCCGCTTCCTGAATTCAAAACCAGTCTGGAGGGCTTGTCAGCGCGAATGGAACGGATGCAAGTTTATGACTCACCACTGCTTCTGCATAGTCAAAGCCAAGGCGCTTGGCCACTTTGGCAACGCCTTTAACTGAAAATGATCACAATCAAGCTCCGCGCAGCAGCAATCGCCGATTTAATCACGTACACGGAATATGAACGCTGCCCTCAGGGAGCATTGACGGAACATACAGATCAATGTTCCCAAAATCGTTCTTAGGGACTTTTCCCTGTGAACACGCATATCAACCATCTGTTAGAAGTCACCAATACTAAACATACGTCAACGACTGGCTTGGGCTGGTAGAGCTCCGTCTGAGACCTTGCGTATAGGCCTTGCATGTCCTCCTGGCCATCTCCACCGTGGGCATCTGTTCTTGCTTTCTCAAGTGCAACTTCCATTTCCCGCTTGCGACCAATAGTGACAGCACGTTGCTTGACCATCTTCATGGGCTGGTTGCCTTCCCGAACCACGCGCCCTTGGCGCATCCAATTTTCCGCGGTCTTCAGAGATATTACCGACGATCGTGGATACACAGGTTCGCCCCGGAACTTCCCCAATTCGACAGGAGGATCAATAACCTCTTCGCGTTTCAGATGCCGTGAGAGTACATATCTAGACTTTGAAATTAGGATAATGCACAGAGAAGTAGGTAACATTACGCTTATACAAAGGATGGCCCTTAAATCCGGCAAGAGTGGTGGGCATGCCCTCGGTAAGTTGATGGTTATACAGTTCTGTGTCCTCGGTGTCATCACGTTGCTACAAGATCCGTGAGACTGCGTTTACAAGCACAGAAGACATGACACACCAATCGATAGGGTCTAGTGACTAGCCGCACGATACCATCCCACCACTCTTTCCGCCTGCCTATCCCAACTCCTTGCACCTTCGCCACTTTAGCAGTGTAGTCTTTGGCATACCGTGCTGTCACGTCCCGGCCGAAACCATCCTCTTCTAGGGCCACTACGTAAATCATGCGATTTTCTTGCGGTACCACATTCCTGAATGCGTTCTCAGCGGAAGGGTCAAATACCTGACGCTTGTTGACGAAGCCACGAATGGGATCGATAGGTAGCCACCGGCCGTCTGCACGTGAAAAGACTTCTGTCCAGAACACAGGAGGCGTGGTTGTAGGGTCGGGGGCAGCTATCCAAGTACAAGATGACTTTTGATGTGTCTACTGAAATATCTAACATACCTTTGGGTCCAAGGTGTGTGCTTCCCCGACTTTCAGAAAAGTTCCTGGTCTTCCTGAGCCTGATGACCGGCCGCGCCTTCCCTTTTCCTTTCATTTGACTTCGAGCCGGAGTCCCCCCGGAGGATGGGTCGCCTAGATTGGCTTCCATTTCCGCTTGCGGCTGGGGGTCAGTTGTTTTCGCGCCTTCAAAATCGCTGTCCTGAGATAAAACATCAGAGTCTCTGGCTCTCTGCTTCCCCTTCTGTCCAGGTGGGGGGCGATCTTTGACCGAGGTTTTGAATCTGGATTTTCCGACACCAGACTGCCATGGAATGCTCTGAAGACTGACAACCAATCGAGCAGGGATTTCCAGTGCTCGACACAACGCCGTGAATAATTGTGCGCTTGTATCGCGAGAACCACTTTGCATCAAGGCGTGTTTCATAAGACTATTTGGACTCCGAATACGCTCCACGTCGTCGCTTTCCTTGTCGTCGAAGATTGCATTCCCACGCAGGGCAAGGTCACGCTTGTTCTGGTCGAAAGTCCTGTTTTTGATGTGTCCTGTAGGAAGAACGCTGAAAAATGTGCTCGTCCACCATTCTACCAAGCGAGTAACTGCGGCTTCAAATAACCGACCTCGCTTATTCTGGTCAGGTACACGAGACTTGTGTATTAGAGCAAAACCATTCTGAAGATGAAGTGGTGTTAAGGAGAGGAGTCGAGCCTGAAAAGTATTGACGGTCGATTAAGTGGACAATACAGAGAACAAGTCACACACGTGAAGAAGCTCATCGTTCAGCCACTTATTCCGCACTCTAGCATTTGCAAGGAGGCAGACAGTGTGAACCTTGTGGGTTCCTGGTCCTTAAGATGCGCTCAGCTCGTGCTGCTGCTGCCGCTGCCTTCCTGGATGGTTGTGTGTCAGCTCCTACGGGAAGCCATGTAAAGAATACGAAGTAACTTGGAATCATCCTTCTTCGTCCCAGAGTGTAAGGTGATTTCAATGTTTGCGCGTGGTGCCGGTCCTTCTAACTGGAGTTCCAACTCTGGGTAGGTTTCATGAATTTGCTGAGGAACATCGACCTCCTCCCACTCAAAGTCTTCTTCGCTGCTATCTCCTGAGATAGACTGATAGTCTAGCGCCATAGTGAAAAAATACTTAGTTGGTGGACAAGAGTCAAGCGGCTCACTCCTCCGCGAGTCACGCTTAATTGGTTGTCACGGCTCCGCGTCTATCACGTGGTGCATGTGACACACGGGTTTGTTCATGCTTACGTATTGAACTCCGCGACTTGATGTATTACTACCAACTTGAGCTGCTAAGCAGTGGAGATATCGAACATGCCAGCTGGCATGCCTTTCGCCACGCGCTTCAAGGAGGTCAATTTCGAGGTGAGCTACTACACAACAGTCGATCAATTAATATCTTACGTCCGTCATATAAGAACCTCATCGCAAATGCGGCGCAACGATCCGTTCAAGCAATCGGGCAACTAGCAACCCTTGCGTCAGATCAGGCTTGCCTCCCGAGTCAATATGAACGCATGATTCAAGTGGCGTACCTCTTGCTCGATGCCAGGCATATTCCATACGGCGAGAATGCGTCAGTCGATAATATAGAAGCTCCATGCGCTTCCCTCACTTTTATCGGTTCTACATTTTTCATCTGGATCTCGGACGATAAGATGTCGAGTGGCCTCATCGCAGACCTACTGAGTCACTGGAGCGACATTCGCCGCTGGATCATATATATTTATACCTCATGCATCCAGGAGGAGTCACTCCCCATCAACACTCGCCGGGACTGCAAGACCGCCGTTGTGACCTTGTTGGCGTTGACCCGCGATAGGATGTTAAGCGGTTGGTCGAGAAAGGTCGTCGCCGATACCAAGATAATGCCCTTGATATTTGCCCTTTGGAACCTTGAAACGTCGGATGCTCGTTTCTCATCTCACACGGGGCAATTCAATGCATATCGTGAATCTGTTGTCCTCAACTCCTGCTTCCTAATCTCGCACGAGACGAATACACCGATCGACTGGGATCAGGCTTTGCGCCCTTTTGGGGGAGAGCCAAGCCTCGTCTCGAGAACTGCGCTGGCGCATTTGTCACAAGAAATGTCACAACGTCACCTGGATCCAGAGTGTATAGCATGGGACGTACATATCGTTACAGCACTTTCGTTCCGCGATGACATGCGTGAGTCACTGCTAAGCAACGGAGCAATAATAACAATCACGGAGGTTATCCACCTCATCGTCGGACGGTCTTTCGATCCAGCAAACGTCACCTATGCGGCAAGGTGTATCTCCAATGCATCGCTGTTTCTCCGGATCCGTATGCAAGAAATGGACGGTATTCCATGGATGTCGGAAGCTATTCGGTCAGGTATTATCAAGGGATTGGTCAGATCCGAACGGTACATACCGTTCATGGACAACGACAAGGCTCGGGATGCACTTTCCGACATACTTCACTCCATCGTCCCCGCGTACACCGTCTATCGTTCCATGCTACTGCCCATAGCAAGAGCAGTGAATGAAGTGAAGGATCTTGGATTAGACAAGAGGCTGGATAAAAGTGGGAAATTATACGCAGGCTGGAAATGCCTGCTCGAAACGACCGAACGGCGAAGATTACTCAAGTACGATGGTCCTGACCAAGTTCACGTACAGACATGCCATAACGATAACGTGTGTCGGATCATTCATATTTTTGATGATACGTTGACGTACATATGATCAGTGTCGAAAAACAGTCACGACCGGTAGGCTCAAGCGGTGTGGAGGATGTCTCCACACGTATTACTGCAGTAAATCGTGTCAGCGGTATGACTGGAGGCGAGGAAAGCACAAGGCATACTGCACCAGAATTCAAGAACGTTCTGGTTGGTCTCGTGAGCGTCCTGCTGTGCTCGTTCAATGTCCGCATTAGCTTAGCATCTTTCTACAGTCGGAAGAATGTACGGCATATCACATCGCGACCTCAAATTCCTTGACTGCGTCATTGAAGACGAGCTGAAGAAACACAGAGCTCGCATCGCTAACCATGGGCTCAAAATCAACATCATAGAAATAGACCTCACCCATGGAGAACCAAACATCACCTTCGACTCCAGAGGTATCAACCCGAGCCCATTCAAAGCTCTTATGTCGATGCGAGCACTACGCGAATGATAATTGGAAACGCATGCGCCAACATTTTTCCAGGACCGACGAACCGTTTATCTTGGTCCGCGTGTTCATTCCAGGTGGGATATCAAGAAAGGCCGTCTTGCGGGCTATTCCGCTTTTCCAAGTACTGGGACATCCCGTGCGACAATCGCGGGTGTACGCCACTTACGTCTATACATGTTGTGGCAGACCGGGACAGGAGGCCAATAACAGTCCTCTAAGAAGTCTTACAGGAAGTTGACGAGTCGTGGAGTGAAGCAAACGAATGTGACCACCTATCGAAAAGTGGTGGTCATGAAATGGACTTGGACAATGTACAATGTACCATGTACGCAATACCTCAGCATCAGGCCGGGTGGTCACCTATGTATAGAATCAGATAACATTTATTCATTCACACTCATGAGGGCAACACTTCGAAGCGTCATGGAAAAAATACGGCGACAGCGTTGCGAGACGTGAGACGTGAAGTGACAGCATAAAAGGCAATAACCAAGACATGATGAAATGCGTGATATCGTGCAAGTAGCGTGAGCGTGAGGGGGATGAAGGTGTTGATAATGTGAAGGACAAATGTTGGGATGACAATAGCAATAGATAATAGCAAGTGAATGATGAAACTTGATGACGAGCAGGGTATGTATGCTCCAAAGGAGGGGACGGGAATACGACCAATCATAGCGACAGAGAAAACAGCAACCATGTGCACCGAAATATTATAACCAAAACCAAGTAAGTGATGCGAGTGTAAATGATGAATGAGCAATGAGCAAGTGGAAGTGGAAGTGGAAAAAAAAAATCAAAAGAATAATGAATTTGCTTATCAGAATCAAGCAACAATAGTGCGGGACATTCCTCTCGAGACCGTCCTTCCAGGCACTATCGCCTTGATCGCGCGACGAACGAGCGTAGCAGTAGCAGTGTTCCTGCTCTCCTCTTTTGACGAGCGTGACGCGCCTGCACTGCAGGACACGAAACCCAGCTCATCTACAGAGGGATTGCGCCACACGTCATCACTAGACACTGGCTGAGGCATCGCCCGCCGAGCCGAGTTAAACACCTTGAAGTTGCGCGGGTGGCTGTTTGTCGGCTTATACTCCAAAGTGGAGGTGTTGTGAGCAGGTTTGAGGTTGTCGGATTGGTATCCCTTTCCGACACGCTTGACACCTGTGGTAGACATCAGGAAGCGGTCGTATACACCCTCTACACGACGGCGGTCTGGCGAATTGATGACTATCTGCTCCCCAGACTTGCGCGGTGGGTAAGGCTCGACATGGAAAGGAGACGCGGTAAGATCGCCATCATCGAACAGAATCGACCGCCGTCTGATCGGGTTAGGAGTTTGCATCCCAGTCCCGTCCATATCACTCGACTGTCGCAAGATAGGAGGCGCGATGAAGAGATTGCGGTCCAGGATGGCGGACAACCGGGGTGTAGGCGTTGCTACTGCTTCTGCTTGAAACAATAAGCGACCACACCCGTAACACAAGCAAAGAGCCCACCTCTGGTAAGATCAAACTCCAATTTATCCAAAGGCCTAATATGCCTGTCCAAATTTCCATGAGACCGCGACTTTTCCCTTCTCTTCGACGGCGAGGCCAAGGTATCCATGTCATTCTCGTCAGCGGCCTTCGGCGAGCGCGTCGAGATTGTAGCGCGACGCGGGCGGCGGGGGGTCTGAGTAAGTATGTTGATGGTAGGCACAACAACACGCTGCGGGAACCCAGAGTCATTAAGAGACATATACCCCGAAAACGAGTTACTCTGATCTGCAAGAGCCGACCGTCCAGGGGAGAGTGGCACATTGGGATCATTACAGAAAATCTCACTCGCAGCAAGCACGCGCCGCGGGAGACGCGAAGACGAACGCGATGTGTTGACGCCACCGCGCACCTGCGAATTAGAGCGTGAGATGGGTGGTGCGAGAGGAAGCGCGGGGGGTGGAGTGATGCTGGTGGATGCAAATGCAAAGTTCTGGCGGCTTTCCTCGACGACTCCTAAAATTTATTTGCATGAGTTTTTCAACCCTTTAAGTCAGGGTTGAAACACCCACTCTCCACGTTCTGAATCCAGAGATTCATCCGGTCAGTAGCTGTCTCTCGTTCCTTCTCAGCAGAATCCTCGGGACGAATTTCCTCGTAGCTGAACCTCCCAGCTTCACCCGAGCGGCGCTGCTCGAACTCGATGGGCTCCGGGGAGGCACACCATACAGGCGTCGTACGACCATTTGTGATCTGGCCAAGCGTCGAGGATTTGTACATCCGAACACCTTTGTCTGCATCATCAAAGTTCAGAATCGGGCAAACGAGTAATAATGAGAGAATGGGGGACAAACCAATAGAAGCTTTCACGCTATGCTTGAGCCCCACGAAACCAGACTCGCTCGTCCGGGGCACCTCACTCGGGAGATTACACTCCGCTGCACACCATCATCAGCACATCCCAAACAAACCCACAAAAAGAAATACCCACCAGGCGCCGTCGACGCCGAATTAGTCCTATCAACCACAAGGGCCGAAATACTCCCACTCCCCATCGTCAACAACTGCGCACTCGCCCTCACTCCCATCTTCGCAATCTCGATATGCTCCGCGCTCAAATCCGCGCGATAGCTTGTGACGTTCGGATCAGTCTCTCCGTCCGTATCTGTCTCTTCTTTCTTCGCCTCGACTGTCACTTCATGCTTGACGTGTACTTCCACGGGACTCTTCTGGCCGCTTGAAACGGGACGAGGATGCTCCTCATGCACCTCCTGTACCTCCTCCCTTCCAATGACAGACTCCACTTCGTCATCGCTCAACTCTGTCTCATCATCATCATTCGCCGATGTCATGATAGACTCAGCCTCGCGCTGCATCTCCGTCAGCCTCTCCATCTCCCTCAACCGCTCGCGTTCACGCTCCCACTCGCGCATACGGTCACGCACGCTACCTTTGCCTATAGTCGAGGCCGTAGTATTGGCCACACCGCTGACATTCACGGCTGTCGATGCATTCGGGAGGTCTGCAGTGGACGCATTGGGGGTGCGGTGCTCGTTCAAACTCCCCCTAGACTGTATTCTCCCCGAGATTGAGGTCAATCCGCGAAACGCTTCTGACGTCCGTCTTCGAAAGATTCCGAAGATCCGGTCTTGACGCGCTCCTAATATCCGTCCTCGAAACATTCCGCAAGTCCGAAACGCTCCTCAAAGTGCCCTTCCCCCTCGCCTTTGGCAGCCCATGCGCGCCCAAATCCATGTTCTTGGCAAAGCCCGTCAAGTCTGCTAATACACCCGCACGAGAACGCGAGCGGGGTTTACGCCTGCTCATCTTTGGCGTGTTGTTCTGTTTGCTGTTGGGGGTGTTTTCTTTGCTGTCTGCGAGTGGCGAGTTTTCTTTGCGCGGAGTATTCTCCCTTCCTGCCCTTGCGCCCTTCTTTCTCGCGCCTTCCGTGTCCCTGAGCGCGAGGTTCGAAGGGATTCTCGATCCCTAGAGGTCTCCGAACCGGCGAGAGAGAATTGAGCGAGAACAACCCAGGGCTGCTGCTCGTATCACCACTCATGTATGTCGTATCGGGGCTGAGAGGAGCAGGTTCGAGTTTCTTTGCACCCCTGACAACAGGTGAACCTTGTACAGTCGACAACTTCCTTCCATGGCGGTATCCATCCGCATGAGGGTAAGGTGCGCGGAGCTTAGGCTGCGATTTCGATTTCGATCGTACGTAGCGCCTCTCACCAACGAGGACGTCTTCCCTCTCCTTTTCAGGGGTGCGGGAGACGGAGCGAGATGCTGAGGAGCGGGATGTAGAGCGAGAGTTGGAGGTCCAGGGGAGGGAAATGTCCAGTAGTCGGGAGACAGACGCGTCTTTGGGTACATGAGGGTCTTTAGGAGTGGAGGTATCCTTCGCTGGTGGAGAGGTAAACGAGGACGAAAGTGTGTGCGCGTGCATTTGGTTTGCGGAGGGAACTTGCAGCAGATGCGGATGTCTCTGTGATGGATATGAGTTATGCGCAATGTGATGAGGGTGAGATGTGACTAACTGTGTGCATCTGGAATTACAGTTGGACCTGCAGCATGCCAATAAGAATCACACATCGCATCTTTCGCCGTACACCTCAAATCTGCGTTGGGAACGATCATGCGCTTGAGAAGTTTCTCCGCGGGCCTGGGAATGGTGTATTCGCCAACCCATTTGCCGCGCATCTATGTCACGGACATCATCAGTTTGCACTTGAAAAAAATCGCTGAGAAAAATACTCACCGTCCTACCCCAGTACTTCTCCAAATCTGCTTTGCTCGCAAACTGCTCGCCCTCTTCGTATTCAAAGGGTGTGCGACCAATCAATATCTCGAAAAAAGTGACACCAAGTGACCAGATGTCAGACTTGCGGGTGTCATGGGGAAGGCCACGAGCGCGTTCGGGGGAGAGGTACTGTATGTCGTGAAAAGGTTAAATGACATGTTAGTAGAGCGGATGCGGAACACGAACCTCAGGAGTGCCGTATGTCAAATTACTATGAAATGCTTTAGGGGAAGCAAGATCGTACTTCTCCGCGAACCCAAAATCGACGAGTACGGGTACGTTCTTGTGGGAGAGCAGGATGTTAGCGGGTCTGGTGTGGCACATCAGCACAGTTCACAATAAGGACAGGACGGATAACGTACTTGATGTCGTTATGGACGACTCCACGCTCGTGCAAGAAGTTGACCCCACTCAAGAGTGAGCGAAACCATTCTTTTGCGCGGGGTTCGGAGACTTCGACAGGGACGAGGGCCGGCAGATATGCCCTGCAAGGAATGTGATTTCGTCAAATGCGAGACACAAACGGTGTAAAGTAGGACATACATCGTGATAAGGGCGTATGATGGGGTGATGATGAATGAATGGAAGGGGATGATAGAGGGATGCGGATCGGCCTTGAACGAGCGCACAATCTTCATCTCGTTCCATCTACACGCGAATGAACATGTCTGAGTCATATTACACACCACGAGGCAGGCGGACTTACAGCGAACGCACACGCGCAGCGGTTGTGCTGGTCTTGGAGCGGTGGACGAGCTTAACAGCTACTTCAACGTCCTTGTGCAATTCAGACGAGGAACTGGATTTAGGACGGCACAGCCAAACGCTGCCCCAGTTTCCGAAGCCGATCTGTGGATGTCAGTGTCAGGGTCATGACTTGTTCGGAAGAGGGGACAAGGGACGCACCTCTTTAACGAAATGAAGACGTTCTGCGAGGAGGTGGTCAGAGAGGGAGAAGACATCATTTGTTTCTGGTACTGGGGAGTCCATGGTTAGATGCTAAATGAATCCGTTGTATGAGCTTGCTAAATGTATAAGACTTGGGGACTGATGTGGGTATACAAGTACACTGGCAAACGTGAGCGAGAATCAAAGTCGAGTTAGAATGAGAACGAGTACTGCTCGTCGTCGTCTGCTGTGATGAGCAGAGACAGAGCCAACTATCAAGAAAATTAAGTGAAACAGCTTATTCAAATCACATATCACACTTGAACACTACGCAAACACATCTAAATAACGCGTCCTTGACTTCACAGTCACGTTACTCAATCTATCTATAACCTTATTGTCTACACTCTTCTTGGGTTCACGATATTATTGCTTTTCTAACTTCCGATTAAGCTCAAGAAGCAATTGTATGTTATGAATTCTCGTCATGCCATGGGTTTTACTGCAACTCATATGCTGGTCAAAGTTCATACGGCTGGGATGATGTGGACTTCTCCCTGGACATGTGAGAAGCCTATAAGGCGCCCCGGAATGATCGGGATAACGTCCTTATTGTTAACGCGTTGGAAATCCGAGATCTACCCCGGGAATTTAGTAGTTCACCACATGGCCAGATGCGGGGAAGGCACAGCGAGGAGGGAGATCAAGCTTACCAGGGAATCGAAGAGAGCAGCCCATACTGCATTTCTGATGCGGGGTGTACCATATGTCACGCCTAAAAATTCCAGCTGTGAGTATCCTGCGCCCTTGCAATTGAAAGTGAGTATGGACATACTAAGGCCAGGGAGTGTCCTACCTGTCCTCGAATATATGCATCTAGTGTACGCACGTATACAGGGAAGTTAGTTGGATGGATTGAGCAGAGGTGGAGAAACGTACCCATCATTGCCACAGGCACCATGAATTGTGTTCGTTCGTGCTTGGTCCTTACCCTGCTAACATTGAAAGAATCAGTCTTTCGTAGGATATCGATAAGTTAGAACGGAATCGACCAATGAACCAGGGCAGACGTGCAATGGGTGTTCCGCGGCCGCACGAGGAACGGGTCTAAGGGAAGGGGAAAATGCATACAGGCAATAAGGGGAGGGCATTTGTATTCGTGGTCACTTTTGATGGCACGCGCAGGCGCTTACATGAATATCAAATGGCCAACCAGATGCACAGTGAGGTCACCCGACATGCCAAATTCCACTTGCACACCCCGATCTTTCTCGTTCTCGCACATGCGATTCGCAAATGAGTATCATATTAGCTCACTCAGATATCGGAAAATATGACAAGGTGTCTGGTGGGAGGGCCCTTTGAAAGGGTGCGGGATTGCGAGGACTCGAAGTACAAATGGTCGGAAATAAATGGTAATGTGAGCTGAGAGAAATGCATGGGTGTGATTGGCAGAAGCCATGTTGACGAATGAAGGTCGGCGTCTGTGTCTTGAGTATATGCGCAAGAACATGGTTCACCAAGCGAATATGATATCGTGAATGGGGTGTATGATATTAAGAGAGTAGTGGGGATCACGATTTTCCCAGCTGAAATGGGAGGAATTGCTGTATGGCCGCATGAACCTGCGGATTGACGATTAGCGCCGCCTCATGGAATCCATGCCTGCGAGAATATATAAAATACGCCTACCTTGCTAGCTTTCTCCCAAAGAAGATACCAGCAGACCAACCAGTAGGTGTCGGTCAACTTTTCGCCCCGCATAATTGACCACAAACCGCCAGATTGACTTACCAGACGCTTATGGTGACGAGCTACCATGGCTGCTAGATCCTTTGAAAGGCGGACCCTCGAGGAAACTTCAACCCCAGCAGAATCCAAAAGATTCACTCCGAAGCATGAATTTGAGGGACATGAGGACGTTATATGGAGTTTCGTCTTCTTGCACGACAACGCCCACATCGTGAGTGGTTCGTTTGACGGCACGATGTGCAAGTGGAACTGCGACATAGGATGTCTTGTCGGAGAACCATGGGAAGAGAAAGGTGGAAGGATATATTCACTGGCGCTTTCACCGGACGGGAAGACGATGCGTGCGGGAGGGCGGATGGAAGTGTTCAGCGATGGAACACTGAAGGAGAGATGATGGAAGGACGTTGGAAGGGTCATAGCAAGGCGGTGTGGTCGCTCTCATGGTCTCCCGGCGGAGGCCATTTAGCCAGCGGGTCCAGCGATGGAACAATCCTCATCCGAAAAGTAGAAACCGGAAAAGTCGAAGTGGGTCCAATCAAGACGAAGCAAAAGGGGTGCTTACACTTGCATATTCACCTTCAGGAGATAGAATTGCATCAGGCGGGTGGAACAAACAATTTGCATCTGGGACCGAAGACCGGCAAGCTTGTCGTCGGCCCCATCAAAGGCCTGGGTATTTCTGTGACGTCATTGGTGTGGTCTTTGGACAGCAGCAAAATCTATTCCACTTGCGACGAATTCGCACGTGTTTTCGACAGCACCTCAGGCGAACTACTCCATCGCTTCGAGCATGGCAGATCCTTATGGTCTATCGCACTTTCACCCAAAAACAATGTCCTTGCATGTGTGGGCTTTGGTGGTGTCACACAGTTATGGGACACAGAGTCACATCAACCACTCGGTCAGCCATTTCAGCAGGAGCGCCAAGACCTTTACTATGTGTCGTTCTCTCGAGATGGAACATACCTGGCATATGGTGGAGGGAGGAAAATCACTCTATGGATGGTCAAAGACATAGCTCCTGAGCTTGCAGTGCCCACACTTCAACAGGATCACAGTCAAGGCACACAGCAGGACACTCGACTTGAACCCCCATCATCCTCTTGCCTTGACGTCGGTATTCTCATGTTTCATTGCCTTTCTTGCCTTGCTTACAGGACTTGTCACAGGCTGATGCTACAGGGGGTGATGGTATCATCGAGGACGCGCACGATGATCCATACAACAACTTTTTTGAGGTAAAACTCTTTATCATGCAACGAGGCTGGTACCGACGGTAATCATCGCAGTCTCCCGAACCATCTCTTCCTTTGGCATTATCTGGCCCCCGTCTCCACCGCCTATTCTCAGGTCGCCACTTCCGGAACCTCATCTCTCGACATCGCCCTCCAGCAAACGAGTTCACTCCAGAACAGTGCAACAAGCGCAGTTTCTTTGCACGTCGTCTTCACCAAAACCCGCTTGTGCATCCCACGCCCAACCAACCGATACCTGGAGGGAAGGCTCGAGCAGGAGAAGATCACGAGGAAAGCGACCAGGCAAGTTATTTCTCGGGTTTCACACTATCACTTACTCATGATGGACCGTCAGTGTTCCGCGAATGCTGTGCTCGACGCAAGCAAAGCAAACAAAGACGAAGATGATGAACCTTCCATTGATGCGCACACCCCACCACCCGATGATCCCACTTCCCCCGCCGAGCTCGACAGCGAAGACAATCGCATTATCTGGAAATGGCTGACACTCGGTCGAGGGAATAATCAAACGTCTGCCACAATGGCTCCAACGAGGAGATACGAACGCTCTCCCGAGGTCGTCGATATATATGCTGCGCGCGGGTTCCAGGTAACGTTCAGTCCATCTTGTTTACAATTCTGTTCGTGCTGAGGACGGGAACGACAGAGATACGTTGCGATGAAGCGGGTCCGCAAGACAAAGGCATCAGCAGCTACGAGCGGTGCTACTCCCGCCGCAGAACACGCCAGTACCTCATCACAAGCCGGTCCATCATCGCAAGTAGTCTTTGCCACTGCAACACACGCGAGTAGCTCTTCACAGGCGGGTCCATCGTCGCAAGTTGTCTCTGTACAGGCAATATCGTCATCGCAAGGTATAGCTGTACACGGAGCGCAGCATTCGCAAGGCACTGCAGGTTCATCGTCACACGGTTCCCCATCGCGCTTCGTCACGTATCACACCGAGCATGGCTCAGATTCGGACTCGAGCATAGAAGGCAGCTGCAACAGATTCCTAGACAGAATATGTTTCCCTCGCGGACACTACCACGATGATTAGGGCGGTATCGACTGGATTTCAATGTACGCTTTGGTTGTACGTTCCTTCGTAGAGGTGCTTTTACTTCCGCTCGCAACTCATGATACTGCATTTGTCACTACATTCACTGGTAGTATCGACATATAGGTTATTCCTCTGTTTACATGGTTTCTTCCGCGGCAACCTAACCATGGTCGGCTACAATGCAAGTGACGCCTAACCTTCAGAAACGTTGTTTGGATCCAAGGGCTTTGACCCAACAACGACGGACAGCTTCTAGATGTCAAGCTTCAAGCTCAAGTTTGATCTCCCCAACAGGGTCTACATCATTCTCTATTGTTCTACGTCAGTTTTCGAGATAACGTTTTCGATCCCACCAACACTCGAAGGTTGTTTTTCCACGTGCCAACAAAATGAAACTAAAAACTCACCTGAAACCCGCGCACGGAGTAGACGTCAACGACCTCGGGTTTCATCACCGGTGTCATTTGTGCGGAAACGAGATCCTTCCCTCAAGCGCGCATTAATCGTTTCCTATAGTTGCGATTTTCTTTGCCGGTAAGCTTGATGGTAAGAGGAGGGTCTTCTCGTTGCTCGACTTTACCCTTACTCGTGGTGAGCGTAGTGTTCGCAGGACACTGACAAGCCATGCGTTGAGACAACAGTGCGAGAGCTAGATCAGGACTTACATCGGGTAGGCCGACATTCTGCTCACTTTCATCGGATTCGTCTCCTGCTTGGGCCTTCACTTCTGGCGTTCGTTGTGAGTTTGCTGGTTGCGGGCTGCAGGGGCGTGTTTGAGTGAGCATGACGCGTGAACAAACCGCGCTTTGGATGTTCTTGCGGGGACTCGTCTGCTGGTGGTCGGTGTCGAGAAATGATGTTCCAGCAGCGACAAGCCGGTGGTGAGTGGGAGGGCTGAGGGTGATCGGATGATGCTGGAAGAAATGGCTGGGAAAACTACAAGTATGTATGTCAGCACCAGTGCCCTTTGCACGAACAGGAGTTTTACCCTGAAAAAGTGGTCGTAAGGATCATCGTGCCCTGCTTCAATGATCCAATCACCCCGATGGCTGTGTAGCATCAGCCTGTGACAGTTGTGTGAGCAAGGGGAAAGACGAGAAGTCAAACATGAGTAGTAGGTTTTGACATTAAGGAAAGACGACGACGGGGACTCGGGTCGAGATGCCTGCTGTCTAGCTCGATTACGACCTTGATGAAATATAGGTACTGCCAACTTCAAGTTGGGAGCTATCATGTCTTTGACTGTCCAGAGAGTGAGATTCCCCTCGTGTCCGGCACATGCCAAGTATCGCCCATCCCGAGAGAATGATATAGAGTAAAGGGTTTCGCGCTGCCAACGAAAGGGCTATGTTAGTTGCCGATGGCATTGCCAGTGTGTCCTATAGCTGGACAATACCACCATTGCCCACGCACGCCAGCACATTGTTTTCGGGTGAAACTGCAACATCATGCTTCAAGCGATGGAGTTGTTTACTGGAGATACTGTCGAATACACGTGTAAATGTGTCGCAAGCGGAGTAGACTTTGCTGCTGTCCGATGACCACACCACCGAAGTTACATGGGCTCCTAGGCCTTCGATGGGCCCGACAACAAGCTTTCCAGTCTTCCCATCCCAGATGCAAATTGAGTCGTTCAATCCGCCTGTTGCAATTCTGTCGCCAGAAGGTGAATATGCAAGAGCAAGCACCCCGCCCTGGTTCGTCTCGACCGGACCCACCTCTACTTCTCCGTTATCTGCGTTTCGGACCAGGATTGTTCCACTGCTTGATCCGCTGGCAATATGAATTCCACTGGGAGACCACGAGAGCGACCTTACCCCCGGACTCGTCCAAACGCCTTCGATCATCTCCCCATCCGTGTTCCACCTCTCAAGTCTTCCATCCTCTCTCCCACACGCAATCGTCTTCCCGTCCGGTGAAAGTGCCAATGTACAAATTTTCCCTCCCTCGCCTTTCCATAGCTGTCCAACAAGAAGTCCTGTGTCACAGCTCCACTTGCGCATCATGCCGTCCCACGAACCACTCACGATGTGCACGTTGTCGTGCAAGAAGACGGAACTCCATATAGCCTTCTCATGTCCTTGATATCGGTGCTTTGGGTCTGGGGGAGACATTTCCTTGAGGGTCGGCGTCGCACGGGATCCAGCAGCCATGGTAAGGTGATCTGTTGGATCAATTTGGCTGACCTTGTTCGTGATCAAATATATTGGATAGTACTCACATGTTGCCCTGCTGGTCTCTCTCTTGGTGAGACAATTTCTTTTACTGCAGCAAGGGATCCCATCGGCGGCGCTAATCATCAATTCGCAGTAATAAGCAACATCTCGGTCCTGATGATGCCAAGTGAACCATGCCATATCCTCAACGTCGTGGACTGCCTCTCACAACAGCTTCCTCGACTCATTCTTGTTTCAGAGCCCGCATTGCGATTCATTTCCGGTCAACTCTGCACGACTTTATCCTGCACATGTTTAAGGCATCTTTCCCTCGCCAGAATGACCTTGCAGCACATACTAGAGTCTGAATGAGATAACATTGTACTGGCGAGATCGGGATGCGCACAATGGGAATTTGGCACGTCAGGTAAGTTCACAGTGGTTCCGGTGATTTTGTTATGTATTCATATTGTGTTGGTCTGTGCCTGCGCCATCGGACGTAGTAACGATGACATTCACTTATTGTCTTCATGTATTATCCGTCAGGTTCATATTCGCCCTGAATGCATCCCTCGTGTGACCAAGGACTGCTTGTTACACGTCTCCTTGTTCACGGGTCGGTCCCGTGGATGAAAAAAATATATGCGGCATGGCGGCAAACCTTCTCCAAAATCTGCCATGGTCATCATTGTGGCTAGTCCAGGGATCACCAGCCCTTTGTCTGTATGGTGTCCCCCGCGCAAATCGTGAAATCGGCGTGGCCGTTGGAGAAGTTACAAGCGCGCTACTTGTACACTGTCGATATTGTTCATTGAATGATAAATCGAATGTCGATGTCTGTGTCTGACTCGGAGGGCTGTAGCCCGTGCAGCGTCGAGGATGGTTGTGTTGTAGTTGGGGCCTAGGCTAGAGAAACAATAATGAGCCATTGTCGAGCAGGTTCTACAGGACTCATGGCATCGCGTCAAAGAGATATGCACGCGAGGACATAAGGTTCAATCGTCCACATTTGCAGCAATATTAATGACCCACGCACCTTGCAAGCGCCACCCCAAACCTCACGAACCTTTGTAACCAACATTGTATGAGGGAATATCTCACTAACAATATAGATCCACCTATGAAATCGTCGTCGGGATGCCAGGAAGTTTTGAGGCGAGCTTTCTAATCATACTCAACTGTTCAGTGTTGTCGGAAACAATCAAGAAACAAGCGGTTGTTTGGATCCAAAGGCTTTGCCAAACAACGATGCACAGCCATCTGGCTACCGTCAAGCTTCCGACTGTCTTCGTCTTACACATATCTCAGTCCACTCGCATGTACACTGCGCTACCATGCGTGCGCGCACGTAGACACCTCAAAGCTTCGACTTTCAACGTCTAACGAATCAACCGACTAAATCCCCTGCACGAGGACTTGTAATTGTACTTCTTCAGCATGTCGTCCGCGCATGCCAGCTCTGAGGGTACGCATATGAACTGTACTTACTGGCTTATCTATTGATTTATATAGCTTTTTGGAATTTGACGTAAATTTGTTGTGGCAGAGCCTTGGATCAGGTAAGCCTCCATCGTTGATGCTTCCGCGGGATCAAATTTTTCATCAGGTCGGTGTTCCCCAGGCTCTTTACATTCCATCTATCATTGAATTCTTCGCGAATCGTGAAGGGAGTGCCGTACATCACCAGGAGGGGGATTGTCAATTCATGACGATGATATTCCATGGTATTATTCTCAGGCACTGTTACATGATGTGATGCTCTGGAGTGGGGAACATTTTCCTTTCTACCGTTTTAGCTAATGATGCGCGTACCGTGAATTCTAGGTTGGGTATCCAGCACGTCGGTTATATGACACTTGGTTTAAGTGACAAGCGCTCTTCCTGTACCCTGTGAGGGTGGTTGATTGATCAACGACTCTAGTGTCAATGGGGTTGAAAACAAGTATGATCATGAAAACAACGGGGCGGTGTGTGGCAGTGTCATGGGATGCGCCAGAGCGCGAGGCAAAAGTTGCCCCGATCCTAAACTGCCGATATCATATAGGCGGTGTTGAGGCTTGCAATCGAGTTTTAGAGCTCGTCATGGCTAGGGATGAGTCAGTTCATTTTTCTCTTCGTGTTTATTGATTGATTGCAATAGCATCTGTGAACTCAAACCTATGGCGTTTACCAGCCATCATTCCTGGACGCTTTGCCTTACGGAAAGATCCTTCTCCTCTCGTATTTCTACGATCGTGCTACCCCAGTGTTGTTTTGGCAGACTCATCGTCGAATCATCCTAGACCACCCATGGCGATTTCAACATTTGTCACGCTTGCTAGAGGTCTGTGTGAGAATCTCTGGGATTAGAACGCTGATCAGAGTGGTGCCTCGACATCAGTTTCCAGCACGCCTTGCTAGTTCAGCGATGATCGGGAGATGCAGTTTCAGAGATGCAACAAAGGCACGGAGCACAGTTGGTATCTTGGCGCTCAATAGAGATGATGGGCGGAAATTTATGTTGTCAGGTGTAGTGCCCGACAAGGATACAGTCTAGTACTGATCAATACATATCTCGAGTCGACGTAACGCCGCAACTGAACTTTCAAATCGTATGCGGCACGCCTCATACTGTCGCTATTCTCCGCTACTAAACGCGCTGCACAAATGACTGACAATTATATGACGAGGCTCGACGCTCGCAACTAATGCGGAGTAGTAGGCGGGGTAATATACGTACTCCTACCTAATAATGGTGCGTAATAGGGGGTGTGAGACTTTTAATTTCGGACATCACCAGAAACAGCGTGTTCCTTGCCCTTGTACTGCTTATCATGGCCAATGAAACGAGTTCAAAATATTTTAGCTCATCTTCCGTCTTTCCCTCGTACTTACACACCTGCAGCAAGCAACGTTTCTGCCGTATGCAGTTGGCGCCCGAGTTAAGGTAATGGGGCTTGCCGCAATTGTGAATTTCGACTTATCAAAATCAGGTTTGCTCAAAGCTATGTAAGGACACGAAAAAAGGTTCATAGACCTCAATTACAAATGCCAATCACCAACGCAGACAATTCGATTCCGCACAGGTACACCTGGCGTAGACCGCTCCACGAATCTAGGACTGTCACTAGAACGTGTTAACCTTGCTGACTATCCGCGTGTCTAACAAATTGCGTTAGGATGTCTGAACTCGTTCGTGGCTCGTGAGCAACTCGTCACCGAGGTGCCGAAGGAAATCTGCATCAGGTTGATAGTCTTTGACAGCGGTAGACTTTGCCGCCGTCTCAATATTGTTCGGCTCCCCTCCTCGTCTTCCATTCGAACACCAGCGAACACCCCGTGATGTTGAGTGTGGATATAGACGGTCCATAGCCTTATGTAGGAATCATGATGGTCTCCAGACAGTGCCCTCGGGTGGTTCGATAAGGTCTAATTTGTGTCTCGTCATTTCGTTTCCGCAGTGATTCTGAATGAGCTCGCAGTTACACCGATCTTACATAAATAGAACTCCAGGCAGGATGCCGCGTTGACATCCAATGGCGCCTCTCTCAACCCCTTACACTCCTACAACACTCCGGGCGACTGTTACACCGTGCCCATGGGTGCCATTTAAACCTCACGAAGGGCACATCGAGACCCCGCCCCTGCCCTACAAGCCCCGGACCGATAAACTACTTGACGTATACAACATCAGCACGCATGTCATACCTGCAGCCAATCCCAGAGCCACTCCAGATGCTCCAGTCCCCGAGCCGCCTCCTCGCTCTTCGAATAGAGATGTCATGAAGCTAGGACATGAATTCACGGAACGGCAGGTCCGGCAAGCTGAGGGCGCCTGGTTTACGAACGAAAAGTTGTTGTGGAATTGTGTCAACCGATATACAAAAAAGGGCAAGGAGGCCAATGCTAGAACGAAGGGGATCACCTTGTTTCTTGCGCACGCAACGGGCTTTCCGAAAGAAGTGAGTCTCTGCCAGTGTTCATTGTCCGTATGCTAAGAATGACTACCCATTATGATTAGACATGGGAGGCCACTCTGTGTTATTTACTAACTGCCTGTGGTTCCATAGATGAGATATGGTCATTGGAGTCAGTGCAACATGGGGACTCTGCTCTGCTAAACAGACAGAATCTCAGCGGCAGCAGCTGTAAGAGGTTAACTCTCCTACCCGCTCGCTTGGAATTAATTGACAGCAGTTGACTGGACTGACAATGCGAGAGACATTGCAAACTTTCTCATCAATTACATGCCGGAAGATGTAGAAACATCTACGCTACCCATTCAACTTCCTCGCCTTCATGCGTCGATTGGCGAATCACGGCAAAAGAATGGCTTCTCTTCCCGCACCGTTGTCGCAGCAGGACACTCATTCGGAGGTTGCTCCTTGTATGCCGTTTGCGTTTTGAAGACCTGTCGAATCTCATGGTATTCCAAGGGTTTTAGCCGCGTTAAACTTTCCGGCCTTGTTTTCGTCAATGATTCTCGTCGATGCGATAATCGATCTATACCAAGGACCTGCGTGGGAGTTCAACAAGTTCGTAGTTGGGGCTACCTTGGTAAGGCGCGAACAATGGCCGTCACGGTGTTTAAATTTCGATCATCACCCTCGCGTCAGAGCGCTGACTATGATTGTAGGGAGGATGCCTTGCGTTCCTTCAAATCTTCACCCATGTTCTCCACTTGGCATCCTGACGTACTTCGGCTCTATGTCGATCATGGACTGTACGAGGATGCAAGCGGATGTGTCAGATTGAAAACGTCTCCCGTGCATGAGGCTCTCATCTATGCTAACCCACGAGCTAGCCGAGAAGCCTGGGAGTCATTGGAAAGGCTCGAAGAGAACATTGAGTTGCTGTGGGTTGTCCCCGGGAAACTGAGACACTTTGTGTAAGCCAGGAAGGCAGGACAAAATCACTGACTAATAGGCATTATGCAATAGGCCAACGGCAGAGCAAGCCGCGAAGGAGCGCGTGTGGCGCAGACCAGCAAATTCATCTAACATTCTCGTCGAGTGTGGTCATCTCGTCTGTGTTCCATGTGGAATCATTTCCGTATCTGATATAATTTTCGTTAGATTCCTCATGAGTGTCCACGAGAGCTTGGTATGTTACCTTCAAAGGAACTATTTGATTGCTATTGACTATCCGTAAAGCACAAATTATGGCCGACTTTCTGCACAGGAAATACGGTGTTATCTTAAGGCAGTCAAAGCTCTGAAGCTATGTTTGTATGAATTGTTTCGAGGCTGAGCGCATGTTTACCAAGTGATTTGACGAGGACTCGGATTCTTTATAATCAGTTAGACACCATCTGATAAAATGTATAGAATAGTGAATTTTCTGCTGGCAGATTGACAGATACGAGGCGATAGATCTACCAACCGTCATATAGCTCTCCTTGCGTCTAAGTACACAAAGCACTACAATCTCACAATGCCGCGATTCGTCGTAAGTTATCACGGTACAAACGCAATACTTGGCGGTGGATTAATAAGTACTACTATATTCAAAAGTATCGTAATTGTAAACTCCAAACCAGTCGGTGGGTGTTGATGACGACTATACTACCGATCACAGATAACAACCCCAGGGGTGAGTTAACAATGAGCTCGCCAGTCCTGCGGTTCCAGATAAAAATAGAGTGGTCCGTCCGATGCAATTCTATTTCCTGAAGAAGATTCGACACCCTGAACTGCTTCGTCTCGATCGGGCCCACCTCAACTTCGCCACTTTCCGCTTTTCGAACAAAGATAGCACTAGTGTCACCCGCTGACAATATTAGCACAATGCGTATCGTGCCGTTCGACGAACCGCCCCACGATATGTACGTTATTGTACGAAGACGAAATCACGAATAGCCTTCTCATGGCCTTCAAATTTGTGCTTCGCACTTGGTGGTTTGGCTTGTGTTGGGGGCGGACCTTCCGCAAGGATTGAATTGCAGGGGATTCGGAAGCCATAGCTCGTTATGGTAAAGTGTTTAGGGTATGGATTTGGTTCTGCCGGGTTTATGATCAAATGTTGAATAGGACTCACCGATTGGGCTGCTGGTCCAGGTCCCTCGAACTTGATATGTGCATTAGGCAGCGCCAATCATCGATTCGCTGGTTCGTATGGCCATGCGGCTTTTCCCCTGGTTCGATGTTTGGAACCCACAACAACCGCTATCCTCTTGATGATAATTCACCCTATTGCAATTGCACTAGGAAGCATGCCATAGCGCATACGCCAGGCAGACTTAGTGACATGCAACTTTCAACATCGCTTCTAGCGCCCATTCACGGTTGATTCGGAGCTCACATTGCTCCCGTTCTATGAGAAAGTGTCATTAGATTATTTTTGTTGCGTTCTCCCGAGTCTTATCTCTTCTTTGAGTGTTGATGCCACGCTTTGAGGAGTACTCTTATCTTCTATATTCGCTTGATAAGAAAATGGCTAGATCTGAACAACGGACATAGCGGCTTACCGACCTTGCGTATAGCGTTTTATTCATTCTAGATCTGAACAGCGGACATCACGACTTACCGATCTTCGATCCAACTTTTTCTTCATTCGCTCCGCGGACTTTCTTCGCCTCCTTCTGCGTCGTATGGACCTCTGAAAATGCTTACCCCAGTTTTCTTGGGTCCTGAAACATAAAATGAAGTAACACATGGAAAGATCAAAGGGAAAGACCACGTGCACCATTTGTGGGATATGATTTGTCCCTGCCACCTGCGCACTTGAGAATCCCTTGTTCCCGCCTAGGCTTCTCCAGTCACTCCTTCAAGTGTCTCCTACACCCTAGGAAACGGTGATGAGCAAAAGGCCTCATTGATGAAATACAATGCTTACCAACTCGAAGCTTAGCTTCCCTTAGCTCATCTTCATACACCTGGTCAACTCTACGAACGCTCGACTTTGCTCTTGCTTCTTCTAACGGGCCTGTCGATTCCTACCTCCTTTTCATCCACCTGAGTGAAACACGGAGTTTGTCCTTTCACTTCTTGGACACTTCGCCTATACTCCGAGCGAGACATCAAAATGTCAAATGATGAACCGCGGTGTGCAATGACGTCGACCATCCAGAACTTCAGAAGAGACAGAAACCTTAGCTTGCTGGCCTGTGTGGTCTGTTATGTCACGGCCGCCCAAGGAGGTCATAATACTATTCGGCTGCGAGAGATCACAAGAGGAGACAGATCATAACCCATCCGCATAGTGAGAAAATCCTCGTGTCCTACGATCTCCCGCCAAGCCTATAACAGCACCAGCATTCTGTATTCTTGTTACATGGCCAGCAACGATCTGCAAAGCTAGCGGTGGTAGACTGGATGCGTGCTAGCAGCACGATCCATAAGTATCTGCAATAAATAAAACACAAGCAAGTGCGATAAACGAACAAGCAACTGAGCGAAACAAGTAACTTAGGATTGTGTCAATTCTTGCAGGATATATGCACTGGATGTTTTCTTCTCGATATGATCGATATCGTGATGGAGCTCGATAACAAAGTGAGAAGTGAGAGTTTGGGATCCAAACGGCAAGCCTCTGGCGCTGTAAGCACATATGCATAATGACGACCACTATATGGAACGTTACAAGTTGCACGCCTTATTTTTCATGATCAGTAGAAGAGACAGTCGGCTCATTTCAAATTTGGGACATGCTATGCCTCACAGCAATGACACGGCAACGAAAAGACTCAATTTTCCGGGAATCTAAGGCCTCACTAGCACTAAATCAGCTGACACGGTGACACGACAAGCATGCACCTATACTAATAGTAGCCTAGAGCACTTACCAGTCTTCGTATATGAATTGCCAGTGATAGTGAGGCGAAGCCTGTCAACATGTCAATGACATTGCACAAACAATGCACAACAATATGGATGATTGTACCCGACGTGCTATGTAGACTGCACTTCATGAATCCTTCCACATGCTTGCCACATGCTACTACCATGCTCTGCATTAATGACATCTATTTACGATGAACTCTCAAGCTTTAGCTTGTTCAATATGCTAGAATTTCTACCCAGAGACCCTTCATGTACTTACTTGGCAGGACGACCGCCGTGCACTCGGTATGCGCAGTGGAAAGCGGGCCACAGGGTCAAAGTGAAATTCCCGAGCCAGCGTGGCTGCGCGCAAGGCTCATGATCACACAGACATGTCGCACAGCTCACAGATAGACATTAAGTTAAGGGCACTTGACGTAACGTACACTTTGAACTTTTTAATCCACACTCAACTCCGTTTAGATATCCCCCTTGCCTCCAAGATACACTGTTAACCAGGTCTTTGGCCCTTTCACGAGCCATACCTAGCTTAGTCTATCAAGGATGGATTATAAAAAGACCGAAAATTCGGACAATAAGTCTGAGGCGGTACGCAAGGACCCCTCGTGAATCCGAGCCCGGTGTGCTCACGGGAAGTGCGAAGGTACCAGGGACTAGCGCAAAACGTGGTATCTGCCGCCCAAGCGAATCGATCGTCCCTAACCGTTACTCCATGCACAAGTCCCTAAGGAAGGGAAGCGAGGTACCACCTGGCACCTGAAGCCGTGATTGTCAATACTTACTGTATCTTCAAGGCCCCCCGGTGTTGTCCCGCTTCCGGACCTTTGCACACGTTGTAGGGAATGTGCACATGTTAGCCTACCAAATCGGGTGCTGTGAAGGTGCCTGATCCCTGGATAGAGGCGACGGTCTTAGCTTGTCTTACGTGCGTCGAAGAGAATAAAGGCTATTACGTAAATGTACGTATTCTGACTTTTCAACGCCATTCTCGTCTCCTTATTCATTGCAAATGAACTAAAAGTATCTCAGACATGACGCCGGGACTCGCCTTACAGTCAATTTCCGACGCCACAGGTACTTGCAGGCAGAAGTTAGACATTTGTTTCACGTCCCGGACAATCAGCCTGAAGGCCACAGGTAAGTATTCGAGGCAGCGTTGTGCCTGCCGGGCTATGGTCTCTCATGAAATTCGGCACACCTTCTGACAGGGGCGGCAATGCAAACCCACGATACTCTCGCAGACACGCAGCGATCATTGTCTCACCAGCATCCCTTAAACTGCTAACGGGCCCACTAGTACCACTATACCCGAAGCAAGAGGCACCACGTTTACCTATAGGTGGCCGCGTCATTATCAAGGTACTGGGGACAGCGTACGACATTTTTTTTTTGGCTGTTGTGCGCGTGCCTCGTCGCTCGAATACTCGACCGACCTATAGCTGCAACTTCAACCCTAGAGCTCAAAGCAGCAGTCTCACGGTTCACGCTGAGGTATAAAGCCTATACTTCGACATGTACAGTGAAGCAACACATCGAGCTCGATTTCTCAACTCAACTCATCCTCACTATCATGTCCGACCAATCCAATCCTGATGTTCAGTTGTCCCAGTATTCTGAGGATATGACCACATACACGCTGGAGCAGCTTGTGCAATGGCGAGCTTCGCTAGAACGCAAGGCAAAGGAGCAAGAGGAGAAAGCACGAGCAGGTCGGTGTGATCTGTTAAGCCGCATGACAAAACTGACAAGACCTTACGTGCAGCGAAGACATCTCAGACACAAAGCAATACTACAAAGTCTTAATATACATCATCGGCAGCAGGTGTGTGCGCTGATCCCAATTTACCTATGTAGACCTAACATCTCTTGCTACGTAACAGAACTATCATTATCCAAGATACTGATATTTGACCATGTCTACTTGTGTATCCTCCTACGCTTGATCTTTCCTTTTGGTATTACATATCTATTGTATATCTTTCGCTACACCACTGTTGTTGTACCTATACTACGAAGACGGCCGTGATCAGAACAATATAAGGCGGTTCCCACGTCGCAGCTTCAAGCACCGAAAACTGGCCTTTGAAGATCTGAAGATCTGACGTCCTACCATTCTGGGCAGAAAATCGATGTATGGATGATTTATATTGGTCTTTTTCAGGTACCGACGGTCTGCTGTCCACTACTCAAGGAAATATTAAGCCCGTGCCGCGTTGCCGCCAGTACTTCCCTCCTCTAGTGGTGTGGCTCACGAGTCGATGTCAAGAGTCTCAAGCTCTCAAGACTCGATTATTTCTGGCTCTGCATCTAGATTAATCTCCTGCACGTGCCAGACATCGGATACAGACAAGTAACGCGTGACCTAGGGTGCTTGGTGACACTTCGTCGAATTCAACGAAGACAGTCGTTCCTTCTTAGATCATGACTCGTTGCACCGTTTTTCATAGATGGCCCGGGTACGTACCGCATTGTTCTGTACCACTGTCACACTAAACTGCCACATGCATGCCACGATATGGCTCCGCAGATCACTATGAAATCGCATTATGGTTATCTTGACGCCCGTGCTGTATCTATGTACCACTGATCAACAAAAGAGCCCGAAGCACGCAAGGCCTTGTGAAGCTTATATGAGCATGCGTGCTGTGATTTAGCTTTTCAGACATACACAAGTTGTACACAAGGTCTTACATTGCGACATATATGTGAATATATGCTTCGGGCAGCATATATTCACATCTACGGTTCAGGCTCTTTTGTTGATCCGGGTCAGCAGCACTGGCATGTTGTGGCCAGCCTGAGACGTGGTCTGGCCTGAGGATTACCATTCACCACGGGCGATCTAACCGATGCATATCAGCTGCATATTTGTCACGTCACCAGCCAGACCGGCGAAATGATAGAAGGAAGACTGAAGGAAGACTTCCTTCTTTATCATGCTTGAACTTAATGGGCTCTCACTATACACTCTATAGGCATCTTCGCTCTTGCAGACTGACTAATTGGTTTACTCAGGGTGCAAGTGACAGACGGGCCTGACGATAAAAATAAATTATGGCCCCGGATGGAAATCTGTTCAGTTCTGCAGTTCATCTTCCGTCGGATGCTCGTCATGTTCAGCCGGTGTACCTGTTAAGTCGCTGCTGCAGAAGTGGCTATAAATATCCCAATCCATCACAAGAATGGAGGCATCTACTATCCCCGTACTTGGCTCTCCATTCAGCCTCTGGACGACTCTGCTCTGATAAGTTAATGTCCTCTTCTTATCCTTTTCTCATATTTCTTGCGAGAGGGTTACCACGGTCCCAGGGTGAAAGTCACGTTGAGTTCTAGCATATAAAGTAAGCGCTCAGTCTGAGACATGCCGCATCTCTGAAGTGTTATAGAATCGGGCAATGGTGGTAATGCCGTCATTGAAGTTCGAAAATGGTGCGTAACTCTTTTGGCATGGAGGCGCTTGAGACATAGCACTCTTCATTGAAGCTTGGGACATGACGGAATATCAATTTGGAATTGCTGGTTTTCCCCATGACTTTGGCTCGCTCGACGGAAAGCGCGAGTGTGGCTGAACTATTTGACACTTTCGGAAACAACCCACCTCGCACCAGTTTTTCGTCCTGCTCGACCAAGCATTTTCCATCGTAGCCAAGATCGCTAGAAGCTGACCAAGAAACTTAACGCGAGCATGGGTGAAATATCCAACGACTTGTTGATTCGCAGTCCATCATCGGACTGTTGAGTACACATGTATCATGGTCCATTGATCGACTCCATGACCACAGTCAAAGCAAAGCCGAAGGTCAAAATGCCGAGCTTCATCTGTCGGGGGCAGTATTGGCTCAGGTCTTTGGAGACGATTATTGCGATGGATTCTAAGCTGATAATACCCTGCTCTTCGCGGGTTACGAAACGAATTCCAGTGAGTTGATTTCTTTTCTGCTGTTAATATGTCGGCTGACTCTTTGGTCGCAGTCAGTCCCGGTAGGTCCCCCGTCCAATAATAAAATCTTTCCACATGTTTGTGTAACAATCAGTGGGCGTTGATTGAGCTATCGCAGCACCCCGATATCCAAATCAGAAACATTTGACATCCAAAGAACAGAAGGTGCATGCGCATCACACTTTGCTGTATACTCCGTCGCGGTATTTTAGGTGCTGAAATTTATGACAACTGATGAATATATCTAAATGATACAACATGGCAAAGGAAATAATATAGTACACAGTTTAACGATAAAATGGACCTAAGGACGGGACGAGAAAATACAGAGCAGTGTCGTCTTGCATGACATAAAGGGCAAGACAGGATCCGGTCTGCGAGTAGTCAAGTTCAGCTAAACGCGACGACAGTATAGACAGGGCATGTACATATACATAACGCAGATTATGCACACAAACATATCATTTTATGCATTCACAACAGGCTGTTTTGAGAGCCGAGCGTGCCCTAAGACATAAATATCAGCCTCGTACACTCTCGCAAAAAAGAATTAACCGGTGACCTTGGGGATCATGCTGGTCGACGCTGACATTTTCCCGCTCGCGTTCCAGCGAAGCGCGCCAGTCCATGAGCTGCTTCAAGGTATATGAAGCGATATTGCGAGAGTACTCGCGCAACTGTGCCTCGGATGCATTCCCCATGTCAAAGTCAGAGCGGGTCTATTGATATTGCCGTGTACGAGGCAAGTAAGCGTGAGCAAGCTGCAGATGAATGGCACTTGAGACGGATTGAGAGGGATTTCGATGAGATGCCGGTCTTCGTTCAAGTTATATACGCAGTCCCATAATAAGTCTGCGTGTAGGCTCCCTTGTGGGAAGGACCAGTGGCGGATTGAGCTAACATAGAAACTCGGAAGCCACACTGAAATTAACAGTGGAGTGCGAAACGAACCAGTTCTGATGGAGTAGAAGGTCTGCCTAGATACGAAAGCTCGGCACCGGACCGCTCGTGTGCGCCTTGAAAAAGAGCGCTACAAGCGAAGCCTGCTCCTGTTTGACGCAGTATATATTTTTATGAGGATGTTAGACCGTACCATGCCACGACAATAGCCTCGCCTCTGCTATCCAGGCTATGGTGCTCAAGCGCTCAATCTTGAGGCATTCCAAGCAAAGTACATAATTGAGAGTGGCGCAACTTTTATCCGAGGGCTTCATGAAGTGAGTGTGGAGTTTCGAGTTGGGCGCGGACCGCTCGTTCTTCGAGTTTCGACTGCTTTCGACGAAAAGGCTCGAAAGGGAAGCGAACTCACCCCGAAACGGATCTACGGTAGTGCTCCACAGTTGTTTTTCAAAGCTTGTCAGTAGCCCCGGACTTACCGCGTCAGCGCGCATCAGTTACGGCTGGATAAGGGTGCCGCAAGGTGCCGCAGTGTGCAGGGGCGCCGCGGCTTTGAGCCGATTCTGCGCTGCCCTGTGTCATAGGTGGGGCCTGAGGTCATGCTGATCATCGTCTCGTTTCAAGGAAGTAATCATTCCTGACTCACTGGTGCTAGACTTGCCGAGTAGTGCTCCCAGAGGTCTAGCTAATATTGGACGTCAGCCTGAGGTGTAGAATTTTTGTACGTCAAGGTGGAGAGTTGCACTATATAGCAGGGACTGCCTCTAGTTGGTACCACTCACCCATTTGCCAGAGAGAAATGCAGTTCCCTGCATTTTCCCTGATCATTCATGTGATCAGCAATCGATAATTTGAAGGTACCTATGAATCTGGCCAAACACTGTCGATTCCAGTCACCAGTAGGCTGGCTGGCTGCTACACTGCTACTCACTGCTTCCTCTCGAACTCACCATTTCACAAGTTGCTAAAATCAGCTAGTTATGTAATATGGGCTCAAGTTCGAATTCCGTGGCACTTGGCACTCGTTAATTTCGGCCATAAATTATATTCACGGAAGGGTTCGCCAGCAACCCGCTACAAAATCCAGTGTCGACAGAGAATACTTAGCAACAACAACAAGGTATCTGAAGTATCTAGGGTCCAGTATGTAAATACGATATCGTGCAGCAAGCATACAAATAAACATCTCCAGGGAGGTAGGTCAGTGAAGCACAGAAAATCCAAGTTAAACAAGCAACGAAAAAATAAGATAAATGAAAGAAGTGGTATAGACAACGATCCTATAGAACCATGAAGGCGAGAATAGAAACTCGAGATTGGTATGTGATCAATGATGATGGCAAGTCTCCAATGATGCTGGCATCACTGAAAAAGAGCATCAGCGAGGGTTTTTGAAAAGAGCAGAAAAACCCTACCAATCACGTGCTCGTCATTCAAAAGGCATGGAAGTTACCCGCCAACACTTGGTTCAACTGGTTTGGATCAACTCCGTAGCTGCTCACCCGCTTTTGAGCTAGGAATTCCGGGAGAGCCTGGCCGGCTGCGCGTAAGCAGTCCACAGGAATAAGGCCCTTCTCGGCATGATTCGAGAAACTAGATTGCTTCTCTACGAACACCCAGCCGTCGTCGAAGACATTCAAGACGCAGACTTTATCGCCTGGGGCGACAGAGAGTTCGTCGTCGAGCGTAGATTTGAATGGGCGACAGACGGTTTCGAATTCGGGTTTGACAGGATCAGCAAAGGGGTTGGAAGATTGATCGACAATAGCTGTCAATGAAGCGCTGAGTGGTGGTTGTAGGTGAGGGGCAGGAGGAGTGGAGGGTAGTACATCAGTGTTGAATATGGGAGGAGGGGAGTGGATGTGGACGGGAGTAGCAGCGGACGACGAAGGAGAAAAGGGGCCGAAACCACTAGCCACAAGAGCAGACGAAGCAGACTGTCCCTCATTGAGGCATACAGGAGGCTTTGGGAATGCAAAGGATTCTGACGGAGAGAACGGACGAACGGACATGGGACTAGATAGTCCGGGAGGGTTGAGATCATTTGTTACAACGAGGTACTGAGTGTCAGAGTCGCTGCCGTTGCTCATCATGCTATTCATGGATTCCCTACGGGCAACAGCACTAGCAGAAGGGAACAGGAGCGAGGTGCGCTCACGCACTTCCGCCATGGGAGGGAACTCAGGAATGCTCCCGAGTGCGGCGGGATCAACGGCTGGGGATGGAATTGGGGAGTCGACGCGGAACATTAGTCCCTGATCAAAGTTGGTAGCAAAGCTGCTGCGAGCACTCGCCCTGTTCGGGATGGGTGCGCCCCCGATCTGAGAGTCTGGCATACCGCCCCCCACGATAGAGAAACTACCCGAAATTCCATCACCACCGCGCCACCATTGTTTGCGGCGTTCAAGGCGGCGCGCAATGGACCGACGCCGCGCTATGAGTATAATGAGTCCGACCAGGAATAGAAGGCACATGGCAACGATTCCTCCAATTGCACCTGAGGACAGGTGGGGGGAAGAAGTCGTGGCTCCAGTGATAGAAGTGGGAGTAGTATCACTCGGGAAACTTCCGACACCAGTGGATGTGGTCGAGCCTTGGAGACTTGCGGCTGTAAAGTGGGACGCTGTGGAATGGGACGCTGTGGGATTGCTCGTAGAAGATGAAGATCGGGACATCGCTGCCGGAGTACCTTGGACGTTCACGGGCACCGATCCGTTAGGATTGGACTGGCCGCCATTGACGGCGCTGCCATTGCTGTTGGTGAGGGGAGTGCCTCCAGGAGATGATGGAGGGGAACCTGATGACCCAGGTGGGGAGGGGGAGCCAGCGGAAGTTGCGGGCGACGACGCAGGTACAGTGGTCGCTGTGCTGCTACTTCCCGTGGAGCTGCTTCCGTTACCGTTCCCATGACCATTTCCATTACCGTTCCCATTACCGTTACCATTACCATTGCCGTTCCCGCCTCCATTTCCATTCCCTCCGCCGTTCGAACCTCCACTTCCTCCCCCAGTTCCACCGCTGCCGCCTCCGCTTGCAATAGTAGAAATGGGGTATGATGACGAACCTGTTGAAGAGGCTCCACCGTTGTTTGCGCCGACAAGAGGGGTCACCAGGGGAGAAAGTACTGGGATAGATGGTGCTGGGACGGGCAATTTGATAAGAGAGGGATCGCGCTCTTCGAGCTCTCTATTGATAATTGCCCGATGGCGGACAGAGACGTGTTGCATCCTATATGAAAACTGAATAGTCAATACACGATAGAATGTTTTTATTTACACTGATTGAGCTCGAGATGTCGAAAAAGAACGTAGGGATGAAAAGAGTGTGGGTGTCGTCGTTCGCTATGGCCAGCGACGAACAAGATGTGTTTGCTGACTATCGCAGCGGTACAAGAGAGACCGGGGAAGGGGAACAAACTTGATCAGGGTAGGTAGTATTCCCCATGACTACGGAGGTGATAATATTTGTCTAACATGAGAATGAAGTTATCAGGTGATCTATGACGTTAAGTATTAAATATTAATGGATTCGATCGACGTTTCGCATGTCCCATACCAAAAACGAGGGCTCTCGGTCACAATTATTGGCGTAGTACTGAGAGAGACGTCACTGAGACGTCAAAGCGTTGACAGTCATGATCGAATGATCGATCATACATTTGACATCATATATCACTCCATCGTGCAACTTTACTGCACTCGCGGAGTATCAGGCGTCCGTAAACTCTCAACACACCTTCTTACGCAGTACGTCATTGCGTCCTGCACCTGAGATCAGCTCTGCGAATACCCTAGGATGTTGGAACACAGTCCAACGGTGGTGTCTCACGGATGCCCTCGGTGCTGGCTAATGTGCTATCGTAAGTTAAGATGCAGGAATAACACACCACCATCGTGGAGAGGTTCGGATTTCCTAAGCACAACAGAACCGCGGACAGTTTAAGCTTTGATGGGCACGCGGATAACTTCCAGCATTTCTTTGTTACCTATGTGATCTCTTGTAATAGTATGTGGTGTGCATGCAATTTCCTTAGCGTTGACGACAGTCAGCGGTGGGAGAGTATGCTGAGTATGGGATTGTGCTGAGGCGTGTAGACATAAATACAAAAGCGAGCCTTAACAACGAATGTCACTTTTCAAAAATTCCGCGAGAAGCATCAGAAGGTCAAAGACGTGTGGAATTCAAACGCACCAAACAAGAGAATTTGAATCATAAATCGACACAAGTGATGAATGTAGTGTTAGCCATTATAAACCAACCATCATTCAAAATGTTATGGTGCAAAAAGGTCAACGAGCTCTATGTTGCATTGCGTGCAGTCACGGTGATACACCACTGTATGAAAAGGCTTCTGCTAACTATCGCGCTTCCACATTTGACGAGGTAGTAAGAAAGATGTACCAATCGCAAGGAGTGCTAGCGCCATCATAAAGTAGTACACCACCCACTCATAGTACGGGTCCCTCACAGAAAACGAAAACACGGACATCGCAGATGCAGGTCCAATAATACGCACGCACGCAGCGACCGTCTGCGCAAGACCATTAGTGGCGCCCAATGATGCACGATTGGGAGATGCAGCTGCTATATACATAGCGCCGCAAGCTATCACGAATTCATCAGTGATGGTTGCGTAACAGAACATTAAATAAAACGAACAGTAACACATGTTGAGAGCGATAGATATTGTGAGCTGAAGGCCGACACCAAGCCAGACTATGACGCCGATCCCATACGTCCTGCTCAACACATTGATTATCGGAAATGCGAGGATAGTCGGCACGCTGGAGGCAATTCCGCAGGTCCATACCACTTTCGTGCCAAACCTGTCATGCAGCCGAGCAAAGAAAAACACCTGAAATAAACCATTGGCAATACCAAACACTGCAAGAATGTTGCCAATCCGTGGTGGGTCGAGGCCAAGCCCACCCATGTCCACTGGCGTAGCATAAAACACGGGTATTAGGGAGCGCAGAGCTATGTCAAAGAGAGCCAGTGTCGCATAATTCGACGTCGCGATAAAAACGTGTGGAGTCAATAATGCGCGCAGAGGAAGGGGTTTGGAACCATCGGGAGAATCTTGAACGGTATCGTCGGAATTTATTATATCCTGCGGTGATTTGGTATGTATGAACGTAAGTGCGGCCCGACATCTGTTCCGAATCAGACCCCATATGGATGTCGTCGTGGGCACAGTCTGGACACAGATGAGATGGACCAACAGAATGGGTGGGCCACTACTTTACCTCCTGCAAAAGCATATACGTGACCAACCATGCTACAGCGGTAAACAATGCCGGACCAGCGCAAGCCAAGAAATAAGGATGTGTCTTCAGAAATGTCGACTGCCCAAACAGTCTGGGAAAACGATCCGCCGGACGAGACAAAGACCCGCCGATGAGGGGTCTAGCCGATCATTCAACGTAAGAACGAGGTAGACAAATCAAAATGTATGTCCTTACCCGAGCGTATTCCCAGTCATCCATGGAAGAGGAAGAAACCCGAACGCTTGAGCCATGTTGGTTGAATCTGTGACATCTATCATCATACTCTTGATGACACCACTGTTGCCGTTCAGCGCTCCGCACAGTGCACGACTAGAAGATATTGAGACGCATTATATCATAACAAGGATATCATGCTCGAACCTTATTATCAAGCCTCCAAAGGTCTTCGAAAGTCCAAATAGGAACATGGAAGCTGATATACCAAATAGACCAGTCAAGATGACTGGCTTTCGGCCAACATGATCAGAAAGGCGGTTCCATTGAAGGGTAGTAAGAGCTTGCGCTACGTAGAACACGGAATACTTTGAGGTCGATCAGAAAACGATCATCTATATCAAACACTCGGCGCTTACCATGATACCAACAAAATATCCTACTTTTGATTCATCACCATGTGTCACTCCGACATCTCTGATGAGCTGAGAGATCAATGAAGGCACATCAGAAGATAGTTAGATATGAATTCAGGCTGAGTTCACCTGAGGTGCAAATGGAGCAATAGCCTGGGCAGTAATAGGTTCAGTGAGTTGCAAGAACAGTATAATGAAGAGTTGACGCCAGGGTAATGGAGTTTTGACTTTACGCCGCTCCTCATGCTGCAATAGAGGTGTCTCTTCATCTACCTGGTGAGACTGGTGTGGAGACATGACCGCCGATGGAGTCCATTCCAACCGGTCAAGCCTTGAGGATGTCCAGAGCGTATGTAATAAGACACCTTGAAGCCACCTGGCAGCTGCGCAGTAGCACCCCTGTATCCAATGGCATTTCCTGCGGCTATATTTGACTAATTCCATCGACAGATTAATATTGTGCAGGCTGCTTCAGAAATTCGTTCCGCATATGAGATTACCATCGAAAATGTTGGAGTGGTGCACATTGCAGAGTCCAGACCAACCTGCCTGGCTGCCCTGGCATCAATGATGGATTGCGCTGCTGACTAACAAGGACACAAGCCATGGCAAACAACACTTTGGGGGCTTCGGCTCGGCTATCCTGTATCACTGTATGCGCAACCTAAACGACGACTTGACAGCGAAACGCCGATCTACTTATGTATGACTGCGTGCGATATATAACATACTTATTACGACTTTGCCGGTGGGGCCCGGAACACTTTGCGTAGGTTGTCTCAAACGACGCTTGGACTTTGAGCGGCATCATCGTGGCTTTCAAGTCCTCTGCAACGCCGTGGACCACTCTGCTTGTGGGAAGTTTCGAGATGCTTCCGCAACGTTTTCGCATTGTGACATCGGAGCGCTGGATGAGCGGCTCGCCGGTCTCATCGTCTGTCATATGCTTTTTAAAAGGACTGGTACGAGAACCTGTTAGGGAAATCTAATGCAGTGGCAAAGCATCGGTGTGGAGACGCGCTGGAATTCTTTGGCAACACGTCTGTCCTGAAGCCGGGTGAATAGGACGACCGAGGCGGACCCCGTACCCTATAGCTGATCGTTGATGAACAACTCGACAATGCTGTCGAGCTTTCACCGCGGGAGTCAAGCATGGAGTCAAGTTTCTCTACCTGGGGAATGGTCTTTGGGAATTCATCCAAGAGGAATCAACACCCGTTCTTGCAAGCCCCATCTGCACTCGAAGCAATGTCGAAGGCTTCTATGTTCAAACGTTCAAGCTTATAACGAGACTACAAAACCGCGTCGTAATATATTCTATGTGTTCAAGTGTTCGAGATTTCCTCTATTCCAAGATCTCCATTGCTCGAACTGCGAGCTGGCAGTGAAATCTATTCAGAAGCACGTTGATCAACTCAACAACAAACTACTAGTAACTCGCGTCGTGCTGTCAACCATACCGTTACACCTGGCGCGAAAGTAGAAACACGACTCACTGTAGTTCACTGTCACGACATGCCACTCACTCTATGATACACATAGAAAGATGGGGAACTACCACGCCGGTGAGTCACGTGCTTCCATAAATCCAGGACGCAAACTACTCATACTCACAATATAATGGCAACTATCTTCAGGGCAGCAGGTGTAGTAAAGACAAAATGTAGGACACCATTCACCGTCGTCACTGACAGGTATTGATGCCGCAGATATTGATGCTGTCAAAGCAGCAACAACTGTGAGGGCAAAGGAGAAACGCATTGTTTGTGAGGATGCGATGATATGGGATAAAATAAATCTGAAGGGGACAGGAGGAAGACGGCTTACTTTTATGTGAAGGACCTATCCACCTGAAATCCCCTTTCGAACAGATGATATCTGCAATGCCAGCAGATTGCCACCTAAGATCTACCTCAGTGTGAAGCAAGGTCTGTTGGCAATTTGACGTATAACAAAATCTCACCTTGCGAAGCAAGATCAATGCCAGCTGTCGGAAACTGCAACAAAAGACTCGTTGATCATTAGCTCGCCTAGTTGAGCCGTAATGTCCCCAGACATCCTCAGACCTCAGTGGGATCACGTGTAATGGAAGTAATATTTGTATTTTGCAAAGCGCCTTGACATATAACCGAGCTTAACATCATAGTGTAGGGTATATCCATGATGTTGTCTTCATTAACCTCACGACTTTGAAACGACTACTATATATCTTCCTTCTACTAGGTTTGCCTAGCCTATATGGGAGACTACTTGACTACATAATTCCATCGACGCATTGCACGGGCTGCTTCAGAAATCCATTCCACATACGAGATTACCATCGAAAATACTGGAGTGGTGCAGACCAATTTAAAGAGCCTGCCTGCCTCGAGTCTGACCCGGCAAGGCTGTGTGCGCAAGGGCTCTCTTTGACTTTACGCCGCTCCTCGTGCTGCAATAGAGGTGTCTCTTCATCTACCTGGTGAGACTGGTGTGGAGACATGACCGCTGATGGAGTCCATTCCAAACGGCCAAGCCTTGAGGATGTCGTTCGCTATCCAGAAAGTATGTAATAAGATACCTTGAAGTCACCTGGCAGCTGCGCAGTAGCACACACCCCTGTGTCCAATTTCCTTCATTATCTCAAACGACGCTTGGACTTTGAGCGGCGTCATCGTGGCTTTGAAGTCCTCTGCAACGCCGTGGACCACTCTGCTTGTGGGAAGTTTTAAGACGCTTCCACGACGTTTTCGCATTGTGAGATCGGAGCGCTGGATGAGCGGCTCGCCGGTCTCATCGTCTGTCATAGGCTTTTTAAGAGGACTGGTACGAGAACCTGTTAGGGATATCTAATGCAGTGGCATAGCATCGGTGTGAAGACGCGCTGGAATTCTTTGGTGACACGTCTGTCCTGACCGGGTGAATAAGACGACCGAGATGAGTAGCTGATCGTTGATGAACAACTCGACAATGCTGTCGAGTTTTCACCGCGGGAGTCAAGCATGGAGTCAAGTTTCTCTGCCTGGGGAACGGTCTTTGGGAATCCATCCAAGACGAATCTGAGCCCGTAGTAAGTAATAAACGACGCGAAAAAGAGGAATCAACACCCAACGCGCCCATTCTTGCAAGCCCCATCAGCAAAGTCGAAGGCTTCTATGTTCAAAACGTTCAAGCTTACGATGAGACTACAAAACTGCGTCGTAACATATTCTATGTGTTAAAGTGTTCGAGATTTTCTCTACCCCAAGATCCCCATTACGAGCGAGCTGCGAGCGGCAGTAAAATCTGTTCAGAAGCAAGCACGTTGATCAACTCAACAACAAACTACTAGTAACTCGCGCGTCGTCCCGTCAACCATACCGTTACACCGATGCGAAAGCAGAAATAGGACTCACTGTAGTTCACTGTCGCGACATGGCACTGAGTCACTCATACACATAGAAAGACGGCGAACTACCACGCCAGTGAGTCACGTGCTTCCATAAATGACGCAAACTACTCATACTCACAAGCCAATTGCATTCATGTTCAGGGCAGCAGGTGTAGTAAAGACAAAATGTAGGACACCATTCACCGTCGTCACTGACAGGTATTGATGCTGCAGATATCGATGCTGTCAAAGCAGCAACAACTGTGAGGGCATTGAAGGAGAAACGCATTGTTTGTGAGGATGCGATGATATGGGATCAAATAAATCTGAAGAGGACAGGAGGAAGACGGCTTGCTTTTGTGTGAAGGACCTATCCACCTGGAATCCCATTTCGAACAGATGATATCTGCAATGCCAGCAGATTGCCACCTAAGATCTACCTCAGTGTGAAGCAAGGTCTGTTGGCAATTTGACGTCTAACAAAATATCACCTGGCGAAGCAAGGTCAATGCCAGCTCGAGTTCACTGTCGGGAACTGCAACAAAGACTCGTTGATCATTAGCTCGCCTAGTCAAGCCGTAATGTCCCCAGACATCCTCAGACACCGCAGTGGGATCACGTGTAAGTAATGGAAGTAATATTTGTATTTTGCAAAGTGCCTTGACATATAACCGAGCTTAACATCATAGTGTGAGGTATCTCCCGTATGTATTTCATGATGTTGTCCTCGTTAACCTCGCGACTTTGAAACGACTACTTGACTCCATAATTCCATTGACGCATTGCACGGGCTGCTTCAGAAATCCATTCCACATACGAGATTACCATCGAAAATACTGGAGTGGTGCAGACCAATTTAAAGAGCCTTGCCTGCCTCGAGTCTGACCCGGCAAGGCTGTGTGCGCAAGGGCGCCCATTAAATAATGGCCTCTGATGTAGACGCTCACAAGTCTATGGCTCGAAAGCGTAAGTACCGTGCTAACACTAGCACACTACACAGCAACCTCGTGTCTTCCTGCAACCCGACAAGCGCTCGCTCGTCCTTCAACTGCGTTTCACCACCATCCAGCAACTTTTCATAGCACATTTGAAATATCCATCCATTCGATCTCGAGTAGCCTACAATCTCCATCGTTTCACGGCTTGATTGTTTCGCTGCCCGACTCATTCAACTGTCCAACATACTCACTAGACAGCCTGACACGCGTCGTTTCACAACATAACCCGGCTGCAAAGGAGCTAAATTACAGTGATCCATCGATCTTCGTACGTCATGCCCGAGATACAAACCCTCCCCACGATTTCTAACACCATCCAACCATACTAGTACTCTTCGCGACCCGAGTTCCACCTCACAAGTTGTGTCACAAATCATCTTCAACTTTTGTCAATGGACCAATGTCAGTATTGTTATCTCGTATTTTTTTCTTGGCTCTCTGACCTTACCGACAGTTCGTGGTGATGTTCGGTCGTCTGAGGGAATCTGGGAGAAGTTATCTCAGATTGCCGTCATGGGTGCTGCATATGATTCCCGTGAACGCCAGCCCCATCCCAAATGTTTGGAAGGGACCCGGACAGTCCTTCTCAACCACATCTACGAAATATTAGACAGCCGAGAACAGGGGAGTCGACTTGTTTGGCTGCATGGCACGGCAGGGGTCGGAAAGTCTGCTGTTGCGTTCAATGTAGCTGAAAGGATGCGAGGTCTGACAGTGACAGGGCAGGGGATGAAAGAAAAGCGGCTCGCGGGATCGTTCTTTTTCTCGCGCAGGCACACGAAACGCTGCACGACTGGATATTTTTTTGCAACGCTTGTTTACCAGCTTGCCAAGAATTTTCCTAGCATCCGAGAGGAAGTAATCAGAGCTATTCGCGAGGATCCTTCACTTCTAGACCCCGATGCGTCTCTTCACGACCAGATGGAGGCGCTCTTTCTCCCACCTCTCCGGAGACTTCAATTCAGACTTCGCGACTGTGCGCCTTTGACATTCATTGTTGATGCCATCGATGAATGCATATCCGAAACCGAGGTTGCGGATCTCATCTCCCTACTCGGCAAAGCTCTCCATCAGCCTGATCTTCCTGTCATCCACATCCTGCTCATGAGTCGCTCGGAAGCACATATCACCGAAGCCATCCAAGAAGAATCAGTGCGCCCGCTGGTGTGTGAGATACCAGTGAAAATTTCTGGGGAGGGTGTTTCTGCAGTAATCTCGTTAGATGGCGCAGATGTCGACAAAGACATCTATATTTTCCCAAAGCATTCCTTCACCAAACTGCACCAACGCTTTTCCGATTTCCCGCTCCCAACGTCAGATGAACTTGCGCGGTTAGCGAGCCGAGCGGGCAGACGTTTCGTCGTGGCGTCCACGATGATGAAGTTTATCGACGATGAATTCAATGATCCTCGCGATCGGCTCCAGCTCATGCTCGAACTAACAAGTGCACTGCTACCAGGAACAGAGGTGTACAAGTTATATGACTGCATCCTCTCGACATGTTCCAACCCGCAGCGGGCATACCAACACTTGTCTGTCGTTGCTGCCCTTGCAGACCCTCTGCCTATCTCACAAATATCAGGACTTCTTGGACCTGGTCAGGGCAAGGATGTCGAGATAGCACTGGTGCAGCTACGGTCTGTGATAGAAATTCCCACCGACAGTAGTCTCCCCGTGAACATCTATCATTCGTCCGTTCGTGACTATGTTTCAAATCGCTCAAACTGCAGCCTTCCCCAAGTACACAGTATTACATCACCGCACTCCCTACTCGCTCATTCCTCTTTCCGCTTGATGATACAAGACATTCCAGGAACCACAGCCCTCCTAGATGCACTCTCAGAATTAAAGAAGCAGAGTCGAGCAATGCAATCCCACGACCCACAGCGCTTAAAAGACTCATTATCTTTCATTGTCCAACCACCGGAGTCACTGCAAGTTCTTATCGGTCTGCTATGGCTTCGGGGAGATCGCAGTTCAGATTTACAATCTTGGCTAGGGACCCTGGATGGGTGTGCCTGGCTGCAGACTCGAGGAGTAGAAGACTGGTTGCAGACTCAAGGAGGGAAAGACTGGCTGCCGACTCAAGGAGGGAAAGACTGGCTGCAGACCGAGGGGGGACAGACTTGGCAGCAGACCTTGAGCGGAAGAACCTGGCTGATGATCCAGAGCAGACAACATATTCCTTTCCAGCCCATCCGAGAGTGGCTGCGGACTCAAGGTGGGCGAGACTATCTGCAGACCCCGAGGGGGCGGGATTGGCTGCTGACCTCGAGGGGACGAGAGTGGTTGCTGACCCCGAGGGGACGAGAGTGGCTGCAGACCCCGGGTGGGCAAGAATGGCTGCAGACCCTGGTCGGGGGAGAATGGCTGCGGACCCTGGTCGGGGGAGAATGGCTGCAGGCCCAGAGGAGGCAAACATTACTTCAGACCCAGGGCAAGCTAGAATGGCTGCAGTCCCAGAGCAGGCGAGCATCACTTCAGACCCCATGCAAGCTAGAATGGCTGCATGCTCAGAACGGGCCAGACTGTCTGCATACCCAGAGCGGGCAAGAGCTGCAAATTTCAGATGGGCAACGCGGGCTATCATGGAGTCTGATCGCGGGAGATTGGCTGCAGTTCCAGCCGGATGCTTCTGGCGCACAAGAGTGGCTGCAGACTCCGAATGGACGAGATTGGTTGCAGACCCGGAGTGGACGAGAATGGTTGCAGACCCTAGGAGGGCAAGTATGGATACACTCCCTACGTGAACAACAATGGCTACAGACCCCAGACGTGCGAGAATGGCTGCAGACCCCACGTGGACAAGAATGGCTACAGACCCAGAGTGGACGAGAATGGCTGCGGTCCCCACGTGGGCAAGGATGGCTGCAGACCCCAGATATGCGAGAATGGCTGCAGACCCCAGGCGGACAAGAATGGCTGCAGACCAATGGAGGACGAGAATGGCTGCAGTCCTCACATGGGCAAGAATGGCTGCAGACCCGGAGGGGACAAGAATGGCTGCAGACCCGGAGGGGACAAGAATGGCTGCAGACCCCAGGCGGGCAAGAATGGCTGCAGACCCCAGGCGGGCGAATATGGCTGCAGACCTGGAGGGGACGAGAATGGATGCGAACTCAAGGCGGACGAGAATGGCTGCAGACCACAGGAGGGCGAGGATGGCTGCAGACACAGAGCGGACGAGATTGGCTGTGGACCAACAACGGGAAAGACTGGTTGCAGACGCCACATGGTCAAGCATGGCAATTGACCCCTGCGGCATCTGTCTGGGCGACGATGGACGAATTCTCGAGCACATTGGAAGCAATCGGCGAGTACACGATCGTCCCAGAATGGCCTTCAATGCCAGCCTTTCAAGCACTTCAGCAGTTCAAGGGCTTGCCTGATTTCTTGATGTTTCCGGCATTCCTGGCATTAAGGCACCAGGATCATTTCACCTCTACATCACCAGAAGGTTGTTCTCCACCAGACTTGGATGTTATCCATGTTATGGGGGCCTTTTTGAGTTTCGCAGACGAAGCACGGAAACGAAGTCAATCATCTTCCGATGCTCTCAAATACGCATGTCACAATTGGGCCTTCCACCTTTCGCGAGCTCCTAATCCATGGGATGACCCACTAAGACACATTTTCAAGTCTTTCCGGAATCGTAATCTCCTCTCCTGGTTCGAGAGGCAGTGGTGTTTGAAGGGTCTGCGGTCTTGCCTCGTGATTTTATCCGAAGGGCAAAAACTTGCAAATGTGTGTATTCACAATCCTTCGCGACTCAGCACCTGACCTGTGAATATAGGAACTTCATCTCTTTCGTGCTCCAGGTCCATCTCAGACATCAGTCTGAAGCTGTCGCTTTTAGTTACGCTGTCTCATTATGATTGTCTTTTCTATCTTTTGTGTTACTCAATCGTTCAGTGTTCACTGCAATGCTGCAAAGCATTCTATTCTCTCCGGTTCCTGCAGATTCTAATACTGCGTCCAGGACGAACAAAAAACAGGCATTGCTTTCATCATCTCCTCTAATTTGAAAGTCGCAATATATTTGAGGCGCGCGACGAGCAAACAGTCTTTATTCTTATACCTGGACAAGCTCAGTTTCCTTCTCCCCTCCTTTCTCCTTTCTCCATCTCTCGTCTTGCACGTGCTCTGACATCGAAACCATCACAAGTTTCTTCATTTTCTTCCAGCCCCTCTTCATCGAGCTATTGAATGGAAAAATCAACAGTACATCGCTTTGAATCATTGGGAGACTTGCATCTGCATTCGGAGCGTCGACGAGAGTAAATGAAGGTTCCTCCTGACTCGGAAAGTCATGTGTCCATTGTCAGAGAGGTGTAAGCGTTACCAACGATGAATGGCGTACGGCACTTTCAACGATTGACTTCCAAGTGCGTCTCACGAGAAGATTGAGTTTCTTGATTGTTAGGGCAGCATCATCGTGAAAGCCCTCAGCAGTCATTTGTGTTCATCCCTCAGTGCTAGTGCCCTATTCGGCATACAGCATTCATGCATTTTTCTCATGTCGCCCCGGTCTTCACTGCCCTTAGTATCTGTCATGACGTTTTCCCCTCTTACACACAAAGTGGCGTCCCGGAGCTCCGTTGGACAGAGCCAAGTGGTTCAAAGTAAAGAGACATAGCGAGTAGGCCAATGTGCACTCCCCTCGCCGGGGAGCGCCCTTCCAAAGTGTTCCACCATGATCTATTGCTGTTACCAAACGAGGTGATGAATCAGAAGTAGTCCAGCTGAATCGATAGAGTTTATATGCATGCACTTTAAGATATCATCTTGTCACGGGAGACTAAAATATAGACCACGGCTGCTATGTACGAACAAAAATATACAACGAGTGTATCGTAGAAACCCCAGTGGTCAAACAGATCAGTACAACAGAGGTCACTCATAATTATACTATTGACAATCTTCCCAGAGACTGGGATCGCGAGGAAGCAGCAGAGAAGTACCTACAGCGAGAAATGCGATTGCCATCAGGAAGTAGTATATAAACCAAGCATCATGACCTTGCTGCATCGAATAAGAAAAGATCGATGCTGCCGATGCGGGGCCGATGATTCTTCCTCCTGCAATAAGCAGCTGAGTGATTCCATTGGTTGCTCCAAGCGAGGCGCGATTGGGAGCAGCTGCTTTGGTATACAACGCCAAGCATGCTACGGTCTGTCTCAGTTAAACAGAAAGCAGGACGTGTTGGTTTGACGTACAGTAGCACATGAGTAGGCTAGGCGTCAGCGCAAGTTGAACGCCAACACACAACCACACCGCCAAGCCCATGCCATGGGTTCGAGCCAGTCCGTTGATCACGGGGAATAAAAGGACAATGGGTATACCGGCGGAAACACCAAAGGTATGCATGGCACCTGCGCCAAACCGATCATGTAAACGAGAGAATAAAAGTAACTGGGATACACCATTGACGAAACCTGACACCGCAAGGATAGCGCCAATGCGGGGAGGATCAAGGGAAAGACCACCTAGTTCAATCGGCGTGGCATAGAAAAGAGGTAAGATCGAGATATAGTATGCGTTATGCAAGAGAGCCATTGTAGAACAATTTGCTGCCATTACCAGAACTTTTGGAGTTAGCACAGCGCGCAGTGGAAGAGGTTTTGATGGGACCTCTTCAGGGTTTGCTTGCCAAGAACCGGCCACAGCATCGCTCGATTCATTCTGTGTGGAAGACTTCGCATATGACTGTCCCAAGAGCCGTCTTTTAATCGACTTCAAAAGCGGTGTCCTTGTAGAAACGGTCTATATACCGCACTGAGTGTGATCCGGATGCAGTCCTTCAAAAGGAAGCTCACCTCTTTTAAACGGAAGTACGTGACTAGCCCAGCTACCGAGGCAAATATAGCCGGAACAGCGCATGGTAAGAGGTATGGGTAAGTTTTCAAGAGTTCTGATCGCCCAAAAATTTCAGGGAATCTATCTGCCGGCCGGGAGAGCGTTCCCCCTATGAGTGGTCTAGGACATTGTCAGTCACACTTCAAGAGCAAGCAGACAAATGTGGCTACCCGAACGCGTTCCCGATCATCCACGGAAGCGGCATATAACCGTATGCCTTTGGCAGATTGGTTGTGTCAGTGATGTCCATCACTATACTTTTGATGACGCCATTGCTCCCGTTGAGTGCCCCGCAGATGACACGGCTGGTCAAAATATCAGTAATCAATAGTCACTGCGGCTATTTACGAACCTGACCACCAGACCGAGAAAAGTTGTTGATAGTCCAAAGGAGAACATCGAAATTGTTATCGCGAATAAAGCAGTCAGTATCAAAGGCTTCCGCCCAACGTAATCAGACAGTTGACTCCAATGAAGAATAGTCATTGCTTGAGCTATATAATATGATGATTGCTCGGGATGATATCAGCAAGCAATAAGGGACAACGAAGGGTGAAACCATGCTCACCAGGATGCCGACATAGTGTCCAACCTGGGATTCGTCGCCGTGGGTCACGCCAATGTCTCTGATAAGCTTGAAAATGTTTCGATTGTAGTCAGACTAAAGCCCAAGCAGAAGGCTCACTTGAGGAATGAACGGAGCAAGGGTCTGGAGTTGAAGAGGGTCCGAAAGCTGCAAGAACAGTATAATCCAGAATTGATCCCAGGGCAGAGGTGTCTTGGTTATCGACCGCTCTAACCGTTGCAGAAGAGGCCTTGCCTCTTCATCCTGATGCCCAGTCATGGTGGTAGCGAGAGAGGTGGGGGATGCAATTAGTAGCCATCCGTAATATTTGGACTAGTTTAAATTAGTTGCGGGCTCATGATCGGAACCATGAGCTAACCTGATTCGGTCCAAGAGTGCTCGGGAACTGCTTTCTGCCAGCCCCGAACAGCATCAGGACTTGTTCTGGTATAAACACTTGTTTTTAGTTAACTCGAGGTCTCTGTGGACCACCAATCAAACGCTGGTGGTTTGAGTGCTCTTGCTAAGCAGCTGCTGAAGTGGACTCGACACGGAAGCTTGACGGATCCGGCCGCCGAAGCGTCGAAGCGCCAAATTATCAATGTACCCTCATGACTTACATGACCATAAGGCTTGCAAAGCTTGAAGGTGATTGATTCGGACTCGACCAGGAGCTTTACTGAGACGATTAGGTTCCCTAGAAGCTAGTCGTTGAAGTACATAGCCCATTGCCCAGGACAACAAGTTTATGCTGCTTCTGGTCTAGGCAGCACCGAGCTGGGGATGACTGAGCGCATGAACGTAAAGGCCGGCCTTCGCACTTGTTCGTAGTACCAGGACTCCAGCCACTGCACCAGGACCTCCTGCACTCCCATAGCCACGGAAGACTGTCACCGACAGTGTTGTGACTCGCCAATATTAATGACACTAGCAAAATCCAAATCTCCCCGCTACAGTGGGCTGCTCTGGATCATGGATGTGACGACATTGGCATACTGTTCCAACCAACGACTGGGTCAATGGCTCGTAGATGTGCAAGGTGAAAAAGAAGAACCCAAGCGCAACTCGAGCTACTGATGGGCCTGCCGGTCACCTCCCCACAGAAAAGCAACCAAGTATGTATCATCTTGACTCTTCATTTTATGTGAGACTACTTAGAGGCGTAATTTTCAAAGTTGATCCAAACACTGACAGTACTGTTCTTCTTTCCTTGAAGGTACTCACTAGTGACACAGCCCACCAGCGCCGGGATTGAGTACTTTCTGTCGCTAATTCTCTCTTTGTTCATCGGACTCCTGCCCTAGGATCTTGTGAAATCTTCGTCCCAAGGAGCAGATTCCTCCCCGCTCAAGCAGGTTGATCGACCTCTTCGCCATACTGCTGATCAGTGCACTTTCGGTGACTGAAAGCCCATCCTCATACTCTCAGCGAGGACTTGGTCTGACTAAGAGCGTTCGTACACTGATCTGCAATCTCACTCAAACGACGGTGCACGTTCTTCAAGCGCTCACGACAATGCGGTAATCATGGTAAGATTCTCGTTCACTGGCGACATCTTAGTCTAAGTTAACAGGGAGACCCGTGGTGATGAACATCATTAGCAGTACTTATTAATGCTGTTGTAGGAATAACATCTATGCAATGATAGTCATATTTCCCAACCTTTCACCTTGCACAAACACACAAGTTCATACTATTCGCGATCTTCCCATGCACTAGGATCACGCGGAAGTAACAAAGAAGTACCTACAGCGAGAAACGCAATCGCCGTCAAAAAGTAGTATACCATCCACGCATCATGACCTTCCTGCATCGAATACGAGAAAACCGAAGCTGCAGATGCTGGGGCAATGATCCTTGCTCCTGCTGCAACCATCTGGGAGATTCCAATGGTTGCGCCAAGCGATGCGCGATTAGGAGCAGCTGCTCTAATAAACAATACCAAGCATGCTATGGGTTCTTCTCAGACAAGTAGAACAGAAGGTGCCGGGTTGACATACGGTTGCACATCATCAAGCTAGTCATCAGGGCGTGTTGAAGGCCAACACACAACCACACCGCCAAACACATTCCATGAGCTCGAGCCAGAGCATTCATCACTGGGAATAAAATGATGATGGGTATACCGGAGCTAACACCAGTGACATGAATGGGTCCTGCGCCGAAGCGATCGTGTAGGCGAGCGTAGAAAAGTAGTTGGAATGCGCCATGGGCGATACCTGATGCCGAAAGTATAACGCCGATGCGGGGAGGGTCGAGGGAAAGGCCACCGAGTTCAATGGGCGTTGCATAGAAAACAGGTAGGATCGAGTTAAGTGCCATATACAATACAGCCATGGTGACATAACTGGTTGTTATGGTCAGAACTTTTGGAGTTAGCAAGGTGCGGAGTGGAATCGGTTTTGATGAGACTTCCTCAGAGTTTGCTTCTTCAGAACTAGCCAGAGAATGGCTCGCTGGCGTGGAACGCCTTGCATATGATTGTGGTAAGAGCCACCCTTTGATCGACCCCCAAAGCGATGCCCTTGTAGAGACGCTCTCGTAACCGCATTTTAGTGTGATTCTGATAGTCTTTGGAAATCACGCTCACCTCTTTGAAACGGAAATACGTGACTAGCCAAGCCACCAACGCAAGTATAGCCGGAACAGCGCATGGTAAGAGGTATGGATAAGTTTTCAGGAGTTCTGATCGCCCAAAGATTTCAGGGAATCTGTCTGCTGGTCTGGAGAGCGATCCCCCAACGAGTGGTCTAGGATATTGTCGATCCTGCTCCAAGAGCAAGTAGACGTATTGTGTATGCTTACCCGACTATGGCTCCTAACATCCATGGGAGAGGCATGTAGCCGTATGCCTTCGGCAAATTGGTTGTGTCAGTAATGTCCATGACCATGCTCTTGACGACACCATTGCTCCCATTGAATGCCCCGCAGAAAACACGACTGATCAGGGTATCAGTAATTGACAGTTAGGGCTGCTATTTACCACGCTAACCTGACCACCAGACCGACAAACGTTTTTGACAGCCCAAACGAGAACGTCGACACCGCTATCGCAAATAGAGCGGTCAGTATCAAAGGCCTCCGTCCAATATGATCAGACAGTCGACCCAAATGGAGAATAGTCAGCGCTTGGGCCATATAGTAAGACGATTGCTGGGATAACATCAGGAAGTAACAAGAGACACCGAAGGGTGCTCACCAGGATGCCAACATAGTGTCCAACCTGAGATTCGTCGTCGTGGGTCACGCCAATGTCTCTGATAAGCTTGACAAAGTTCCCATTGTGGTCAGGCCGGAACCAGAACAAAAGTAACATATGTACTCACTTGGGGTGTGAACGGGGCAAGGGTCTGAAAAACAAGTGAATCTGGAAACTGCAAGAATAATATGATCCAGAATTGGTCCCAGGGCAGGGGCGTACTACTGGCCATCAGTTGCTCTGGCTGTTGCAGAAGAGGGGTTTCCTCATCATCCTGACGCGCGATCATGGTGGTATGAGAGAACGATACAGACCCGGTCGCAGTTAACCTATTAAACACTCCATGAGCCGGCCGTTGACCTTCTTCTTGGCTCAAATTTGATATGATAAGTAGTCGACTGTCCGAGGGTACGTACTACACGATGCATGATAGCCTATCGATACTATTATGGTATCAGTAAAACGATACATCACCAGTCGGTCTTGGAACCTTTTTTCAAGCTTGAAAGGTCGAAAGCGTCCCGCTATGTCCACTAAGACTCCACTTCCTCCAAAAACACCAAAAGTATGCATCGTCACTACAACGTAGTACTAGTATTCGATGTCCCTTCAAGCATCTTACCATCGGAGCGCGGGGGCAGCTGGCGTACGAGGTCAACTACTGAGTTTTCGATATTGGGAAGACACGTACTGGCATATTATGATGTGGGACACGATGCTCGTCATCTGAGTTAGCTAGGGCCCAGCAAAACCGGTAGCGGCAGTGTACGACAACAAATACACCAAAACCACGGTTCAGATATGCCCGGCAGAGTTAAGCGCTGAGCAACGAGGACAGTCACAGTTGGAGCCTGAGGTGATGAAGGCAGTTGTTTGGCAAAACCTTCTAAACCAAACAACCCCCCTGAGAAAATGCAGAAACCTTCCTCCGAGGTCTCCATGTTCCGCCTTCTGTGCCGTCCAATAAAACCTCACCCACGTTTCTTTTCGACCACCCGTCCATACCTCGCAGAGTCTCATCCCAATGTCATCCACCAAATAGAACAAGACGGCGCTCGCATCCTCCACGCCGTACGGAAACGCGTCAAAATCAGGGATGAACTACTGGCAAATGTAAGACTAATCTAAGTGGTTCTAAAAATCAACTCAGTATATACCAGATGTCCGAGGACATGTCCTCTCCAGAAGACATAGCACGCGCACGTCAACTCAAAGAATTAGAGCCCTTGCATGAAGCATGGTCAAACTGGACGCACGCTCGTCAGGTTTGTGATCACCCACACCATAGCTATGCGCCCTCGCTCAATGCTACCACAGTAGTCCCTCGAAGAAACACTACCTCTTATACAAGATCCAGACCCAACCATGCGCGCTCTAGCATCAGAAGAATTTACATCTCTAACCAACACCCTCACCACCCACATCTCCACCACCTTTCCCTCTCTCCTCGTTCCTCCATCGTCCACGCGCCATTTGCATGCTATGCTGGAACTGAAAGCTGGCGTTGGAGGGTCTGAAGCAGCCCTATTTCTGTTGGACCTCTTGCGGGTCTATGTTCGGTATGCTGGTTCAGTCGGTTGGCGAACGAGCGTCATACAGAGCAGTGAAACAGAAAGCGGAGGCATGCGTGATGCTATCCTCGAGATTAAGGGCGAAGGCGCTTATGATGCGCTGAGATGGGAGAGCGGTGTACATCGTGTGCAGCGCGTCCCCGCCACGGAGTCGAGTGGGCGAACTCATACAAGTACCGTCGCAATCATAGTAAGTCTCTATCAAAATAGGTTGAATAGTGACTGACACCCCCGCTTCCAGGTTTTGCCACTGAGCGAAGATGCTGAGAGTATAAACGGGAATGATGAACTCTTCAAAATGGACGACGTCAAAGTTGAAGTAATGCGTGCGCGTGGTGCAGGCGGACAGGTGGCTTTTCGACTTTTCGCAACCTAACCGTCTCTGACCACTGTCCTCAGCACGTCAACAAAACAGAGTCTGCAGTCCGGCTCACCCATACACCCACCGGTATCACTGTTTCCATGCAAGACGAACGCAGTCAACATCAGGTAACCCACTCATACCCTCTTTTAACATAGTTCTGAATTCAAACAGAACAAGCGTCGTGCTTTTCAAGTCCTTCGCGCTCGTCTCATGGACGTAAAGCTCACTCAAGACATCGCCAGCCGCCGAGCTACTCGTCGAAATCTGGTGCGCACCGCTGACCGCAGCGAGAAGATTCGAACGTACAATTATGCGCAGGATCGTGTGACAGATCATCGAATCGGTCTCTCCCTCATGAACCTCACCAGCTTCCTGGAAGGTGACAGCGTGCAGGAGTTTTTGGATGCATTGCGCCGAAACTGGCAAGAGGAAATAATGGAGGATGTTGTTGGAGAGTCGGAATAAAACATCGTGTTTGTTGTCTCTTGTCGTAGCATACACATGATGACCCGAACGCCCCTTCATTATCATTCTTCTTAGATAGAGAAAACATGATATAAGTAACCACTTCCAAAATCCATGAGCTGTAAGCAAAGCAGAACACCTAGTTCATTCCGTCCATCCATCCATCCTGCAAACCGTGTATGATAAAACGCACCTCGCAAGCACAAGTCCGGACCAAACTACGTCACATCACTCGACATCCTTGGCCAGTAAGACCAAGCTCCTCAAGTTCCTCCTTTGCTGCCTCGCGTTCGTTAGCGCTCAGCTTCGCACGCGACTCGAGGGGAAACCAGTCAGCCATGAAGTTCAAGAGAGCATAGTCAACATTGGCTGTACAAAGTAAGCCGCCCGAAACAACGATGAGCAAGTACCAAAAAAACTCACTGCGGTCGGCCTTTAGCACAGTCGGGGCCCTGCATATAGGACAATTCGCTTTGCCAAGCTTTTGAAGCTTTACCAAACATCTATGATGAACCGTGTTAGTCCTTTTCGTCGTGCGCTGTGGGTTTGAACAGTCGTGCAATTACCTTACACAGAATAAATGACCACAACCAAGTCTGATCGGCTTGAACGCGAGACTAGTACAAATGAGACACGAATAATCGTCGACATGAGGTACCACCGGAAGCAAAATTTCGCCGATAGCTTGCACCAGGAGTCGAGGTAAAGATACGGGAGGCTGAGGTAACAAGGCCAACTCTGCTGGCGGTAGAGACTCTGGTAATGGTCCGTTCCAGAGTGAAAGGAGATAAGAAGGAAGTGGTAATGCGGTCCGCTTCGTATGCTTCTTCAGAATCTTACGGGTGGCCTCCGCATTTGCGAATTGGAACTATGTCAGAAGACGATGAATATCAATACTAACCAACAGCAAAAAATTAGTCACGCCTCACCCTCTTCAAATCCAAGATGAAAAAGTTCATCTGTATGAAAATATCTAGCGCATCCTTGCTTCTGGACATCTTGAGGTTACTTCTCTTCTCCCGCGTGCGTTCTTCGAACCGTTTCATCCTGGTTTCAGTTTCTTCGATACTGCGTTCCCCACGATTTCTCTCCCCAACACTCTCGAAGATCTCACCTTCGAGATACATCTGGAATATCTCCCTCCATGAATATAAATCCGACTTTCGGCTGGCAGAGCTGGGTCGTAACGTGGCAGCATTGTTGACGGTCATTGAATAGGTCGAAAAAGAACGAGGTGTTGATGAGGAGGCGGGGCGTGCCGTGGCACTGACAGTGTGCGCCAGACTTTGCAGCGTGGATGTGAAACTACCATGCACGGTGTTGAGGTGGGCAGAAAGCGATGCGAGTGCGGTGGTCAATAGCTGAAAGAACGCAGTATCGGATCGTAATGGTATGATAAGATCATGGGTGCTGGGGTTCTGGGCTATCAATGGGAACAGAAGGCAGAATACATGGGACGCACTTGGTGAATGAATAGGAGATATTCACAAAGGCCGTGCTGTTTTCCAGAGCTGTTGAATGAAGCTGAAGAGCCTCGAGGATGGTGTCCGGGGTGGTCGTGTGACCAGATACAGCCTTCTCAGTATTTGTCGGATGCTTGACTGACAGTCGGAGACGAGGTTCAAGATGAGCTGACGTTCCTGTAAATTCATAGATCACGGTGGCGTGTTGTTGTTGGTGGTGCTCATCACCGTCAGGAATGGCGCCTATTCGTATTTCCTCGACCTTGGCGGTCAAACTCGCATGATTCTGTTGTTCTAGCAATTCTTGAAGCACGGTTGGACTAAGACCAAGAGAAGAGAGCTCTTGGACTAGTTGGTTGATGAGTTTCTTGAGCTGTTGGATAGTCAGCGCTACCATACGTTGGGTACTCAAACCCCACCATAGCACTTACTTGGCGATACTGTATAGCGTTATCACGTAACTCTGGTGGTAATGTGAGCAACAGCTGCGAATATGTCTTTGAGAAATGCATTTCGTGTCAACATGCATGATAGTAATGAAGCATGATATTGAGAGAATATCGGTGTCTGTACATGTCCGAGTCGCTTGTGTCCGCATCCGATGTCAATTGGCTGACGTCGACCTGCCACAGCAATGATCGACTCGGAAGCAATCCAGAACAACGTTGGTGGGCCAGAGAAGTTCGGCACTATGTGTGAGCTCGTACAATTCGTCCTATCAACCGAGCCCTTCTGAGCCACTAGTGCTCACTGAGAGGGCGTTCAAAATTACACCAATTCAATAGCACAAAGACCTGGTGTGGAGTTGGACCCCGAAAACTCGATTGGTAGCGGCCCACAAGGGTTCCAGCTTGGCCTCAACCAGAGCTTGAGACTGAGAGATCATAGATGCAGGTCCTCGAGGAGTTTAGACTCGTCACCAATCAGTTGAGAGAGTTTTGATGTGGGAGTCACATAACCTCGCCGCTCGCGTAACGTACGCCGCTCAACTTGTTGTGCGACGGTCGTGCTACTCACGAGCCTACGAGGAGTTGGGATTCGGGAAAGTTGGGGTATGCACTTGGTTTGTACGTAGGTTCAACTTTCAAAAATGTTATTGCTGACAGGTTCACTTGTGGATTCATTACGCGATTTCATTATGGTCCGTCATACGCATCATGTGTCATGTTCGGTACCCTAAAACAACTCAATCCTTGAGTCCTTGACTGCAATTGCCCTAAACACACCCCAACTTTCCCGAATACCGACGTCGACGAGTCCTCATGTAGGCTCGTGAGCAATACCACGGACTCCTATGGAAGTCGAGCGGCGTACATATATGACTACGTCAACATTCTTCACTCTAGTCAGCTGATTGGTGACTAAACTCCTCGAGGATTTGCATCTACATATGATCTCTCAGCCTCAAGCTCTGGTTGAGGCCAAGCTGGGACCCTTGTAGGCCAGGTCCAAAGCTTTTGCATCTTAGTATGCGCTGAGTGCTCGCTACCAAGCGAGTTTTCGGGGTCCAACCCCATCCCAGGTCTTTCTCATTTTAAAAAAGGAAGACTGTCTTCCTTCTACATGGTCTGACTGCGGGAGACGTCTTTCTGCTATTCGTTCGTGAGTCGGTATAATTTTCAATGCCCTCTCAGTGACAGTGAGCACTAGTGCCTCAGAAGTGCTCAGATGATAGGACAGATGGTACAAGCTCACAATGCCATCATTCTTCGAACTTCCAACGTTGTTCTGGATTGCTTACGAGCTTAAGAAGTCCCTACCTTTACGTTCAGGTCGGACGTCACTAAATACATTCCTGTGGACTATAATACGTACACTGGGACTATATATCAGCGTCCAGCTCATTTAAAAAGGTTGTGCCAATCTTTCTCTTCGCACCACTATGGTGGCCCGTCAGGAAGATGAGGAAACTCCTCTTTTGCAACGACCAGAGCAGCCAATGACTACACCTCTGCCCTGGGATCAATTATGGATCATACTGTTCTTGCAGTTTTCAGACTCACTTGTTTTCCAGACCCTTGCCCCGTTTACCCCCGAAGTGAGTATATTCTCTCTGCGTGGACTTGAGAATCTGATCACAACCGGGATTTTGTCAAGCTGGTTAGAGACATCGGTGTGACCCGCGGAGACGAATCCCAGGTTGGACACTACGTCGGCATTCTGGTGAGATCGCCTTCATCGTTCGTTGTCCCTTGTCCCTTGCTGATATCATCTTGAGCAATCATCGTACTATACCGCTCAAGCACTGACTATTCTCCATTGGAGTCAACTGTCTGATCATATTGGACGGAAGCCTCCGATACTGACTGCTCTATTCACGATAGCGGTTTCGATGTGCTCGTTTGGGATGTCGAAAACTTTTCTTGGTCTGTTGATCAGGTTCGTATGTTTAATACTGCCATAACAGTCCATCACTGATATTCTGATCAGTCGTGTTTTCTGCGGGGCATTCAATGGGAGCAATGGCGTCATCAAAAGCATGGTCATGGACATTACTGACACAACCAATTTGCCGAAGGCATATGGCTACATGCCGCTACCATGGATGTTGGCGACTTTCGTTGGGTATGCATATACAGGACGTCTCTTACTCTTGAAGCAGCATTAACAATATTATAGACCACTCGTCGGTGGATCGCTCTCCCGACCAGCAGACAGATTCCCTGAAATCTTTGGGCGATCAGAACTCTTGAAAACCTACCCATACCTCCTGCCGTGCGCTGTTCCGGCTATGTTTGCTTCGGTGGCTTGGCTAGTCACGTACTTCAGTTTCAAAGAGGTGAGCGTGATTTTAACAGTTACATCTAGATCATGCTAAGTGCAGTAACGAGGGTGTTTCTTCAAGTGCACCACTTTGGGGGCTGATTCAAAGATGGTTCTTGCGACAGTCACATGCAAAACCTTCCGCACCACAAAGCAATTCTCTGGCCAGTTCTGGGGTAGCGAACCCTGAAGAAGACCCATCCAAGCCGCTTCCACTGCGTGCCTTGCTAACTCCAAAGGTCCTGACCGTAGCAGCAAGTTATGTCACAATGTCTCTATTTTACATGGCATTCAGCTCGATCCTACCTGTTTTCTATGCGACGCCGATTGAACTCGGTGGTCTGTCCCTCGACCCTCCCCGCATCGGCGCTATACTGGCAGTATCAGGTGTCGCTCAGGGCGTATTCCAGTTACTTTTCTACGCTCGCCTACATAATCGCTTTGGCGCAGGAGCTCTTCATATCGCCGGCGTTGTCTCCGGTATACCTATCGTCCTCTTATTCCCAGTTATCAATGCGCTCGCCCGAGCCTATGGCCTAGGATTGTCAGTGTGGATATGCATTGGCATTCAACTTTCGCTGGCGACTAGCTTGGTCATGTGCTATCGTATGTCAACCAAGTACTTCCTGCGTTCTGCTTGACTCACAAGAAGTAGCCTGCCTGGCATTGTTTATCAGAGCTGCTGCTCCCAATCGCGCCTCGCTTGGAGCAACCAATGGAATCATTCAGCTGGTTGTAGCAGGAGCAAGGATTACTGGCCCAGCATCTGCAGCTTCGATCTTCTCTTATTCGGTGCAGGAAGGTCATGATACCTGGATGGTATACTACTTCCTGATGGCAATTGCATTTCTCGCTGTAGGTACCTCTCTGTTGCTTCCCCGTGATCCTAGTGTATGGGAAGATCACCAATAGTATGACCGTGAGCGACCTGCGTGTTATCCGATTTCGGCCGTGTTCACTGTCTACGAGAAACAGCGGTGAAGAGCGTTGTAAAATTTGAACTTGGAGACTAACAGAGGGAGTCACCCGGGCTACTTGCAGAATTCGGGTAAATCAGCATCCTTCTCCAGAAATAAACTCACAGCGTATTCCGCTGTGGTGTTTGTCATGCGGAACTTAACAGATTCATCCCAAACTTTTGAGAGACCCGCAACGCTTGCCATTGGTTTGTGCGTAAGTCAGATCTGCGTTAGTTCGACTTTCAAAAATTAAGTACATATACAACGTTTGCTGACGGGTTCGAAAGAATTGTGAATTCATTATGCGGTGTCATGGCAATAAATGATCATGCAGTTCGGTACGACGGTACCCCAAAATAACTCAATCCTTGACTGCATTATAATTATTGCAATTGCCCTAATGTTTCCTTACCCAAAGTTTGCCCGAAGGTTCATGAGTTTCGCTCTCCCGTCCATAAAGGGTCTCCCAGGGGTCGGGGCCCGGGGTGGATCCGCATAGCGGGGGCGTTGCACCACGCCAAACCACGCCGTTTCTGGAGATCCTGATTTGCTTACTTGGTGTGTTAGTATGCAAGTATCCCAAGTGATTCCATATGTCAGTCTCCGAATGACTCCGAGTTCGAATTCACAATGTTTTGTACTTTTACCGACCAGCATTCCCATGGAATCATATTTTGGTGGCCACTGCGTAAGAATGCAAGGACGCAAAAGATGGTCTCTGTTTCATTATTGCGCTATACGCGGAAAATGCGTTGATAAAATAGTGAACATGGCTGGAAACAGATAACACGCAGGTCGCTCACGGTCATACTATTGGTGATCTTCCCATACACTAGGATCACGTGGAAGCAACATAGAAGTACCTACAGCGAGAAATGCAATTGCCATCAGGAAGTAGTATGCCATCCACGCATCACGACCTTTCTGTATCGAATAAGAGAAGACCGAGGCTGCAGATGCTGGGCCAATGATCCTTGCTCCTGCTGCAACCATATGGATGATTCCATTAGTTGCGCCAAGCGAAGCACGATTGGGAGCAGCTGCTCTAATAAACAAAGCCAAGGAGGCTGTGAAATATTCTCAGTTAACTTATAGAATCCGGAAAGTGCCGGGTTGACATACGATAGCACATCATCAGGCTAGTCATCAGGGCGTGTTGAAGGCCAACACACAACCACACCGCCAAACTCAGGCCATGGGCTCGAGCCAGCGCATTGATCACTGGAAATAATAGGATGATAGGTATACAGGAGCCAACGCCGGAGATATGAATGGGTCTTGCGCCGAAGCGATCATGTAGGCGAGCGTAGAGAAGTATCTGGAATGTGCCATGGGCGACAGCTGATGCCGCAAGTATAGTGCCAATGCGGGGAGGGTCAAGGGAAAGACCAGCCGAGTTCAATCGGCGTCGCATAGAAAACAGGTAGAACTGAGCCAAATGCCAGATGAAAGAGGGTCATGGTGGCATAACTTGCTGTTACGATCAAAACTTTCGGGGTTAGCAAGGCGCGCAGTGGAAGCGGCTTTGAGGGGACGTCTTCAGAGTTTACGGCCCCAGAACTGACCAGAGCATTGGTCGATGGTGTGTAAGACTTTGCATATAACTGTCGCAAGAACCACCCTTTGATCAGCTCCCAAAGTGATGCCCTGGCAGAAACGCTCTCGATACCAAGCTTATAGTAGTCCAGATATAAGTTTTCGACATCACGCTCACCTCTTTGAGACGTAAATACGTGACTAGCCAAGCTACTGACGCAAATATCGCCGGAAGAGAGCACGGCAAAAGATATGGGTAGGTTTTCAGGAGTTCCGATCGCCCAAAGATTTCAGGGAATCTGTCTGCTGGTCGGAAAAGCAATCCCCCAACGAGTGGTCTAGGATATTGTCAATCCTACTTCTAGAGCAAGCAAACATACTGCATAATGCCTACCCAATCATGTTTCCGATCATCAACGGAAGTGGCATATAACCGTATGCTTTCGGCATATTGGTTGTGTCAGTGATGTCCATTACCATGCTCTTGATGACACCGCTGCTCCCATTAAATGCTCCGCAGATAGCACGACTGGTCAAAAATGAGCATCATTGATTGACAGTCATGTTAATGTTTGACATGCGAACCTGACCACCAGACCGAGGAAGGCTTTGGACAGCCCAAACGAGAACATCGAAACTGAAATCGCGAATAGAGCTATCAGTATTATAGGCTTCCGCCCAATATGATCAGACAGTTGACTCCAATGGAAAATAGTCAAGGCATGAGCTGCATGGTATGATGAATGCTCGGGATGATATCAGAAAGGAACTGAAGGGCAGGAATGATGAAAACAAACTCACCAGGATGCCGACATAGTGACCAACCTGGGATTCGTCTCCGTGAGTCACTCCGATGTCTCTGATAAGCTTGACAAAGTTCATGTTAATGCTTCAAGTCGAAGCAGACGGAATATACTCACCTGGGGAGTGAACGGCGCGAGGGTCTGAGAAGCAAAAGGCTTTGCAAGTTGCAAGAACAGTATGATCCAAAATTGATCCCAGGGCAAAGGTGTCCTAGCTACCGGCTGCTCTGACCGTTGCAGAAGAGATCTCTCCTCGTCATCCTGGCGCGCATGGGCAGTCATGGTGGACTGTGGTACGAGAGACAGATAGAGGGGAGGCGAAGCTTGTATATCTATATTTAGTACAAATTCATTTCATGTGGCCGGCTGCCGCTCTGAGTGGTTCTGAATTGGTAGTCCAAGTTGGCAGTCAACAAGAGTATGCTGTTTCGGGTAAATTGAGCTGTGAAATGGTCAGCGCTACCATATGTTGGGTGCTCAAATCTCACCATGACATTAATTGCATGCGCTATCACGTAGCTCTGGGGGTAATGTGAGGAGCAGCTGCGAATATGTCTTCGAGAAATGCATTTCGTATCAACATGCAGTAATGACCCATATTGTTAAGAGATAGATATGCCTTACACTCCAATGTCAATTGGTTAACGTCGACCTGGATGATCAACTCGGACTCAAGTAATCCAGCAAAGTTCGAAGAATGATGGCACTCGTACCATTCGTCCTATCAGATGAGCCCATCTGAGCCATTAGTGCTCGCTGAGACAGCGTTCAAAATTATACCAACCCACGAACGAATGGCAGAAAGACCTGGGGGTTGGACCCCGGAAACTCGATTGGTAGCGAGCGCGTATAGTTATATGCAACTAAGAGAGAACGATTATCTTCCTCCTATTGGGTCTGACTAGGGGAGACTAAGATGTGGCTAGCTTTGCAAGGATCTGGCCCACAAGTTTGAAGGGTTCCAGATTGGCCTCAACTTCAGGACTCGGTCGAGAGGCTGAGAGAACCAGTCAGCTGACTATATATGTCCTGAGACAGAAGAGTTTTGACGTGGTCATACGTACTGCTCACCAATTCGGATTCGGGAAGGTTGGGGTGGGTACTTGGTTTGTACGGACGGTTCAACTTTCAAAAATATGCTCATGACCGCTTCTGGTCGCAAACACGTATATGCCGACCAGCATGCCTATGAAACCGCATATTGGTTGCTACCTTACCTGAATTTATAACGCGTCAGAAAAGCTCGAAGACTACAAGGACGCAAAACTGGTATCTGTTTGACATGGCTGAAAACAGATAACCCGCAGGTCGCTCGCGGTGATACTATTGACGATCTTCCCATACACTAGGATCACGGGGAAGCAATAGAGAAGTACCTACAGCGAGAAATGCGATTGCCATCAAGAAGTAGTATATAAACCACGCATCATGACCTTCCCGCGCCGAATACGAGAAGACCGAAGCTGCAGATGCTGGGCCAATGATCCTTGCTCCTGCGACGATCATCTGGACGATTCCATTAGTTGCGCCAAGCGAAGCACGATTAGGAGCAGCTGCTCTAATAAACAAAGCCAAGGAGGCTATGAAATATTCTCAGTTAAGTAGAACGCAGAACGTGCTGGATTGACATACGATAGCACATCATCAGGCTAGTCATCAGGGCAAGTTGAACGCCAACACACAGCCACACCGCCAAACTCAGGCCATGGGCTCGAGCCAGCGCATTAATCACAGGGAATAAGAGGACGATAGGTATACCGGAGCAAACGCCAGCGATATGAATGGGTCCTGCGCCGAAGCGATCATGTAGGCGAGCGTAGAAAAGTATCTGGAATGTGCCATGGGCAACAGCTGATGTCGCAAGTATAGTGCCAATGCGGGGAGGGTCAAGGGAAAGACCGCCGAGTTCAATCGGTGTCGCGTAGAAAACAGGTAGGATTGAGCCAAATGCTATATGAAAGAGGGTCATGGTGGTATAACTTGCTGTTACGGTCAAAACTTTCGGGGTTAGCAAGGCGCGCAGTGGAAGCGGCTTTGAGGGGAAGTCCTCAGAGTTTGCTGCCCCAGAACCGACCAGAGCATTTGTCGATGGCGTAGCCGGCTTTGCATATAACTGTCGCGAGAAACCTTCTTTGACCAGCTCCCAAAGTGATGCCCTGGTAGAAATGCTCTCATTACCACACTTAGTATAGTCCAGATATGAATTTTCAAAATCACGCTCACCTCTTTGAGACATAGATACGTGACTAGCCAAGCTAATATTGCAAATGTTGCCGGAACAGAGCATGGCAAAAGATATGGGTAGGTTTTCAGGAGTTCCGATCGCCCAAAGATATCGGGGAATCTGTCTGCGGGTCGGAAGAGAAAACCCCCAACGAGTGGTCTAGGATATTGAAAATCCCAATTCCAGAGCAAGCAAAGTAACTGTGTAATGCTTACCCAACTATGGTTCCAATCGTCCACGGAAGTGGCATATAACCGTATGCTTTCGGCATATTGGTTGCGTCAGTGATGTCCATGACCATGCTCTTGACGACACCACTGCTCCCATTCAATGCTCCGCAGATAACACGACTGGTCAAAAATGAGCGTCAGTAATTGACAGTCATGTTAATGTTTAACATGCGAACCTGACCACCAGACCGAGAAAGGCTTTGGACAACCCAAATGAGAACATCGAAACTGAAATCGCGAATAGAGCTGTCAGTATGACAGGCTTCCGCCCGATGATATCAGACAGTTGACTCCAATGGAAAATAGTCAAAGCATGAGCTGCATGGTACGATGAATGCTCGGGATGATATCAGAAAGGAACGAAGGGCAAGCATGATGAAAACAAACTCACCAGGATACCGACATAGTGGCCAACACGGGATTCGTCTCCGTGAGTCACTCCGATGTCTCTGATAAGCTTGACAAAGTTCATGTTAACGACTCAAGTCGAAGCGGACGGAAAATACTCACTTGGGGAGTGAACGGCGCGAGGGTCTGAATAGCAAAAGGCTCGGAAAGTTGCAAGAACAGTATGATCCAAAATTGATCCCAGGGCAAAGGTGTCCGAGTCCTAGTCACCGGCTGCTCTGGCTGTTGCAGAAGAGGTCTCTCCTCGTCATCCTGGCGCGCATGGGCAGTCATGGTGGACTGTGGTACGAGAGACAGATAGAGGCGAGGCGAAGCCTGTCTATTTGAGTATATATATTGTAGCTGCTCTGAGTCGTCTGGCTCCGAATCGGTTGTAGTCCAAGTTGGTAGTCCACAAGAGTATGCTGTTTCTGGTTAATTGAGCTAGGAAATGCCTCACGCATGAACATATTGACGGTAGTACAAACATACTAATTACTAAAGCAGGCAAGAACAAGCCAAGATCTAGTGGCCAAAAATTTCACTGACCCAACAACATCCAACACATCCTTCTGCAATCTCTATTAATTTGGACAATACACCCAACACCGTACCGCTATCTGAATCGTGGCGCCAATACATCAACTCTTTAATACGCTTCTCAAGTTGCGACCCCCGATCATCGCCAACCCGTACCCAAGGACCAGTAAGGCGTGCTGGAAACTGAGATCGAGGCACCAGGGTACTCTGGTCGACCTTCAAGTTCCTTTGGGATAGGCACCCCAGCACTGCATCCAACTGAATCCTGATCGCTCAATGAAACATTATAAGAACGTTTTCAGTCTACCTATATGATATATCTCATCGGCAGGTGACGAATGACCTCAGACGGAGTCGAGGGAGAGTCAATATTGATAGTGTCGCGGGAATAGTATGTATTGCACACCATCAACATGTAGATCTCGTTCTTGATGATAGCTTTGCTTGAAAGTGTGGAGTGCTCCAAGGAAGGAGTTTAAGTTTGGAGTTTATGGAAACCGCATTGGAAAAGATTGTGGACACGGCAAGGGCATGGGTGAAAAACAGATACGAGGCAGGTCGCTCATGGTCATACTATTGGCGTTTCTTCTTCCCATAGACTAGGATCACGAGGAAGTAATAGAGCAATACCTACAGCAAGAAATGCCATTGCCATGAAGAAATAGTATGCCAACCATGCATCACGACCTTGCTGCATCGAATAAGAAAAAATCGAAGCTGCAGATGCTGGGCCAATAATCCTTGCTCCTGCGGCGACGAACTGGGCGATTCCATTGGTTGCTCCAAGCGAGGCGCGATTGGGAGCAGCTGCTCTAATAAACAATGCCATGCAAGCTACGGATCCTTCTTAGTCAAGCAGAACGCAGGAAGTGTTGAATTAACATACGGTAGCACATGACCAAGATAGCCATCAGCGCGAGTTGAACGCCGATGAACAACCACACCGCCCAACCCACACCATGGGCTCGAGCCAAAGCTGTTGATCACCGGGAATAAAATGACCATGGGTATACCGGAACCAAGACCGGCGACATGGATAGCGTATGCGCCGAAGCGATCGTGTAAGCGAGCGTAGAAAAGTAGCTGGAATGTGCCATGAGCGAAAGCCTGATATCGCAAATATAGCGCCAATGCGGGGAGGGTCAAGTGAAAGACCACCGAGTTCAATTGGCGTTGCATAGAAAAGAGGTAGAATCGAGCTAACTGAGATGTACAAGAGTGCCATGGTGCCATAACTTGCTGTTACGGTCAGGACCTTCGGAGTTAGCAAGGCCGCGCAATGGAACCGGCTCTGATGGGTCTTCTTCAGAATTTGCTTCCCCAGAACTTGCCCGAGCATTACTCGGTGGCGTGGAAGGCTTTGCATATGATTGTCCCAAGAGCCATCCCTTAACCAGTTCCCAAGGAGGTGCCCTGGTAGAAACGCTCTCGTTTCCGCGCTCAGTGTTGGTGTGATCCAGATACAATATGTTCAAAATCACGCTCACCTCTTTGAGATAGAAATACGAGACTAGCCAAGCCATGGAGGCAAAAAACTGCTGGAACAGCGCACTGACAAGAGGTACGGGTAAGTTTTCAGTAATTCTGATCCCCCAAAGATATCAGGGAATCTTTCTGCTGGTTGGGAGAGCGATCCACCAGCAAGTGGCCTAGGATATTGTCAACACTACTTCAAGAAGCAGACGTAATGCATATGCTTACCCGATTATGGCGGCTGACATCCATGGGAGTGGCATATATCCGTACGCATTCGCCAAATTGGTTGCGTCAGTAATGTCCATCACCATGCTTTTGACGACACCATTTTCCCCATTGAATGCCCCGCAGATAATACGACTGATCAGGATATCAGTAATTGATAGTCATGGCGACCATATATGTAACCCGCGAACCTGACCAGCAGACCGACAAAGGTCCTTGACAGCCCAAACGACAGCATCGTAACCGCTATCGTGAATAGAGCGGTCAGTATCAACGGCTTCCGCCCAATGCGATCAGACAATTGACTCCAATAAAGAATAGTCAGGGTTTGAGCGACATAGTACGACGAGTGCTTGGGATCATATAAGGAAGGATCAGGTGACAATAAAAGATGAAGAAATGCACACCAAGATGCCAACGTAGTATCCAACCTGGGATTCGTCCCCGTGAGTCACACCAATGTCTCTGATCAGCTGAACAAAATCCCAGTTGTAGTCAGATTCAAGTCCAAGCAGAAGGAGATACTCACTTGGGGGACGAACGGGGAAATGGTCTCAAAAACAAGAGGGTCTGAAATCTGCAAGAACAGTACGATCCAAAATTGGTCCCAAGGTAGAGGTGTCTTGGCCATCGGCGGCTGTTCTGGCCGTTGCAGAAGAGGCATCCCATCCTCATCATCATCCTGAAGCGCGATCATGGTGGCACGGGGGGAGGACAGAAGATGAGCTAGATATGTTTGAACACGATTTAACAGTGACCAGCTCATTGGCCAGCTCATTGGTAAGCAGTACAAGCGCAGTCACGGTCTATAGTAGAAACATGCTGTTTCAGGCTGTTTCTGGTGACACAACGGGAAGCGTGGACCTACGTAACGTACTATAATCGTAAGAAAGCAACGTTGCTTGGTACCGTCCGACGCCGTACAGAACGTATTAGGTAATGGTACGTGCGAGCGTCCACTGCCACTGGAGGACATATACTAGCTTGCCAGTAATGTAGCATGTACAGAAAACACTTCGTCCGACAGTGGACATAACTGGAAAACAGACGCGACACATCATGATGGTGCTCATAGTCATAAGTACTATTGCTGTTCTTCTTCCCATAGACAATGATCACGAGGAAGGAACATAGACGTACTTACAGCCAGAAATGCGATTGTCATCAGGAAGTAGTACGCCAACCACACATCACGACCTTCCTGCATCGAATAAGAAAAAACCGAAGCTGCAGATGCTGGGCCAATAATCTTTGTTCCGGCGGCAACCAACTGGACAATTCCATTGGTTGCTCCAAGCGAGGCGCTATTGGGAGCAGCTGCTCTAATAAAAAATGCCATGCAAGCTGCGGGTCTTTCTCAGTCAAACATAACGCAGGAAGTGCTGGGTTGACGTACAGTCGCACATGGAGAAGAGAATTATCAGCGCAAATTGAACGCCAATGAACAACCACACCGCCCAACCCACACCATGGACTCGAGCGAGAGCATTCATTACCGGTAATAAAATTATCACAGGAATGATGGAGCCAAGACCGGCGACATTAATGGCGTATGCACCAAAGCGATCATATAAGCGAGTGTAGAAAAGTAGCTGGAATGTGCCATGGGTAAAACCTGATATCGCAAATATAGCACCAATGCGGGGAGGGTCAAGGGAAAGACCACCGAGTTCAATCGGCGTCGCATAGAAAAGAAGTAGAATCGAGTAAAGTGCGGTATACAAGAGCATCATGGTGCCATAACTTGCTGTTACGATCAGGACCTTTAGGAGTCAGCAAGGCGCGCATTGCAACCGGCTTTGATGAGACTTCTTCGGAGTTTGCTTCCCCAGAACTGGTCCAGAGCATTGCTCGATGGTATGGAAGGCTTTGTATATGATTGTCCCAAGAGCCATTCTCTGATTAGCTCCCAAGGAGGTGCCCTGGTAGAAACGCTCTCGTTTTCCGCGCATAGTGTTAGTGGGATTCAGATAAGATGTTTCAAAATCACGCTCACCTCTTTGAGATAGAAACACGTGAGTAGCCAAGCCGTCGAGGCAAAAAATGCTGGAACAGCGCATGACAAGAGATATGGGTAATGTTTTCAGGAGTTCTGATTGCCCAAAGATCTCGGGGAATCTGTCTGCTGGTCGGGAGAGCGATCCCCCAGCAAATGCTCTGGGATATCGTCAATCCTACTTCAAGAGCAAGCAGAAGTACTGTATATAGTATGCCTACCCAATTACAGCTGCTGACATCCATGGGAGTGGCATATATCTGTATGCCTTCGCCAAATTGGTGGCATCAGTAATGTCCATCACCATGCTTCTGAGGACACCGAATTGACCATTAAATGCCCCGCAGATAACGCGACTAATCAGGAAATCAGTAATTGACAGTCATGACGACTATGGATGTAACACACGAACCTGACCAGCAGACCGAGAAAAGTTTTGACAGCCCAAACGACAACATCGTCACCGCTATCGTGAATAAAGCAGTTAGTATCAAGGGCTTCCGCCCAATGCGATCAGATAGTTGACTCCAGAACAGAACAGTCAACGTTTGAGGGACGTAGTACGATAATTGCTTAGGATGACATTAGGAACGAACGGGATACACTGAAGAATGAAGACGTGCTTACCAGTATACCGTAGTAGTATCCAACCTGGGATTCGTCCCCGTGGGTCACGCCAATGTCTCTGATCAGCTTGACGAAATTCTAGTTGCTGGCAATCTTCAATTCCAAGCGAAGAAAAACGCTTACTTGGGGGGTGAACGGGGAAATGGTCTCAAGAACAAGTGAGTCTGGAAACTGCACGAACAATATGATCCATAATTGGTGCCATGGCAGAGGCGTCTTGGCCATTGCCCTGCTCTGGGCGTTGGAGAAGAGGAATCTCCTCGTCATCCTGATGCGCAATCATGGTGGTACGATGGAACTACGGGAGATGGGCATAATTATATCTGAACTCGTTTCAATGAGGCAGTCGCTGACCGGCTCATCAATGTGGCGAACTCATTAAGGGCATTCGACAGGAACATGCTATTTTTGTGTTTTATTTTCAGAGGCACTAAATCTGCAAGACAGCCGACACCAGTCTGACCCCAAGCTAACGGTACATAACAGCACATAGCGCGGATAGGAAGCCACGAATTTATCTGACACGCAAGACCCACTAAAACTCCCTGGTGATTGTTACAGGAATCGAACCTGCAACCCCTGGCTTGAGATCGGCGACTGCCGAAGCAGTCCCAGGCTTGGGCTGGCTTCCTATTACGCACGGGTACTAGCCTCTAGGGCTCACTGTGATAAGTGCTTAATGCATGGCAGCATTGGTAGTAGGTGCCACAGGAGGACATACAATTTAAAGTAGACATGACACAAAACCAAAATAAATGAGTGATTTGTGCAGCACGCTCTTCTAGTAGAGAATTGCAGCACCAGAGCAGTAATCAAACGAGTTACTGTAGAGGAACAGTAGTTAGGACGGTGCCACAGCATGAAGCGCGCCGCATGTGATGAAAGTTCCATTGCGTTACGTCCAAGATATGATAAGTCAGTAACTGTCGGTCCTCGTCGGGCACTAAACCCGACAACGTAGATTTCCGTCCACCATCGCTATCGTAGCACCAAGACACCAACCAAGCTCCGTACCTCCAATACGCTTCCCAAGTTACACCTCCCGATCATCGCTGAACTCATATCCAAGCACCACTCTGGTCGACTTCATCCATGACTTCAGGATATGTACCCCAGTATTCTTTCCAACTGGTGGGTTCCGCGCAAACCCGTTTCGCAAGCGCGGCGAATGTTGAAATTGTCATGGGGGGCTGAGGATGATCTGATTCCAATAAAGAATAGTCAAGGTTTGAGCGACATAGTACGACAAGTGCTTGGGATAATATAAGGAAGGATCAGGTGACAATAAAAGATGAAGAAATGCTCACCAAGATGCCAACGCAGTATCCAACCTGAGATTCCTCCCCGTGAGTCACACTAACGTCTATCGACGGCTTGCCTCATAGGTTTAACAGGACTGGTCACGAGTCTACGCCTGCGATCGTCCACTGCCACTGGAGGACATATACTAGCTTACCAGTAGTGTAGTATGTACAGAAAACACTTCGTCCGACAGAGTGGACATAGATAGAAATCGGACGCGACACATCATGATGGTGCTCATAGTCATAAAGTACTACTGCTGTTCTTCTTCCCATAGACAAGGATCACGAGGAAGGAACATAGACGTACTTACAGCCAGAAATGTAATTGTCATCAAGAAGTAGTACGCCAACCACGGATCGCGACCTTCCTGCATCGAATAAGAAAAAACCGAAGCTGCAGATGCTGGGCCAATAATCCTTGTTCCGGCGGCAACCAACTGGACGATTCCATTGGTTGCCCCAAGCGATGCACGATTGGGAGCAGCTGCTCTAATAAAAAATACCAGGCAAGCTGCGGGTCTTTCTTAGTCAAACATAACGCAGGAAGTGCTAGGTTGACGTACGGTCGCATATGGAGAAGAGAATCATCAGCGCAAGTTGAACGCCAATGAACAACCACACTGCCCAACCCACACCATGGGCTCGAGCGAGAGCATTCATTACCGGTAATAAAACTACCACAGGAATGATGGAGCCCAGGCCAGCGATATTAATGGCGTATGCATCAAAGCGATCATATAAGCGAGTGTAGAAAAGTAGCTGGAAAATCCCATGGGAGAAAGCTGATGTCGCAAATATAGCGCCAATGCGGGGAGGGTCAAGGGAAAGACCACCGAGTTCAATCGGCGTCGCATAGAAAAGAAGTAGAATCGAGTTAAGTGCGTTGTATAACAGTGCCATGGTGCCATAGCTTGCTGTTATGAGCAGGACCTTTGGAGTCAGCAAGGCACGCATTGGAACCAGCTTTGATGGGACTTCTTCGGAGTTTGCTTCCCCGGAACTGGTCAGACCATTGCTCCTCGATGGCATGGAAGGCTTTGTATATGATTGTCCCGAGAGCCATTCTCTGATCAGCTCCCAAGGAGGTGCCCTGGTAGAAACGCTCTCGTTTCCGCGCTCAGTGTTGGTGTGATCCAAATACAATGGCTAAAAATCACGCTCACCTCTTTGAGATAGAAACACGTAAGTAGCCAAGCCGTCGAGGCAAAAAATGCTGGAACAGCGCATGACAAGAGATATGGGTAAGTTTTCAGGAGTTCTGACTGCCCAAAGATCTCGGGGAATCTGTCTGCTGGTCGGGAGAGCGATCCTCCAGCAAATCCTCTGGAATATCGTCAATGCTACTTCAAGAGCAAGCAGAAGTACTGTATATATGCCTACCCAATCACAGCTGCTGACATCCATGGGAGTGGCATATATCCATACGCATTCGCCAAATTGGTGGCATCAGTAATGTCCATCACCATGCTTTTGGTGACACTATATTGACCATTGAATGCCCCGCAGATAACACGACTGATCAGGAAGTCAGCAATTGACCGCCATGACGACTACAGATGTAACACGCGAACCTGACCAGCAGACCGAGAAAAGATCTTGACAGCCCAAACGACAACATCGTGACCGCTATCGTGAATAAAGCAGTCAGTATCAAGGGCTTCCGCCCAATGCGATCAGATAGTTGACTCCAGAACAGAACAGTCAACGTTTGAGGGACGTGGTATGATAATTGCTCAGGATGACATCAGGAACGAACGGGATACACTGAAGAATGAAGACGTGCTCACCAGTATGCCATAGTAGTATCCAACCTGGGATTCCTCCCCGTGGGTCACGCCAATGTCTCTGATCAGCTTGACGAAGTTCTAGTTGCGGCGATCTTCAACTCCAAGCAAAGAAAAACACTTACTTGGGGGGTGAACGGGGAAATGGTCTCAAAAATAAGTGAATCTGGCAACTGCACGAATAATATGATCCAGAATTGGCCCCATGGCAGAGGCGTCTTGGCCATCACCTGTTCTGGGCGTTGGAGAAGAGGAATCTCCTCGTCATCCTGATGCGCAACCATGGTGGTACGAGGGAACTACGAGAGATGGGCATAATTGTCTTTGAACTGGTTTCAATGGGGCAGTTGCCGACCGGCTCATTGGCGAGCTCATTACTGATAAGCAGCACGACGGCAGTTCGCAGGAACATGCTGTTCCTGGTGAGGGCGGGAATCAAAAACCTCACACGCGTTGCAGGCGCGTACGTAAAGTTGCAACACCTCCTATTACGTACGGGTACTGCGATTACATGCGAGCGTTGGTACCACAGGAGGGTATATGATTCAAAGCAGACATGATAATAAATGAGTGATTTGTGCAGCTCGTTCTCTAGGTAATTGCGACACCAGAGCAGCCTGTGGCGGAAAAGTAGTTAGGACGGCGTACAGTGCCACAGCACGAGGAGCACCGCATGTAATGAAAGTTCCATTGCGTTACTTACGTCCAAGATAAAATAAGTTGGTAACTCTATCTGTATTAGAATGTTGGTCCTCGTCGGGCACTACACCCGACAACGTAGATTTCCGCCCACCATCGCTATCGTAGCACCAAGACACCAACCAAGCTCCGTACCTTCAATACGTTTCCCAAGCTGCACCTCCCGATCATCGCTGAACTCGTATCCAAGCACCAGTAAGGCATGCTGGAAACTGAGATCGAGGCACCACTCTGGTCGACCTTCTAATTCATCCATGACTTCAGGATATGTACCCCAGTATTCTTTCCAGCTGGTGGGTCCCGCGCAGACCCGTTTGGCAAGCGTGGCGAATGTTGAGATTGTCATGGGGGGCTGAGGATGATCTGATGATGAGTCTGTTAAGAGCAGTGGGGTGACTCGATCGTAGAAATACGAGAGAAGGAGGATTTTTCCGTGAGGGAAAGCGTCCAGGAGTGATGGCTGGTAAACACCGTTGAAAGAGCAAGGTTTGAGCTCACAGACGCTATTGCAAGCAATCAACAAACACGAAGAGAATCGAGAGAGAAAAAGTAAACTTACTCATCCTTGGCCATGACGAGCTCCAAGACTCGATTACAAGCCTCAAAACTGCCGATATCTGACCCCGTCATCGTCACTGTCACAGGATCGCCATCTCCTACAGAGAGCTCTACTTCTTTCACCGATCCTTGAGCCAAACAAGGGTTGTGAATCATTCTCCTCCGACCGCTAGCACTATTCTTGCTAGACCTCAGAGAATCCATGAATTGGACGACACGATGCACGCTCTCCCGAGCGCTCTTGAGGCCGTATCCAAGATACGAGTGCTGGTACAACACCCGCTTAGCCCCGCCAAACTCAAGCTCATACTTATGCTCGCCCTCCTGGAGACCTTCATCACCCTTCTCATCGCCGAACTCCGGCTCGAACACGATCTGCGTGGACCCTCCACCCAAATCGAGCACAGCATAAGGCGATACACCCTCGGGCGAATCACCTCGAATGGTGTTCAGAAGGTAGTTCGCAGTGATCCACGCATAGACGCCCTCGTCTTTACCGTCCATGATCACCACGCCATCCTTGTCAGGGAATGAGAAGGGATATTTGTGGAGGATGTGCTCGTGCACTGCTTTCAGGATCTCATCGCTTTTCCAAGTGCCAAGAAGTCGGAGCCCAGCAGTGGCTTTGACAGCAACGGGGGTACAACTGCGCAGGGAGTCTGGTACCACGTTCATGGCTTCGTCGAGGAGTGGGTCGAGACTCTCTGCCGCTGCAGTTGGCAGTCCTGCATACGCAGATAGTCCTGGTTGTATCATGCGGAACACCTCGTATTCAAAGGTTGGGGAGGGTCCGCAATTATGGAATTTGTAGATGTGGATGCGTGAGCCGGTGGAACCAGCGTCAATCATGAGGGCATACTGCACAAGAGGAAGGTCGGGAGAATGGGGGGATGTACAGTGTACAGTTTTGAGGAGGTCTGGGTCTGTCTCGGGGGAGGTTGGAAAGGAGGTTTGGGGTGGTGGTGAGGTACCAGTGGTCTCATCCTCTGAGTGATCTGAAGGTGTCGTTGTGGGTATATGTAGTGGTGGTAGATAAGCATCTCCATCATCCATGCCAGGCATTGGCGAATCTTTGTTTTATGATATGTAAATGCATTCCTTGGGCAACAACCAACGCAAGACGCACCAGGTATCAAATTTAGGCTCGACCTCGGTCCGAAAAACCAAACCAACGAAATGAGCACTCCAGCACCAATTGCGAATTTCTTCCATGCTATCATCCTAGTGGCACGGCCAGGACCTAAGCCGCCTTCGAGACGCTCGTAGTTGCTGGTCGTTGTGAAAAACATGTCAGATGCCGGGAGCCTGCGTGCACGGGCCTCACGCCTGAGGTCGACGGACGTAGAGTGGCCTGAGAGGTGTAATCGTGTTATGGCGAGAAATGAAAGCAGCCTTCACTGGCTCGCCTCTGATACAAAGAGTTGTTTCAAGTAAACTTTCAGCCAGACTGATGCTCGTGGACCAATGGAGTTTAGGAGCATAGCCTCAATTCATTCACAGGACATGTCAAACTAGTGTTACACGCAGAAACCTGTACTTTTGATTTGCAGGTCTACTCGACAGCGCATATGTATGTATCAACCTTGGGCCATATGGGCGGGGAATGTGGAATACTAGACGGCTAACGAGTAAAGATAGAGGATAAAGATCAAGAAAATTTCGAAGGGGATTCAAAGTTACGAGCAATCATAAACATGTGGATGGGGGATACGACGATGCTCCTCGCCAGTGGATAGGGGATGGGAATGGTGGACATAATAAGAATACACGGAGCACCGAAGTGGTAGCCAAGGACAGGGGCTACTATGATGGACGTCCGAGAAACAATATCAGGTATCAGCAGAACGAAGAGAGGCTAGTCGAGTCGCATTCATGGGTCTGGGAATTCAGGACATTCGATGGTATGGCTTCGAAGCAGAGCCTGGCAAGTCATCGCCCGCGCTTTCCAGATCTCACTCTCGCGCTTGTACTGCTCAACACTCTCCTCCAACTCACGCTGGTACTCCAGCTTGCGCTTGCGACTCCGTCGGGCAGCAATTGTGTTTTGCCGCCTCTTTGCCTCGATCTGCTCCTGCTCAGTCATTGAGGGTGTAATGCGTACATCCTCATTGAGCTCGTCCTGTTCGTCACCGAACGCAGCCGTACGAGCTCGCTTGCGAGCGAAAACAGCAGGAACCTCCTTACGAGAAGTCGCTGACGGGGTGAGGTATTTCCGCTGCTGAGTAGGAGCATCGATAGGAACGAGGGATTCTGGCGTAATGTTCTTACGCGTGCCAGTGACAACAGTTCTCCGTGCAAGTGAATGGTCGGCAGGAGTGTCGAGTGGCGATTCAAAAGGAGTGTCGAGCATTGGAGTATCGAGCAATGGGGTGCCGGGAGAGATGCGATACATTTCATCGAAGTTGGGTTGGGGGGGCTGGCAAGACTCGGCGGTCTTGGATGGGGGATAAAAGTCGCCAAAGAGAGACGGCAGTTCGCCGAACGAGTCACCAAAATCATCCAAAAGCGGACTGGTCAGAATGTCTGCATTGATGTCGGCGGAGCCGAATGCAGGCGTCGTGAGTAGCTCATCGTCGAAGGGAGAGTCGAGCAGGGGCGAAGTGAGGTATTCGTTCAGGTCGTTCGACATGGTGAGCTCCGGCGTGGCTAGTGGAAACTGCGTAAGCCACGCAACTGTGGCTGGACTAAATAACTCACCACCGAAGACGTCCATAAGCGTCTGAATGGCTTCTGCGTCAGACGGCGAAGCCGTCGATAGCGCCGTGTCCTCTATGCGGACATCGGTCGCATCATTGTTGCCTGGTTTTTGGGACAACATGGTCAAGTAGTTGGAGCACAAATTGGCGAAATCGGGTGAAGTTGGTGATGCAAATGATTCAACTGACAGCGTTGAAGAAGATGGTTCTCCTGGTTCTGGTCTACGAGGAGTTGTACGAGGTGCGCGGGGCAAAAATTGGGGTATCCCATAATGAGAGGCAAGATCTGAAATGTTATTGAAGACCGGAGTAGACGTCGATTGACGTTCTGAGTTGCTGTTTATCGCGACATGGCGAGAAGACGAGGAACTTGAAAGTTGGGAACTTCCAAGGTGATTATGCGAGAAGACATGGTGACCGGGTGTTAGCGACGGGTGTGGACGATTCAAGATCGGCGAGCGATTTAGCACTGGCGAGTCGACGACATGTTGACTAAGATAGTGTGATTGATGTGAAATTGCGGGAAACGGGAACGTGTTAACGGACGAGTCGGACACAGGCGGCAACGTTGGCTGCCTGGAAGCTCTGGACGACACAGTCAGTTCCCTGTTCATATCACGTTGGGTATGGCGTTGAGCCAAGAGCGGTGAGTGTGTTTTGCATCGCGGTGACTCCCCTGACCCCGAAAGTTGCACCGAAAATGTTCGTGAAGGCCCAGCGAGGGGCGTTGTACGATACAGATCGGGCGAACTAGAGGTCGATGCATGATGGTAAACAGACGCCGACGACATCGTTAAGCCACGCGCACTCTTGATTTCAATCGATATGATAGAAATCGGTAATAATGATATGATATGATTGTGCGCAGCGATGCCGGGCAACAGACAAAACACGCGTAGAACACAATGAAATGAATCAGACAGGACTGAGTCACTCACGGTTAGCTTTTTAGAGTACTTTATGACTCTTGGACGCCTCAGAAGCAGTGTAAACTCTGCTCTTTGGTGTCGTGGTGGTTTGAGGGAAAAGGGATGCGGAAGAAAACCGTGACTCACTTGTGCTTATATGAGAGTTTTTTCACCGCTTTTCAAGCTCAGAGCCGCGCATTTCCCAAAATAGTGTGAAAGGCACAGCCAATCCGCTTACTTTAAGGCACCGACACTAAAATTCGAAAAAACATAGTAAAAAGAAAATCATATATTTAGGAGATCACAGCATACAATCCCCCTACAAGCTAGCCAAAAAAAAAATGGCTGTTCAAAGTTGAAAAACGCTCCCAAAATCATATCACATATCTGAGATATTCCGATGACCATGGCATCGGGAGTCGGAATTCGTGGTGACCGTACCTTCGTTACCGCATCCTGACTCAGATATAGGCGCGCTGAACAACCACGACTCTGCAGAAAATAGGGCGCAGCCTGGCGGCCCGTCATGGATGTCAAGTGCTTGTGCTGCGACCAATCGGATACCTTACCGGGAAACCATTCGCACAGCCTTGCGTGTTTGCTGTGGACATACTTAGACACATCACCGCCAGAGAAAACACGTCGCACAACGTGTCAGCGAGTTATGCGTGGGAGCCAAGCTGCGCGATCTCCGGTTACTGCGAGCTTGACTGCGAGTGCCTGCGCCGCTGGCGACTACAGGAGCTACTCCGTAGTCGAGACCCCGCAGTGTGAAATAGAATGACACAGGTTAGTAATAGTAGTGACGTCTAGAAGAATCAGAAAGGACTCAGAAGAACTGACCCATTCCAATATCGTTTGATCGCCGCAAGCCAGTAGACACCGGAGGATTATATATAAGCGAGAAGTAATTGTTGCCCAGGAAAGTTGCAAGTTATTAACAACTCGAGCAGGCATTGTCCGCTCGATTAGGTTATGGCCAGCAGAATGACTACAGACAATGAATAAACCCAATCAAGGCATAGCGATACAATCACCTGTTTTTGGAGAACCTATCCAGTGAATGATTTTAATCTCTGAATCGAGACAAGATAAGGAAATCTGTTCTCGAACGAGGTCGCGGAAAAATGCCAAGGCAGTGATGGCGTGACCACAAGATGCAGTACTGCGAGCGCCGAGTGGTCGGCGAGCATGCTCGATGTACAGGCTAGTTACAAATTTTGTAAGCTGGACATCTTTGACACAACATTGTGGCGAATGTCGTTACGCCGTGCAGTTTGGGCGGACGGGAAATGCCTGATAAGTAATCCAGTAGTCCTCGGAGGGAAGTCGGGATCGGAACTTACCTTGAGCCGTTGATTGGCACATGCTGAGTACGGTCTCGATGCAGTGTATTGTGAAGGCGATGGAGATGGTCCGAATATTCGCTAGACCTGCAGCACCGCCAGGAGGTGTCACCTTTCACAAGCGAATACTTGGAATAGTGCAGTGCACCAGGAATCGGGAGCACTGGAGTAGAACCGCAGCTAACACAAGGAAAGGCGATGCGACAGTTTCAGAAAAAAACAGAACGCAAAGGAAAGGTAGAGAGCGAGTGTTCTAGAGAAGATTTAAGGTCTGAGAGCAAGAATATAAGGAGAGCTAAAACATGTCCGACGTCTGACTCGCATCGAAAGTTGAACATCGTGACTGAATTTAGGCAGCAGTTATTACGTAATAACCCAAGTTTAACTTATCCCTTCCTAATGGAAAAGATAAGATAACACTATACCAGTACCATTCTACCCTGTTGCCTACCGGCAATGACGAAACGCGAGACCGTCAAATCCGAAACATCATCAAGATCCTTAGAAATGCAACTAGCAACCTATCCTGAACGTGCGTGTGCTAAACTTGGCAAACTCAGCGACACGCAAAACGTATAAATGCCTTCCCGTCCTTCCGAGTAATCTTCACCTCACTTAACTTACTCATCATCATGCCTCACCACCACCACGACCCCGCTGAAGCTTACGAGCAGGTACTTATTCGATCGCTATACAGTACATACCTTATCTGATCGCGAACATCGCAGGTCAACAATGCACCTCACCAGGCCCAGCTCTCTCATGAGTTGATCGCCGCCGCCGCTTCTTACGAGGTAAGTTCTCCTTCCACCTCCTTCGATATCACCATTCAACTTCATCATAGGCAATGAAAGCCTACAACAAGCACTGCGAGAAGAATGGCAAACCTGCGAGCCACGACACTGCCAAGGAGATCATGTAAGTCCTATGGCCGTGAAAGACAAACATCCCAACTGATCTTGTCCGTAGGGCTGCCGGCGCCGGATTCTTCATTGACCGTTTGGTCGAGACGAAGGGTGTACGTTTCATCTCGCTCATCATCTGTGCAGCGCATAACATCATCATTCTAGTTGGACTACGTAGACAAGCAGAAGACGAAGCATCATGGTGAGTATGATAGATCTTACTTCTGACACTCGAGTTAACTGTTCTGCAGCCAAAGAATCTGCCTTCGACAGGTCTGGTTACTGATCGCCAGGAGCGCCTTATGCAACCCATTGACAATACCCAACCATACCAATATTGCTTATCGTCATGTAACATGAAAGGAGTGACAAATGTAACGATAATGTACATATGCACAGACGCTTTGACATATGCCCATGTTTCAACAATACTATCACGATCACGATCGATCCATATGAGCGATATTAACAGCGTCCAAGTGTAGCTGAAAGGCACATAGATACAAGTAATAACACTCGGTCCCGTCGATGTCCTCGAACAATAGGGTCGAAGGCCTTAAAGACTTGACATCGCCTGTGGATGTCAATAGCACGGGCGACGTTGAACAAATGTGCGAGCAGATCAACCTTTGACACTGCATTTTGGACCTTGGTAAGTTCTCACTTTTGGGTCTTCTGTTCATTGCGTTGCTTACTCCGTTGCCGCGCCGTATCCCCCACCTGCAGCAGCAGAAGGAGGACTTCCAATCCTCCGCCAGCACTGACCATGATATGATCAGCCATCAGTCCACCCAGTGGAGCACAGGCGTCGCGACGAACAAGCAGTAAACCAAACAAGGTGTCTGTATTCCGACAGGTAAAGCTTAGCTTGACCGGTTGACTGGTCAACGTAACCGATACGGCGATAAACGATAAACGATTTTCATTGGCTAACTACGCTACTGATACTACTTAACTGGTGGCTTACGTACACACAGACGTCTTTTCCTTAGCATGTACACTGCGTCGTCGTCCGCACGTGAATTCTGGTTAGATTTGCGTGTTTCTTGTTTCTCGTCGTCGGCCACGACGTGGTTCCAGCAAGGTCTGTCATTTCTACATGTCAAGACAGATGATACTAGTCAGGCATTATTTTCCACTGGGTGCTGCTAGTTGAACAACAACTCCTGCCCCGTATTCTCCATGCCAGCCAATTCCAGCCGCCAGTAAAACAGGGAATGCAAGAGGAACGCACCTCGTTGATCCTAGCCTTCAAGAACGGGTTCTTGATATACTTTGTCGAAGCACTACGATTGGTGCAAAAAATACGACTTCTCCTTCCCTGACAAGTCGAGACTCTGGTGAGCATGGTTCATAGATCAGACTACTAGGCAGTGCTTGTCACACGCATAAGATTGCTAGTCCCTCCCTATTGGGATGGGCCCGGGAATCGGGATAGATAAGATAACACTATACCATATGTTATTGCCTGGCGGTAATGAACTAACGCGAGATCAGATGCCAGTGCAGCTAGCAACGTAACTGAACGTGGGTGCTCGTAAACTCAGCGAAACGCAAAACGTATAAATACCTTCCTGTCCTTCTGAGTAATATTCACCCCACTTCATCTATACCAACTCACTCAATCATCATCATGCCTCACCACCACCACGACCCCGCCGAAGCTTACGAGCAGGTACTTATTCGATCGTATACAGTATATACCTTATCTGATCACGAGCATCACAGGTCAACAATGCACCTCACCAGGCCCAGCTCTCTCATGAGTTGATCGCCGCCGCCGCTTCTTACGAGGTGAGTTCTCCTTTTACCTCCTTCGATATTACCATTCAACCTCATCATAGGCAATGAAAGCCTACAATGATCACTGCGAGAAGAATGGCAAACCTGCGAGCCACGACACTGCCAAGGAGATCATGTAAATCCTATGGCCGTGAAAGACAAACATCCCAACTGATCTTGACGTCCGTAGGGCTGCTGGCGCTGGATTTTTCCTTGACCGCTTGGTCGAGACGAAGGGTGTACGTTTCATCCAGCTCCATCATCTGTGCAGCCCATAACATCGTCATTCTAGTTAGACTACGTAGACAAGCAGAAGGCGAAGAACCATGGTGAGTGCGACAGACCTTACTTGCGACACTCGAGTTAATTGTTCTTCAGCCAAGGAATCTGCCTTTGAAAAGTCTGGTTATTGATCGCCATACCCAATCAATGAACTATATCAATATTGCCGATCGTTATGTAAAATGAAAGGAGTGACAAATGTAACGATAAGTAATGTACACTAGACTCGTGACCAGTCCTGAATTTCATTGGATTCACTACTATCCCTTCCGGTGCAATCGGCATCCCACAAAAGTCGGCAGTCACGCTTTTTCGCAGGGTTTTGTGTGACTGCCTGTGACCAATTGTAACAAAAGTGTCACGTTTTCCCGCCAAAATGTGTGACCTACCGACTTCTGTGGGGTGCCGATTGCACCGGAAGGGATAGTACCCACAGTGCCTGAGGCAAGCCGTCGATAGACGAACTGGTAAAACTGGCTTTGAATTTGGAGGTCGAGCTGATTCGCAGGATAACGTGACCTTCAGCGAATGAAAAAACCAGGTTTTTTCAAGCTGTGGCATAGAATACAAAATAAACAATATAATTTTCACTATTGACGCGACGCGACGCGACCTACCAAATTCAAAGCCAGTTTTACCAGTCCGTCTATTAGTGTTGCCGCGAATTGAACCGAATCGAAACGAGATGGGAGTTCGTTCCAGGTTCGATGGTCGAGGTGGAACGAACTGAAGTGTAACGAATACGGCTCGAAGCTCCAGCCAATGAGAATTGTTTGTAAAGTGAAGTAGATATGAAGTGGCTATGTTTCATTCTACGTTATCGTCGTCGACATTTTGTAATAGATCAGCAAGCTCATCGAACTTCCCCGTAACTATCAATTCCTCTGCAGCCCTTCGTGTCACAGGTCCAGAAATCTTGTAGTCATCCTCTTTTGCAATCAAATCACTAGTGAAACATAATCTCTCCTGTCTGTAAGAAAATTTGAGAATCTGGAGTGCTTCCATTACTCGTGGTGAGAGTCTGCTTTGACTGAGTGTGCAGGTTTCTTTGCTGGATGAAAATACACGTGCACACGGCACAGAGGATGCTTGAGCTGGCAGGACATCCATGGCAACGCAGAAAAGTAGTGGATAGACTTTTTCCATGCGCTGAAATTTGACTTTAGTGCCTTCCTTATGTGAAGGAAAAGTCGAGCTCACCTCCCAGAAGCGAACGAGATCAGTCACACGCTCGCCCGCATTGAACGTGACTGATTCACGCTCATAACGCTCAAGCTCACGCAGGGCATCTTTTCGGTCCTCTTCGAGTGCCTTAGCATGCTGTGCGTTCTTGTGTTTCTTCGCGCGGGATCGTTTTCGCGTTTTCTCGTAGTAGTAGTTGGAGCGATATTATTGACAGCCGTAGGAGTGATGTCGGCAAATGGATTTGGTGGTGTAAAGCTTGCTGCAGCTGGTGAATAAGGGGCTTGCACGAAGTGATGCATGTTTGCCAATGCATTTGCGACAGGCAATGGATGTGGGAGATGCGGAGATGCAGAAGTGTTGTTCGGGAGCCCACATGGTGTGTGAGGGTAAAATGGTGGACGCGCATGAGCGGCGGACCATGCCAGACTTGTATAGCCTGGGTGAGGGTGATAATGCTGTTGCTGAGATGCCGAAGGGATGGCAGAAGCTGCAGAACTGTTCCACCGGTGAAAACTCATGTTTTGGGAATATAATACTTAACTCACAGTACGACGCACGAATTTATATGACGACCTATACATTCGTCGCCTAATTAACCACGCTTGAGGATTGCTCAACATTTGTATTGTACAGCATTGCAGGCGCCTGTCCTCCGGCGCTAAAGCAGTACTGCGGTCCGACGAAAATACGTATAATGATGTTCTACACCAAAAGGTTCGAGGACGGACAACGGAGGAGCAGAGTACATTGAGGAAATGCTAGAGATGTGAGGTTGCTGGAGTACTACTCTAACGAATCACCAAGTCACAGGCCAGATTTAGCATTTCATTTGGCAGTTCGTTCCTAATTCGATGCTTATCTAAACGAGGCGTTACGAATCGAGTTGTATCGAACTGCCTCAATTTCGAACCAAACCGAAGTTACCAGGTCACCTTGGTTCGACGGCAACACTAACCATATGTTATTGCCTGCCGGTGATGACCTAACGCGAGATTAGATGCAGCTAGCAACTAGCTGAACATGGGTGCTCGCAAACTCAGTGAAACGCAAAACGTATAAATACCTTCCTGTCTTTCCGAGTAATCTTCACCCCACTTCATCTATACCAACTCACTCACTCATCATCATGCCTCACCACCACCACGACCCCGCCGAAGCTTACGAGCAGGTACTTATTCGATCGTATACAGTGCATATCTTATCTGATCGCGAACATCGCAGGTCAACAATGCACCTCACCAGGCCCAGCTCTCTCATGAGTTGATCGCCGCCGCAGCTTCTTACGGGGCAAGTTCTCCTTTCACCTCCTTCGATATTACCATTCAACCTCATCATAGGCAATGAAAGCCTACAACAGTCACTGCGAGAAGAATGGCAAACCTGCGAGCCACGACACTGCCAAGGAGATCATGTAAGTCCTATGGCCGTGGAAAACAAACATCCCAACTGATCTTGACGTCCGTAGGGCTGCTGGCGCCGGATTTTTCCTTGACCGCTTGGTCGAGACGAAGGGTGTACGTTTCATCCAGCTCCATCATCTGTGCAGCCCATAACATCGTCATTCTAGTTAGACTACGTAGACAAGCAGAAGGCGAAGAACCATGGTGAGTGCGACAGACCTTACTTGCGAGACTCGAGTTAATTGTTCTTCAGCCAAGGAATCTGCCTTTGAAAAGTCTGGTTATTGATCGCCATACCCAACCAATGAACTATACCAATATTGCCGATCGTTATGTAAAATGAAAGGAGTGACAAATGTAACCATAAGTAATGTACACTAGACTTGTGATATGGCATCCATGTATTTCAACAATTTCAGAATCACAATCAACCCATATGGGTGACATCATGATATTAACAACACTCACTAGGGTAGTTGAAAGGCACAGATACAAGTAATAATCCTCAGTCTGACTCGCCCCGTCTGTGTCCTCAAACAATGGGATCGAAGGCATTGGCCGTTACAGACTCGCTTCCCCTGCGGATGCCAACAGCAAAGGCGACGTTGGACAAGTCGCACCAAACTTAGGTGCGAGCAGATCAACTTTTTTTCAAACAGCGTCAGTGCTGTGATTGCTGCAGTCGCAACCCACCCACACCCAAGTCCGCCATCGGTAAGGGCGAGAAACTGTGGTGGCCGCAGAAAAGAACTGGTTGTGGGATGCTCGCCAAAACGCGAACGCAGTCCCTGTCAGAGTAACTGCGTCAGGTGTGACGCTGCATCGCAATTATAGTAAGAGTGTGATAGCGTCCATTGACTCCCATGGAAGAAACCAGCGCGTGCTCGACTCAATTCCATCATTCCTTTGGATGACGCAGCAGGCGCGTCACGACCGCGTCATTTTTACCTGGCCCGCAGCAGTGACCTAGCACGAGACCACGTGCAACTAGTAGCCTAGCGCAACCTAGCCTGACCTAGCTGAAGGTGCGTCGCAAACCCAAGATGTATAAATGCCTCACCGTCCTCCCGAGTCTGATTTTCACCCCACTTCATCTTCCTCATCATCATCACCATGAACGACGACCTTGCTGAAGCTTACGACCAGGTATTCGATCACCTGTACAGTACACCCTTTATCTGATCGCGAGCATTGCAGGTCACCAATGCACCTCACCAGGCGAGCATTTCTCATGAGTTGCTCGCTGCTGCCGCTTCTTACGAGGTGAGAGTTTTTTTTCTTCCTACTTATCGATCTTACGATTCAACCTCGGATACGTCACCATAGGCAATGAAAGCATACAATGATCACTGCGAGAAGAATGGCAAGCCTGAAAGCTACGACACTGCCAAGGAGATCATGTAAGTCCTTTGGCCGTGGGGCAGTCATCGCAACTGATCTTGACGTCCGTAGGGCTGGTTTTTCCGGAGCCTTTGTTGATCGGATGGTCGAGACGAAGGGTGTACGTTTCATCTAGCTTCATCATATGTGCAGCCCATAACATCGTCATTCTAGTTGGACTACATAGACACGCGGAAGGCGAAGAACCATGGTGAGTGTGACAGACCTTACTTGCGACACTCGAGTTAATCGTTCTGCAGCCAAGGAAACTGCCTTTGAAAGGTCTGAATACTGATCGCTAGGAGCACCTTATGCAACCCAATACCTTACCCATACCAATATTGCTGATCATCGTGTAACATGAAAGGAGTGACAAATGTAACGATAATGTACATATGCCCAAACGCTTTGACATATGGCATCCATGTTTCAACAATAATCAACCCACACGAGTAACATCATGGTATTAACAGTGTTAAAGCGTAGCTGGAAGGCACATAGATACAAGTAATAATCCGTCCAAATGAGAATATCTAGGTTGAAAAAGATGCGGTCTGAGCGATGCACGTACAAGTGAAGTCATAAGTAGGAATGTACCGGAAATGTACAAGTGAGTAGCAGCCAGCTAGTGAGATCAGAGAATATACTATGCGGAGGGATACCTCCAGAAAGTTAGAAATAAGGGATCATAATCCGAAAGCTACGTCCGAGGTAATGTCGTGCTGTGTAACCACTGTCCGGAAATGTCCGTAATGGGGTCCGTAAATCTAAAGCGATGACGCGAGCATCGCGCACGCCATTGCAAGGAGAGTCCACATAAGTCCTGCCGGACGATTTGACCATTCCGCTCTAGTGCAATTTACGAAGTTAGCACAAATGGGCATATGTCGTCAATCGAGATTGCGACGCACCCGCTTGAATTACTACCACCAGGCTGCTTGATCATCTTTACGGTTAGTACCGCCACAAGTCCGTCGATCGCATTCAATCCGTTGACAGCAACACTCTGATAGTGGTTGATGCCGTCACTAGTGTTCTGTAGCAGCCCAGATACATACGTTGCGGTAGTTGCATAGGTATAATTATTAAAGGATGTTTGTCCCGAATATGTCGATGTGTTGGTCATGTTTAATGATGGAAGGATAGTCGACTGAGAGGTGGCATTCCCAACGAGCCAGTCTCGACCTAGGTTGTAGCTGCGAGATGTCAGTGGAAGATTATTGAACGAACACAATTCGTACCCATTGACTATGATATTATGCTGATCTGTGACACGGTCATTAGAAATTCTGATCAAAGTGACCTCTCCAACACACCAGCAATAGGCATTTCATATGAAGCTGCCATGAATATTGCGCCGGAGTCTGCACTTTGCCCATTCTGTATCCAATAGCGGAAGTGGTTCCCTCCTTCGACCGTCTCCTGGCAAGTTCCAAGATTGGCATCTCCATAGTCCCAACGAATGACGGCAGTTTCGTTCACTGAAATACTGAGCTCCGGGCGCAGCCGATTTGCAGTGAAAAACAACACGTACAATAACCATTTCCGTCGCCGAGATCAGCCGCTTGGTCGCTACCCGAATGCTGTCCCAAACACTCGGTCGAGAAGCCGAACGACCTGCTTGCACGTAAGGACAACCCTTCCTGAGTAGAGGTACACGCTCACTGGAAATAATTGATAAGACCACCGTTATCCACGGAGTTCTGCAGCACCTGTGAATCGGAGTAGGCGGAAATGATGACATTTATGGGTTCTCCAAGGCCTGGTGGATAGGTATCCTGGACTTGCTGCAGAGCGCATCAATCACTGCCCCATAACGCAAATCCATGTATGGGAAACAAAAAGAACGCACAGTAAGCATACTCCCACCACCGTCCATCGGGATATAGTACCCATAATTCGTAGACCGTTTGTGTGGTGGAGATGGGGGCGCGGGTGGAGGACCTCTAGCGTCGACCATCACAGGTATCAAGAATGTAGTGATCAGGAGAGCGCTGAAGTATGATTATGCGCGTGAGTACGAGGATTGATAGCGTAGAATTGAATCGTACCGTAATATTTCGATGTAAATTTTATGGGGTGTGGACGCAGGTCACTGGGCACGTTCTTGAAAGCGGAAGTCTAGGTGGGCCTGCCAACGAGAGAAAATATAATAAAGAGTGTCGTGAAAGCGGTGAACACTGAAAACGTGTTATGAGTGTTCATGTATTTTGGTTCCTTCATTGCGTTTTCCATTCAACTTACGTAAGCATTATTCGGAACAATAGTTGCTATCAAAGACATGACGATTCTCTTGTTTTTCGTGCCTGTCGCCATTCTAAGCTTGTCCAAAGGATAAAGGCAAAGTATTTCAAGGCCCAAGATGTTTTACTTACTTACCGTCTGCAAGTCTACCTGTCATGTGCTGATTAGCCTAACGCAGATTAGCGTCTATTAGAGTTCGAGGTGACTTCGAAATGATGCGGCTGGCGTTTAGGGTGACATCGTTTTATAGCTACCGAACTCGTGGTTTTAGAGGCTCGGGCACAAGTCTTTCCACACCTTGTGAAAATCCCCTCGGCACCTAATCTTTATGCCAGCCAACTGCACCACTTAGGGGCCTAGCTAAACAAATTTGAACTACACTCGATCTGACACAGCGATGTGCGGGACTCAATATCACTCCTTTTGTCCAGGCGCGACAGTGAAACACGTCAAAACCAATTGAGCACGTGGATAATAGATACCACGACACATAAGTGGAGCAGCAAGAAGGAAATGACCAATTAAGGTGCGTGCAGCCGCAACTGTACTTACCTTCTGTCCCGCCACCAGTGAATCGGTCAACAGCATAATGGTATTTAAAGCGATATTGTATAGCATCGTAACAATCTGCTGACCGCTTTCACATCATGGGGAATGTTTGGCATTTTCAAGGAAAGACGTATTCGCGAGCACACCAGATTGGATGTAACTTGCCTATCTCCGGTAGCGATAATGAACGTGCATTTTAATGGACGTCCTTCCCGCGCACGCTTCGTCTGTCCATTCCGAACGTGCGATATTATGAAGCACACCTCGGCGCGCCAAGCTTTCGCTGTCAGTTCTGGAAGTCTTACAGGTTCTCAGATTCTCTTCTATCAGTCAAACTTTCATCCGCGTTGACATTTCGAACTTTACAAAATTTCCACTTCGAGCCCTAGTTCAAATCTCGCGGCAATACTGATTATATATACCACGCATGCGTCAGCCGGGTTGGCTTTGGTTGTTCTTCCGGTGAGTACATAAATACACACCGGATTATTTTTGCTTCAAGCCACCCACGCCAACCCACACCTGGCTTTTGCTGGTACGTATTTATTTTTTATTTAGAAAAAACCCCGTTTATCGTCAGTTTAGGCTAGCCGAATGACGTATGGGATTATGCGGAGGAGGTGTACTGGCGCGTAGCCCGTCTCACGATACGAGAGACTGAAGCTACGGCTGATACAACTATTGATCCTCATATGCCGGAAGCTCTTTTGTTCGTTCTGGCCTGGTCATGAACAGCACTGCTAAGTAGTTTCCTTCGATTAGGTTCGAATCAGCCACGTTTGTACACCAGCAAGCACACCTTTTAACCTCCATCTCTAAAAAGGTAGGACCTTGTGAGTGTTGACTGGTGGTTAGTCTATTCGTTCGATTGGAGAGTGTGCCGAATGCAAGACAAATTAGGTGCTACCAACCATCCTGGTACATTGACCCCGTCATACTCCGTCTCGGACGTCGCGGCCGTGTATGTGGTTCATCTACATTCATTTGCCCCAGTCTACTCTGCTACTTTGCCGTGATCGCACTGCTTCACCCCTTGCGGTGCGTACCTTGCGGTCTGCTACCAAGGCGACACAGGGGGAGCGACTCTGATGGCAAACATGACGATTTCCAGCCCTCTTTCCCCGCTATGATCCGCCGTATCAGTATATCCAGGTGGAGCTAAGGCATTGTGACGAAACCCGAGACGGGTATTGCAGATCCAGGAACGTTCTCCCAGTCTCCAACCAGCGGTCCAGGAGTTCGACCACGCTGCAACCCATGTCAAGCTCGAGATGACCGCGCTCAATAGCTCCAGACGAGACTTCTGAGGCCGCAGTACAATGACTTCGCTCATCAGTTTTTGTTGTATAAAATATTTTGATGCAATATATATATACCCTGCCAGATGCGAGACCTCAATATGAATGGCCCCAGAACCTTTGGCTGAAGAGTCACTGCCACCGCTACTGCCACACTACCTCAGTCACCAATCACCCCTAAATGCTTGTGAGCCATTGATGCCGAACCATCTCGTGCCCCGAGAAAAAGAGTATACACACACTCAGGGAGGACAAGGATCACTTCCACACGAAAAGAATTTCTGTTGGATTTATATTGATTGCAGTCTTGCCGTGATCAGCCAGTTGCTCGATTCAGAGCGCACTACCCACACGACCCTCGATAGTGAAAGAATTTTTTCGAGTATTATTGAACTATATCATGACCGGACGTTCATCTTCCCAACTCGCTCTTCCTTCTCCATCCCAGTCAGACGGCTCCTTCCAGCGTAGATAGCCTTGCCTCCGGTTTTCGTTGACGTACCTTCACAAACCGCGACTCAACGCTGTCCAATGGTTTCTGGCGCGGCTCACATAACGGACCTGCCGCTTGAACTATTAGAGCATGTTATGCTGATTTCCGACCCCATTGATATCGCAAGCGCAGCCCAAGCGTGTCGACTCTTCCGCGGCCTCGTCTACCCCGCTAGTGATGATGAACATTTCTGGCGAGCTCTTTACTTGGCACAATCATTTGATGACCCCCGGAAGGCTGTCACTTACCTCGGCAATCGCCGAACTGACGTCAAATGGAGGGAAGAGCTACAGCGCATCATCCGTGCCAGGACAGTCGTGAATGATGTTGCTGTCTGTCGCCCAGACGAAAGATGTCAGGTATTGCGAACCCTGCTTGACATGGTCACGAACGTTCCTCCGCTACCTTTCCCTGAGAGCGAGCCAACGTCCCATAATGTGCTGTGGATACAGACGCTCTTGCAAGACGGCGCATTCCTTGATCTGAAGAGCCATTCGCATGAAGAACAACAACTGCGCGCACGCTTGCACACATGGTTTGGGCTGACTGATAGAGACGCTTTGGCAACGAAGAGAGTAGAGTCTCGAGCATATGTGTACAGCCAGCGCAACTACCGATCCTCAAACAATTTTGGGCCTTTTTTGCGAGATGGGAGTGGAATAGTCAATTGGGTGCATATGCAGCAGCTCGCGCATGTTTTCGCGTGCGCGTTGGTAGAAAAGGAAGAGGAAGAAGACCCTGCATTTGAAATTTGCTCCATGAACCTGGCTTTCTGTCAGGCTGTCATACCACCCAGCCTGGATCTGAATCGCGAGACTGATTGGGCTGGCGTCGAGGGCTTGTGGCGAATCTCTTATTGTTTCATGGATCACCGGGAGTTACTAAGTAAGACATCAACGTTTTTGTTCTTCAATTGTTCCTAACGCGGCATATTGTTCTTGTCCAGTTTACAATGATCTCAATGTGCGTTCCACCCTCCATTCCTCCGTAACTATCGTCCCGTCTGACGGGAATCTTACGTTGCACAGTTGCCAGAGGATGAGCCACTCGATCCCACTATATTCGAAGAAGAAGAATTACAGGAGACATTCAGTGCAGTGGACATCTTTTTCCGTGTGATCAATGTTGAGCAAGACCCGGATCACCCGACGCGGCCGAAAATCAACTACGTAGGAGAGATGGATGGCAATTTCACCATTGTCGGCTACGTCAAACTCACGCCTGACGACCAAATACGATGGCACTTTGTATGCTTCACCATCCGAGTCTGACAGTTCGTTCTTGCTGACGCTGAGGTTATCGCAGGTCGCTGGGAATGGAGACCATCCGGTGTGGTGGTATGATCCTTGCACGTATATTCTTCATTCATTGATCATATCTTGTCAAACAGCGGCGAAGCAATCGTCATGGGCAACTGTGCGTTCTCAGTATGGAGTTCTCGGGGCTTGGTCTACGACAATGCATGATCCGATGGATCCCATTGGTGTGTACAATATCGTCAGGCTAACTTTCCATATCAGAGGTTAACGCGGATCTCAGGTCCATTCTGGATGCAGTGCCAGCATCCCATTGAAGACTAATGTCGCTACTGCCATCACCTCCAGGCCTCTAACGCCCTTTTTTATCCATTTTTTTTATCGGGAAGGAATGCTGCGACTCCAGTTGCAGATGTTGTACATAGTATGTGTTATCTGGTCTTTATTTTTGGGTCACACGGGTCTATATTAATGTAATGGTGATATGGACATTCATCGAACTTGGGTAGCCGAATTGAATCATTCCTCCAGTATCTTGATAGGTCTATGATCTGATTGAGAACACTTCATATATGCCGGACAAGATTCTGTGATGAGCAAATAGTATTAATGTGGCGTTGATGAAGCTCCGAACAACTTGTATTTGGTCTACCTAGGAAGACAAGTACAGTTGGAGCAGATTTAGAGTTCTATTACAAACTATTTATTGGTAACGTACGTCAAACCACATACTCGTCTACGGCATAACGTAGTTCTCCTACTTATCTTCCAGCAGGAAAGCTGATAAGACCGCCACTCGCCACACTAACTAGCTAGCCTCAGCGTTGTCCTATCATCACGCTGAGGTATGTATTCTTGTAGCTTACATTCGGTGCCGTAACTAACTAGGACGTAGACCTAGACTCGTCTAGGTAATACTAATATTAATATCAATATTATTAGCATGGTCTTATCATCACGCTGACTTGGAGACTTGTACACATAGATCGTAGATGACAATCTCAGTCCTCATCGTCTGCCTCGGCAATATCTGCCGCTCCCCCATGGGAGAAGCTGTGCTCCGTAACGAAGCCCTCAAGCGCGGGATCACCGATATTCACGTTGACAGCGCTGGCACGGCTGCAGCACATGTAGGAGAAGATCCTGACGAACGGTGAGTACGCATTTGTACTATTGTTTCACCCTGCCCAACTATTACGGACCGTAGGACAATCGAAGTGTGCAACACGGTATGCATCTTACCTCGCTTAATATCGTAATGTGTTCCTAAGGATCACTTGCAGAACAACGTTCCCATATCCCACGCAGCGCGGCAAGTCCGCGCCTCCGATTTCACCTCCTTCAATTACATACTCGCAGCCGACGGTTCCAACCTGCGCGCGTTGGAGCGACATTTCGGTCGCAGTGAAGGATCAGAAGCGACAGTGAGGCTCTGGGGCTCCTACTTGTCAGATAACAAGCCAATTCAGGACCCGTATTATGGGGGAATGGTGAGTCGGATTCATTGTCACCATCGACAGTGAATTAGTCTCAGAAATGATCCGCAGGATGGATTTACGAAGTGCTACGAACAATGCGTGAAGCTTTCAAACGCGTTTTTGGACGAGGTCGTTGGGAAAGGAGGGTTAGGGACGCGGTGAACGATTCAATGGAGGAGACTAGATGAAACTAACATAAGAGGGTCGAACAAGACGAGAAGATACCCAAATCACACATGGGCTTTGGTATGCTTTTGGAATGCTGTCATCAGGTGCTGTCAAAGGACGCGATTTGAATTCTGTGGTACTTTGCACCGGCTGATGTGCTAAGGCTTCTGGTCTTCATCGATGGGACAGTAACAGCAAGATCTTCTTGCTAGGGTGGGCACATAGTCCTGAAGGATATACTTATCGGTGGTACTTACTCATAATTTGGAAGTTTCCTGCCACTGCGATGGGACCGGACAAAGCGCCATGCAAACTCAGAAGTCCAGAATGCATTCCCCCACTTATCCACCAGTAGTATACAGCAGTCTCAGCGTTTGACAGAACATACCCTCCTTAAAGACTATATCATTGCAAGGCTGAAATTCGCGGGAGAGATCGAGATCGGATCTACTATCATTTCAAGACTACATAGTCCCCTTCAGTCCTTCGGGTCAACGACACTATCATACGGTGTTCTCGCTGAATAACGGGAAACAGGCACGCGGTGCCACTAGGTTGGGAACTGCATATTCTAAGTTACAAGAGCAATCCTAGTGCTCTATATATGTATACGCGTCTCGAAGTGGAGTGCAGATCTACGCAAGAATCGTATCGTACAGATGGGAATAGAGAGGGAAGGTGGATGGTATATCGCGGAGGTAGCGCGGCCTTTCCACTCAAGGAAAGGTCAAGATAGGAAAAATCATAGCTGAACGGTAAACTTGAGTCTGCCGTCCGCACATGGCTCGCACTTCACTTTGTCCATGTTTTCCACCAAAAAGTGTGCGCCAACGTGCTCGATCTGCTTCCTCTCATGGCTGGTGCACACAGCGATTACGGTGGCACCGCTAGCAACACCTGCGCGGATTCCACTTGGGGAGTCCTCGAACACGACAGCAGTTTTTGGCAGAAAAACCGAGTTCGCTAGCAGCGAGGAGAAATGGGTCTGGGGCGGGCTTGCCAGCCTTGAGACGCTTGTCGTCTGCGGTGATGGTCACCTTGGGCGGGGTGATGCCCACGCGAGTCATGCAACCATATGCTGTAACGATCATATCAAAATCATACTCCGTCACAAATAGAAACCCACGTACCATATGTTTTTGCGCCCGAAGTGGCGACGGCATAACGGCCTTCAGGAATAGAACTCATCATTCTCTTCACACCGGGCAAAATCCTGACAGAGCGATCAACACTTGCTGCTTCCTGTTGCCATGCCTGTAGGCAGTGTTTCTTTTTGTCTGCCTCGAACATGATGACGTCCTGCTGATCTTCTTCCATGATAGAGTTCTCGAAGTGGGGACCATGGCCGTAGACAGAAGCCTCGGGTACGACTGTCATAGCCAGCATGCTATTCAGCTTGCTAGCAAATGAAGGTCGGCGAGGTGAGACGAATGATGATGCACGAGAAGAAGGCGCGGAGCTGCTTGGTGTCATCGACAGATCAGGGGTTGCGAAACCGGAGCTAAGAGGGGAATTGGCAAACGGCGAGTTCGCGAGCGATGTGAGCTGCGAGCCCGGTCCGTGGACGTTGTAGGCATCTGCGAAGAAGAGAATGGTCTCCTCGAAATTCTGCACCTCGTCGTCCATCTCGTGCGCCTTGATGTGCGGCTTGAATTGTGAGAGATTGTCGACGGCGCGCTTGCCGTGGGTAGCAGCGATCACATAGGCGGGGTCTTGACCAATGTCTTTGGCAACTTTGCCCCAAGCTGCCTCAACGGCTGCGATAGAGTCAGTGAGGGTACCGTCCTGTAACACACTGGCAGAGTTAGATTTGGAACCCCCACAGAAGAAAATACACACCATGTCGAACAGGACAGCGTCGGCATAAAATGTTTGAGACGACATTATTTCGTTCAAGATTGTAGTGTGGGGGGCGGGGATCAAGTTGTGCAAGGTATGAGAGGCTGCTGCAGTGGAAAGGCTGAAGCGGATGATCTCTGGTCAATTTATGACCCCATGTTATATACTTCGCATCTACCAGTCATCCTTTGTTTAGTGGAGTGACGTCAATGGAGATAAAAAAAACTGCCAGAAGCTAGAGTGGAGTCGCCTTGACAAAGACGGTTATCTACACAGTTCTCCGAGTACTTACTAAGATGCAGATGCCAGATTTCATCACGTTGGGGTCCTGCTCGGTGATAATATCAAGCGCCGAAGCCCTAAATGTGCTTGAACTTACGACTGAAGAGGAGCGACTTGGAAGGATAGACGAGCTCAGCGGTTCGGAAAGGGCGGAATGAACTTGAAGAGTTGCCTAATTGGGAATACATGTGCGATCGATAAAGGATAAACACTTGTCGGTATCCGGGTATAACCTGGTGTAACTCAGCTTTGCTCTGCCTACCGCATCACGACAGTCTCTGAAACAGACACGTCAATATCTTCTGAACATGAAACCGTACCACCATAGTAGTAATCGTCACGGTTACGGTAGGTTTTCTCCTCAGTTTTTGCTACAACACAATATCCTCCTAGGACCACATCGCGCATCATCAGATTCATGAAAAGGGTGTGAGTCGCGTAATTCCCGCACCATCACTGTTAGTAGCCTGAAAGCAGTGCACTTTTGCGAAGGTTATCTATCTTCGTCGCATTTATTTCCGTGCGGAGCGTGCCGCATTTATCTCTACATTGGGACAACTGACGTGAGTGATATCTCTATCACTCCTTGTCGACGTGCTCAGTGGCTCCTCCAGATTATTCTGGGCGGATAGCGAAAGGATCGTCGCTCCAAATCATGGTGGTCGTGAGTCATCCACCTGGTCTGGTGCAATCTCATGTAGCCAATCTCCCCGAACGAACTCAGAAGTAGATTCACCTCTGAGGTTCGACTTTTTACAGCATCGCCCCTTTGGCCACGACTTTTTTGGCTCATTGCTCGCGAGAACCTTATGTAACGAAAGTGTTTTCACATGTCCTTTTCAGAACCGTGCGGTTAGATTGGCATCCCATGGCAGCAACTGGCAGAACCCTCGTTCGGATGGTTGGCAACCTCTTTTCTTCGTGCCTGGCGGCACGTCTGTTGCCTATCTAATAGCGCGCGCTCAGGGGGCTCCGTTCGTCGAATATGTATTTCTGCTTGCATAAGACGCGCCAAGTCTCCTCGGGGTAGTTCGCTTCATTCGTTTTGCGAAGGTGCAATTGGACCCCGTTGCCACTCCACCACATCATACAGAACTTCATCTGGGCACAAGAAGGATCCGGGCATGTCCAGTAATTCGGGTTCGCGCTATTCAATCTGTATACGCGAAGTTATGGCGTTTCCCTCGTGGAGCACTAGTACTGTGATATCTTTCACTTCGAAGTGGAAAGGCCCTCGACGTCATGCGGAATAATTTGGGCCTCTCGTGTGTGAGTGTGAGTAAGTGGCAGTGACGATAAGCATTCAGCTGGTCTTCTAGTCAGTCACGAATTCACGCTCTCCCCCCGTAACGCAGCCATACTGTCAATCAAATCCAGTCGGTGATAAGTATTGACCTAGTTTTCCAGCCAGTCGCAAAAACTTGCTCTCCAGTCAAATTGTCAATCAACTTGAAGGTCAGCGATAAGTATGGACCTAGTCTCCCACCAGGTCCAGGCGCCAACACGCGCTCTCTACCCATAAAGCAGTCGAACTGCCAATCAACTTCGAAGGTTGATGATCGCATTAACACCATCGATGCTCTTGACTGCTCTTGATACATCAAATCGAATGAACTCCGACCGGTGAATATTAGTGAATATTGCGAGGTGATCAACACTTGCCGAGGGGTTTTTTTCTGATCGTGCGAGGCTCGGAAATACAACGGGCAAATTTCCTTCGCTGAATCGCCGTCGATCTTGCCCAGTTCATAAGGCTCGTGCGGATCAATGTCATTTCATGGATGGAATCGTAAAAACTTGAAGCAAATTGAGCGCACGAAAGACTAGTTAATCCTGCAGCAGAAGACCTAAATCAACACTAGCGTACCGCTCGCTGGGGTCATACATACACTTGGCACCGGATATGTATTCATGAGTGATTTCTGCAGGAATTCAAGTTTCACTATTGAGACAGAATGAGCCGCATAACCGAAGCCGGTGCTCACCAACTGGAAACGAGCAAGCCGGGTAGATGACTGAAACCGAGATGAAATATCTATGATACACGCCGCTCTGATCGACATCTCGCTCTTCCCTCTCTGGAAGCGATCACAGCGGCAGGTTCATTGACAGGGGCGTACGATGGCATATGTAACGTGTGGAATAGGAGACGCACGTCCCCTTGATGTGGTGTGTGATGTGTTATTTAGGGAGGCATAGCTGTAATTAGTAAGGTGAATATGTGGAGTCGAGAGCGTTATCAGCATTCCTAAGAATAGCACTATGGAGCGCATTCTGTTTGGTATCCGGGATATATATCCGTGGGGAAACAATATAGAGAATCTCCACTATCCAAAAAGTGTTGAAGTTCTCTGACCCTACCAAGGGGCAATCGTGCTCACTTGCCTATCTCAGAGCTTCATTGTAATGTCCTTTTGAGCGTGTGATAAAGTACGCAAGCAAGTACGATCCGCGAACTGTGGAACAACAACACGGGATACAACTGAAATGCAGTTGGATCCCCTGTTATTGTTCAACAGTTGTCACAGGACATATATAGGTATCAGATGTGTGAAAATTTTATGGAGCGACGACGGTACTTTCGCCTCCAGCCACGTGCGCGATACGTCCTCGTCGAAGACAAAGATCTCAAAATTAGCGGAACCGACATCGGTTTCCTTGTGCCTAACAACCTTTAGCCGGGTATCAGGCAACATTTCTTGTTGTGAAAGCTTGCAATCCTCAAAGACATACCCTAGCAGATACCGAGATGGACACCTAACACCGTGCTGGTACCACCTATGATGGCTTATTGCCTGAAAATCTTTCTCGCCGCGAGTGGTTTCGCTGGTGGCTCAACTGCGATTCTTTTCGGGTTGATGATAAGTTGTACTCATCGAGGACACCAATGACTTGATCACTTACCATGACGTTTACATACTAGCGATGACTAGCCCGAGACGCCGTTGGACACGATCATAGCTTGCGATCATAAAAAGAAGGAATAACTGTCTTCTATTTGGTCTGCCTAGGGGCAGTCGTAGTTCATGGTCAATCAGGGAAGAGCGCCTTTGATCGGCTGGAGAGTTCGTAATACGATGATGCGTAAGATACGGTAGCACGGGTGTCCAGCGTCGCTAAACCATCATGGCTGTGTCATTCTCCTTTTTGTGTGAGTGAGGTGGAGCGAGACCTAGCGGAGCTTTAAACGTGACGGTACGGTTCATCTTCAAGGCTTTCAAGTTTTTAACTATGTTCTAACCTATAAAAATGTCAGTATGTGCATTCGTATAAACTCTGCTAGTTTACATGCGCGGAGGTTTCACATGTACACAATTACACATTTTTTGACCGTCTTGGTGTGCCATCTGGCAACAGCGCCTTCGGTAGCGCCTGCCATTCTGCTTGCGTCATAACAAGATCGACCATTTTCCTTCTATTCGGTTTGCTTATGGAAGACTATAGTACCTGTATAGTCATCTTGTCGGTTAGGTTAAGTAATGGATCGAGAGATGGCGAACATATATTGGGTGAATTGTACTTACTTCTATTAGTGTATGTATTCGAGGCGCAAATAAGGAAGAGTATACTATCACGAAGACAGGGCAGCCTTTTATTCCAGACACTTGTGCAGACCGAACGGATTTGGTGTGGCCTTGGAGAGGGGCACCCAATGCCTCGCCAGTCTTCGTATCCCACATCTGGATTGTTCCGTCCCATGAACCATCAGACAATGCGTTTTCCGTCTGGCGACATTGCAACCGAGCAACTTGAAGCCCCCGCATGCCTGTGGAGTATCTTTGCCATCTGAGGAGACTTTACGACATGACCAGCAACAATGCAGGGGGAACTTCGTGGCAATTTTTTTAAATATCCTCGACTGCGTTGGAGCAAACGGCAGAGCGGAAAAGTATAAATGTGGAGTATTGTGTAGAATGATGGCAGTAAAGGTTCGAACGAAGCGCAAGGTGTCTCTGACAGAGTCACCGATATTACTCGACTATGACCCTATAATGACCCCGTTACTTGTAAGAATCCATTAAGGAGATATTTAAACTTGAGATACGTACTGTAACCCAACCTGCGATAGATGAGAGTGACCCTACCGAGCCACAGAGGCTTTTCATCAGAGACAGTGCTTCCAACCACCAAAGGAGGCGCTCCCCGTTGAAGAAAGCTTCGATTTCCTTAGCGAGTGATGACTGCGAAAGATGTAACTGCCACACGAGTCCCCCAGAATCGACATGAGTACAATGGTTCAGCCAGAATGGACTTCTTCGCTCGTTTCTCCAAGTCACACACGGCAGAATTAGGAACGCGAGAACTCTTCAAGGAGCAGATATTGAAGCGAAGTCCGCGCTCTATGACCCGAAGCGAGGCAAAGGCAAGGTCGCTCTGAACAGACGACACGTCAATGAAGAAGTCATGGCTTCGGGATTTGTCTGTGAGAAAGGATGCGTGGAGGGGACGTATGGGAGTGTGATAATCTGTGGTCCCGCTGAGAAGCGAGCCCAACGACCCAGTGACCTGGTCCACATCGTAACTGTCGTCCACACATGGAAAATGTTTTCGCACTGCGGTTAAAGCAGCTATGGGAAGCGGTTCCGACGATGCAAGGATTTACCCCATCACGGAGTAAAACATGGTGATTGTTTCCTCGCGCTCGTCCTCTGGCATGCTGTCGGCCAAGATGTGTCTATACATATCATCCAATAGACGTGTTCCTTTTGCGAATGTTCTGGAAACCACGGCTTCGAAACGGCTCGTCGGATTTCGCCGCACTGTGTTCGTACCCCTGGTATACTCGCAGGTGAAACGACCCCATTCGAACAGGCCGTCGGATTTCTGGGGAAGTGTGTAGAAGTGCGCATCGTTGAAGATATTGCGCAGGTCTGTGAGCTTGTCGGACACGTAGAGCCAGATGTCACATTCTGTAGACGCAGGCGAGATATCACCCAGGGATACATGGCGAACATGCGACGCAGTGTGCAGCGTGTGGCGAATGTCTTCGAGCGGACGGGAAGCCACAAGTTTGCTGGGAGTTTAACTAGTCGTGAGGTGGAAGTGTTCAGCTTGCCAGCAAGCAGTCCGTTGTTATTTTGAACCGCTTGCGTCAAGGCCCGCCGCACGATAGGGTTGCAGGTTGCTAAGTCACTTGCGATGGTCGTGAATATTTTGTCCTGGCGGCGATCCGCTTGCCATGCGCAATCGAAGCAGAAGCATGAGACAAGACCGCCATGTTCAGCGTACCAGTTGGCTATTGTGTGTGCGATGGCAAATTTACCCTTGCCTGCTGTACTGGATAGCCACAAGGCGCGTGGAACACCCTCCTCCTTGCTGCTGATCCAATTCTCGATATCCTTCAGAAGGTCTTGCCGAGTATTTAGGCAAACAACATTTAGACGTATTCACTCCGGCACCCATTGCATACTTCATGCCGATGAGGTCCAGACTCTGGACTATGTCATGTGTTGCAGAATATCAGATGAGGCTCAGCGAGACCTGAAAGCCTAACTCTTACCCATACAGGTGGACAATCACAACAGTATTACGAGCGACTCGGTCTCGAAATTGCTGCGTGAGACTGTCGAGAACATTCGTCGCCTATGCTTACACCCCCCCATTCTGACTGATTTGTACTGTTGAGTAAACAAGTCAAAATACGTCCGTTTTGAAATCCGTTTGCAGTCACACCGTGGTACTATTTTGACTTGTTTACTCAACAGTACAAATCAGTCAGAATTGGGGGGGGGTAAGCATAGGCAACGATAAGCATAAACGTGAGCGTCGAACTTTGAGCTCCCCTATTGCTGTAAATCTGAATCGTGGCGTTTGTCTCGTGGAAAATGTGCTTGCCAAGCCTCTTCCCTGTACAAATAGGTGACAGTGAGTCACAGGTGGCGCAGTAGGGATTAACTCACAGGCGTTCTTTGTCTCAGAGTAATGAAGCGATGAAATCGGCGCACTCCAGCGTCTGTTGCACTATCTTCCCATAGATTGCTCGCATGGATCCAATACTTCCTCTTCTGTGATAAAAGAATAGACTTTAGAGATCTTGGAGAGTAGATGAGAAACTGCGACATCTCGGTCTACCTGATCGAGAATCATCTGTCACCAGACATTCTTAGTAACTTGCGAGCTTGCAAACATTACCTTGGACGCGCAAGTGAAGATGCTCAATGCCACCTTTACATAGGGGTGGATCTGAGCACGAAGGTCAGCCACGTAAAAATAGGAAGACGTCCGTACATATGGCATATGCAAGCCCGTTAGCGATGGAGTTGAATTCCTTCAAGGGTCCAAGCATCGTGGAGAACGTGTCGATCGTATCAGGAACGGACTGTAGGTTATTGGCTGCTGAAGCAGTATTTTCGACCGTTCCTGAGACATTTTTAATGCCTGCCACACCTTTGGTGGCATGGGCGATTCTCTCATTCACAAAACTTGGGTTCAAGTCGTTCGGCCTGATGACAAGGCTTAGTATACTATTGAAAGAGAGATTTCCTTCGAGCTATACTCCACTCCCTGCTTGAATGTAGGCAAGCTGATGGCAAGGGTAAGTCCTCCCATTTTAATATACTTGACATTGTGTTGACATGCTCCATCAGCACCCACTGTGCGTATTCTTTCGCTGGTTTCCCAATCGTGTTCTGCTTCTCGGAGACCTTCCTCGCTTTTAATAATACGGCTGTAGGGAAATGTGTTCATCGTTGAGTACTTTAGAGCAAGATGTAATGCATGCCCCAGGTTGAGGCAAGTGTATTTTATCAGTGCTACAGAATTCATAAGGGAGGCTTTCTAATGTTATTCAAGAGTCTGGTGAGACAGCAGGGAAATGTGTACAGAAGTAAGTGGCGTATTGATCAGCTCCGCAGCGAACTGCATATCGTGCGATCAACCACCGTACCAACGCGAAAGCAGAAGCACGACTCACTTTCGCGACATGCTCAGTCTGCCAGGCTCATCGGCAGAGTTAATGGCAGTACTCGACATCGCCGTAAATCTTTTGGTACAAGGCGCAAAGGATCATGGGGTTCAGTCTCGGATGCAAAGTGAATGACTCATACTCACACCCTTCTTACAAGTGAAACCTGAGCAGCATGCTTCACCGGTCGCCGTTGGGCCGCTGCAAATACCGTATTCAGTAACGCATGCACCGACAGACATAGATGTTGTCAAAGCAGTAGCGACAGCGATGAAGAATGAGAAACGCATGGCTTGTGATAGGTAATACGGGATGCGTCAAAGGGGATCTCGAGTGAAGGCTGATGCTGGCAGTAGGACGACGGCTTGCTTTTATGTCCTAGAAATTATTATTTTTTCTGCGAAGCACTCTGCAGTTCCGTCAGAATGGTTGCAGGCGGACTTCAGGGAGAGAGTATAGGCAGAATCACAGGGTCGGCGGAAAAACAATCCATATGAACACAACCTAGTAAGGAGTGATGGAGATGCACCTTGTAGGCAATGGCGAAAATACCGTCCACCTGGTAATCACGGTTGAATGTACATATTGTCATGTCCCCTGCAATCGGCATGCCCAGAAGTCGGCAGTCACGTTTTTCGCAGGGATTTTTGTGACAGAAGGTGACACATTGTAACGAAAGTATCACGTTTTCCCGTGTGACCTGCCGACTTCTGGGGGGTGCCAATTGCAGGCGACACGATAGTACTTATGTGCAGAAGGCAGAAGTGGAATCTGAGACGCGTGCCACCGTGGCACCGGGTGATCGGTGACGAGCAGAATTCAGTAATCATGTCCAAGCAGAATAAAATGGGCTTTGTCGCTGCCATGATGAAGTTCAGATCAAACAGTAAACCGGACTTATGATGATCCGCCGGCGAGCAAGTCCATGGCACGCATGTTGTGTAAATATCGTGAGATAAGTAAGCGCGATAAACAACATGATCTTACTCACAAGTAACCGAACTTTCGGAAGCTTGGTGCATGATGGACATAAAGTCGGGGAATTGGACAGGGACGCCGCGTGATGAGTCTGCGCACTGCGTAGACTAAGTAGTATTAGTCTCCCCAAGCCAGACCTTGAAATATCAATAAGGAAGACAGCTTTTTCAAGGACTAGTACTTACTAGTCCCTGAACCAAGGCTTGGAAAGGGTACAGGTCTGGGACGATGGGTGTTTCAGCGCATAAGTATGAGCTGTAAGGTGACTTACTTCCTTTCGTCACGTGAATGCTTAATATAATGGTTGAACCTTATTGGGCCACTTGTGCTGGGTTTGATTTGTTTGACATTCGCGAAGTGAGCGTATCTAGATGGCGTCAACAGACTATGGGCTCCTGAGGAATCTGGGTGAAACGGTCAATTTTGTCCGGATGCCAGCCTAGGTTCCATAGGGATTCTCATGGGTCCTCAATAGATGCGGTAGACTAAGCAAAGTTGGAACTGAAAGAAGCTGAAAGAACGTGACTAATCAAAGAGTGTGATTATAGAGAGAAGGCCTGGGCCAGGCCTCATCTAGGCCATTTATATACTACACCCTAACCCACCAACGAAAAAGCAAGTCAGAAGCACTCAGTACTCAAAGGTAAACCACCACCAGCGCACAAATCAGCCAATCATGATAATATTAGAAAGCTCTACGATAATCTTCAAGAATACCAGTAGTGTTTCGACAGAAACCTATCATATTCGTGCATGGTATACTCGTACCCAGGGCATAAAACCGGTACCTACGTGCGGTGTGAGAAACATTGTATAACGAGACAAGATAGAGAACAACGAGAGGAGAAGAGAGTAGAGGAGTGGGAGTAGACACGAACGATAAAAAAAATGAGGGCCAGCCAGGGCATCTTGAGAGGACGGGACGGGACGAGTCCAAGAATAAAGTTAATGAGAGAATGGATCGGTCAATGCCCCGATAGAGTCCAAGAGTCGAGATGAGATGAGTGCCGGATATAATGCACAATGGCGGAAAGAAAGAAAGGCAAATTACAAAATTCTTCCCATTCGTCAGCGCATCATCACCAACAGCTCACCATAGGACGTACTTTGAAAGAGAGAAAGCACACGCATAACGATCCTACAATCGCTATGCAAACACCTCAGTAACAGTCCGTCGCCTCTCCCGCCTTTGCGGAGGTAAAGCGACGGTACGTGACTGAGAACCCCCGTGATCACCTTCCCTCTCATCACGAATGCTGTCCAATGACATCCGAGCCGCTCGTACACCAATCGTCCGCCTTCGAGTATCTCGCTCCGTTTCTGAGCCTGAGAGTGGAGTGCGCACTTGAGTGGCAGGTGAAGGCGCTGGGGTGTTCGTGTCTTCTTCGGCAGAAGAAGAGGACGTAATGATTTTTCTGCGTGCCTCGTCTCGTATCTGCTGTTGTTGTAATGCAGACAGCGATACTTCAGAAGGCCGCGAGAAGGTTACAGTTGATCGAATGGAATCTTGGGAGTCAACACGGCTTAGAGGGAAAGTCGAGCTTTCTGGGGAGTTGGATACTGTATGGGTAGTCACGGCGGTGGTCGGATTGGAGGATGGTAGGGGGAAAGGCGTCGTTGGTCCTCGGATGGTGGCGGTGGATGTAGCAGATGGTTTGCGACGGTTATTTTTATCTTTGTCTAACAGGCTGCTAGCTGATCTACGCATAAGCGATTCAGAGGGCAAGGTAGGAAGAGGTGGTGGGACAGCGAGAGCTGGAAGCGGCTTTTGGCGGCCCGCAGGTATACCCCGAGAGGCAGGTGTTGGTGAAGGCTCATATTCTAGGGAGAGATCAATGGCATCTGATGGGGTGTTATGAGTAGCGACTGCATTTGATATCATTTGATGCTCGCGCTGTTCTCGTGGTGTAAAGAGCCTACGCGTTGCAGATGGCGGTAGCGGAGGAAGAGGAAAGGTATTGCGTGAAGAGGAAGGCGGTTCTTGATCCATATCACGGTCTCTTGACGAAGGAGGACGTGCGACAACTCCTTCACCGCGACCAGTTAACCTCCTAGATAAGTCAGCACCGGAGACAGAAGGCTCCCAACTCCGTCGTGACTCTACGCTCCTCCTTCCATCCTGACTTCTTCTACTACTGCTCCTATCTATCTCGGGGGTTCGTCGGGAAACTTCGTCACCAATAGTGCCTCTCAAGTGCTGTTGTCCCGGATCGTTCAAAGCACCAGCGGAAGCCTCCTTCACAATCTTCCCGACACCGAGCAAAAACCCCGTGATCGTACGGACAACTTCGTCGCTCACACGAAGGCTCTCGCGGTACTCCCCTCCCACCCTCCTCCAGATTTCACCCGTGGGCATCTCCCCCGATTCCCCATCATCCATCTCGGCGTCAATCTGCTGTTCCAGTGCGTGATTGGTCCCTGTTCTTAGCAACGCATTCAGCTTCTCGGAAGCAAGAACAATTGTCTCTGCGCTGCGGAACACATCCGTTACAGACGCAGACTGATTCGGCAGACGGGACAAAATGTTCTCGAACATCGTCAAAGACTCTAGCATAAGCCTCGTATGCTCTGCGCTCTGTTGGTGACTGTGGAGACTAGCGACCGACCCATTTCCAAGAGGAGTCATTGTGGTATGACGTCGAGTGAGTGTGCCGCTACGTGACCTATCTGGTGGTGTTGGTGCTGCTGGGGGTTGCTGAAGAGGAAGTGGACGGATAGTGGGCGGTCCTCCGGGAGGTTGTCGCTCAACGGCCGAGTACTGCCGTCTGGAGCGGAGCGAAAATGTCACGCCCCTCCCGGCACTTCCATCTTCCCCATGGTAGAACTCTGCCATTGAGGTCGCTGGCCTTGAAGAAGCGGTGCGCCCCCCTCTCGGATCTCGTTCCGTCATGAGTGAAGATGATGCTCTGCTCGGATCTGACGACAGATGGGGCCTTGTAGAGGGACCTGCACCTTCACCGAGTCGCGCGCCACTTGAGCCGCTTGCCCGACTTCGATCATCCGCCACTCTATCTTCGTCCTCCCACTCGACCGTTCGACTGGTATTAGAGCCAGTCGTCCGTGTGCGGCGTAAAGACACATGTGAGTCATTGGCGTGCCCAAAGACGTCATCGTTCGCCTGGGCCCCATTCCGCATACCAATGCCAGCAGCACGGAGACCTTCACCAACCAGACGTCCTCCAGCTCCTAGAGTGCTTTCAGCGCTGCCACCGCGTTGTGTTTGTCTGCGACCGGAATCTGGTGGGTTGGAAATATCATCAGACAACCAACGCGTTTGGTGACGGCGCGTTAGATCGCGAACAGTTGATGAACGGTTGGCACGAGCGCCACGTGGTGAATATTGGGGATTTGTGTATGAAGAGTTTCTGATAGAGGTGTTGGCATTGGAGGTGTAGCTATCCTGATGTGAGTTGTGATGTGGCGTCATTGGCTCGATCGAAGTCTGTGAGTCTGTCAGTGGGGAGCTAAGCGAATGATAACAAATCGGCTCACCCTGCCTTCCAAAGTACGTATATTTCGATCTTGATCGCCATCTCTGAATTCTCGGGGAAGCGGTTGCCGCGAACGTCGGTTACCAGTACCTGTTGGACTTCGTCGTGACGACGCGACAGCGGCCAGCGCCGCACTCGTCACATCGTGAGACACGTCCTCTCTAGGTGCAGATATTGCACTAGCTATAGATACCCGTTTCCGAGGAGTGTGCGAGGGTACGGGTGAAGGCTGTCGAGATTGACTTGGTGAGGCGGGAGCAGATGTGCGACGCTCCCTCGTACGCGGAGCCGGGATACTGGGAGGCGGCGTTGATGAGCGGTCTGGAGACGAAGAGCCATATGAGCGGAGAATTGGAATGTGAATTAGAGTATGAGGGGGTTGGAGCGCGTAGACTTTCACGTTCTGTTTCGGAACCAGAAAGAGCACCCTCGTATGGTCTTGTCATAGGAGCAGAATGCGAGTGGGAGTGGGAGGAAATTCGGGAGGCTGCAGATGAGGAAGATGAGGACGAGGATGCATGCAGGGGAGGAAGGGGAGATCGAGAGGCACGGGAATTTGCAGGAGAGGGAGTGCTCAGGCGTGAAAAGGAAGAAAGCTTGTTCAAAGCCTATGTTAAGTTGCAAAGGCAACAAGATCACATAGTATATTTCCATGTATAAAGTGGTCAGATGACGAGAAAGTGAAAGCATACGCCCAATGGTGACAAGTCACAATAACATACGACACGTGCAAGGGGGCTCCAATTAGCATGAGCGCCGAGGAATAAAAGGAGCACGTACCATACGGTTGCGCTCAGCAAGGCTTTTAACTCGTTGCAAGGCCACGAGGTTCTCGTTCGGACTTTTCACTGCATGACTGCGGTCAAGGCGAGCGGTGTCGTCTTCTTCATTTGAATAATCGTTTTCGTCGTCGTCATCGTCGTCAATATTTATGGAAGATTTGGAGGGTGTGTTGGGTGTATCATAGTTACGGTTGCTCATAATTGAGCTAGCATACGAGGCAGGTCGTTGACGCAGGCTGCCGGCGGTTGCACTCTTGTTGTCACCTGTTGAACCGCTGCCCGTTGAATTGGTAGCTGGTGGTGAAGGAAGACCAGATGAAGATGATGCTACACTTGGACTTTCTGGAGGCTCTGGAAGATCAAGAATGATATGTTCCTTTGGTGGTAACGAGCCCAGGAAGATTGCGGACAAAGGACGCCTCGAAGAATAAGAAGAAATGAGTGGGCGCGGCGTCATCACAGCCTGGAAGGCTACTCATGAACTAAAAAAGAAAAAGTACTTGATCGCCCTCACTGTCGTGAACAGCGAGCAGAAAGTGGATATAAGGCGAGCTCGACGCCTTGGCCAGCGACGACGACAAAGCAGGTGGTCCAAGGGAAACAATCGTGGGAATTTCAGGGCGATACTTATACCAAAATCCGGGACCGATAACTTTGATCTTACTTTGATCCATCTTGATTAATGATTAATAGCAGTACATTCCACACCGCGAAATATGCAGTGAAACTTACTTGATCGCAAGCGAAACAGACACGAGCCTTTGGAAATTTGAATCGAATCTGTCATGTCATACAGAGAAACTCTGCGCACTTTCATCATGATACTATAGGAGACAGAAACATTTAGTATTGCTGGATTCCTGCACACAAATTCAGGGTTCAATCTACAGCTACCGGTCTACCTCGTGCAGCCTCAGTGTTACAATATCGGATCAAAGGTGGCCTTTGACGTTAACTACCAAAGTCTACCATCCATTTTCGCTGGCGAGTCGCGAGATGGCGAACAGTGAAGACAGTAATCAGGAGGTGAGTGACAATCTAGCATCACTTCAAACTGATGATATATGTATCGCCAGCCTATTCGAGATCTTACCGCAATCGGAGACGAGCTGTACGCCCTTGTTGTAGATCAGGATGACCTGGAAACCCTCGACCTAGCTATTGGTCATTACAACGCCGCCCTCACTGAAGACTTACCTGATTCTCAACGCAGCAGGAGCGACCAGCTTTTGAAGCTAGGAACTGCATTCTCTCGGCGCTTTGATTTCGCTGGCGATATTGATGAATTGGATATCGCCCTCAAATGTCACCGTGTGGCCGTTGACCTTCAAGCGCCGGACAGTCCTGATGTCCTGATCATGCACGCCAAGTATGCTCAAATGCTCATGAAGCGCTTTGAGCTACTTTTCAGCCAATCAGACCTTGATCTTGCAATTGAGGAATATGCTTGCATCTCCGATCAAAACGATCCAACTCACAAAGAATGGCCAGTTGCCCTCGCTGATGCGCTGGTCACTCGCTTTTCACACCGGGGGAGTATTACGGATCTTAACCAAGCCATCCATCTGTACCAGGCGGTAGTCAACTTCTATCCCTCCAATCCACCTACTTCTGTGCTCGGGAATTTATCCCTCGCGCATTATTATCGCTACCAACAGGAAGGTGATGTTGCCGATCTCACGTCATCCATTGCCTACTCCACAGAAGCTCTTGATAAGATATCTCCCGAAGATCAAAACCGCTCTGTCCTGCTCAATAATGTTGCGAACGGCTTACTTTTTCGCTTCAAAAAACTCGGAAGCACCGATGACTTGGAACAGGCCATCAAGCTCTATAGTTCTGTTCTTGAGCTATGCCAAGCGGGTAACCGAGGGCGTCTTCATGCCCTCAGTAATCTCGCGAGTGCAATCATGACCCGCTACGAACTGCAAGCGTCCCTCACGGACCTTGAAATCTCCATGGGTTACTTCCGCGAAGCCCTCGAAATCTGCCCCAGAAACAATCCAGACCATTCTATATTACTCGATAACCTTGCAACCACCCTCCGCAAGCGCTTTCAACACTCCGGTGACATAGTTGACTTGGAAACAGCTATCGAACATCATTATGAAGCGCTACGTTTCTTGCCATCATCTCACCCCCATCGCTCTGACACACTGTGCTTACTTGGAAATGCTCTCCAGTCCCGGTTCTTGTTTCAGGGTGATTCTGACGATCTGGATGCAGCTGTAAACCACTACAGCGAGGCTCTAGACCTGCGACCTCCATCACATCCAGAACGCCCTGATTTGTTAAACAACCTTGCCAACGTCGCTTGCAAATTATTTACTGAACGTGGAAACCCATTCCATCTCAACCTATCCATCGACTCCTACTCTGAAGCGCTCCTATTTAGCCCAGAAGGGTATCGTCGGTCATTGTTGTTCCACAATTTCGCTTCATCTCTTACGATGCGTTTCGTATACCACAATGACCCCAAAGACCTGGATCGGGCATTGAAGCTTGGCGCTTCTGCCTTGGAACTACGTGAAAGAGGCGACGAATATAGAGTCTCCTCTCTCGTGGTGCTAGCGAATGCAAATGGTCTCAAGTATGAACTCGAAGGTGATCCCACCATACTCCAAGCTGCATTCCAGCATCTCGACGAGGCACATGGTATCTGCACACCTGGCCACCCGTACCTTCTCGACATCTGGGAAGAATATTCTCGTACCCACCTTCATGCCTACTCCAAGGCACCGCAATCTGTAGACCATTTGGAGGAAGCATTTCGGTATTTTAGGCTTGCATCCTCTCACATATCCGGGGGCTCGCTTCCAAAATTCCGCATTGCATTACGATGGGTGAAAGAAGCAGAGGTGCACCATCACTCATCCGCATTGGATGCCCACCAGACTGCCTTGAGCATTCTCGACCGCCACGTCACGACGAAGCCATCCGTGGAATCACGACATCGCACAGTCCGTGAATATGCAGCCTCTTTGGCTGTAGACGCTGCATCTTGCGCCCTCAGACATGGGCAGGTCGCACTCGCCGTGGAGATGCTGGAGCACGGACGAGGGCTTTTATGGGTGTACCTTGCGCGTTTTCGGACGCCGCTGGATGACTTGCAGAGCGCCGGCGAACATGGATGTCAACTAGCTGCCGAATTTAGGAGGCTGAGCCCCCTTCTAGAAGACGCAGCATGTGATGCCGTGACTGAAGAGAGGTTGCAGAACTACCGACGTCTCCTTAGGGAATGGGACGGAGTGGTAGATCAGATTCGGCTCGTAGACGGGTTCGGCGATTTTCTTCTCGCAGCGAGTTTTTCCAAGCTCAAGGAAGCTGCCAAGAATGGGCCAGTGATCATTACCAATGCGAGCCGATATTCTTGCGATGCAATAATCGTCCATCATGACCATGACCCAATCCATATCCCCCTGACCGACATCAACACATCTGATATTCTGCGACTGTCTTCCCAGTTCAGGGTGTTTATTATGAATCCTTCAATTCGCGGCGGAGAACGTTCCAGGGAAAAACAGCTGACAGAGTTACTTCGTCGAATATGGGACGCTATCGTCCTTCCTGTGGTCAGAAGACTAGAATCCTCTCTTCACCTCCCCAAAGGCTCGAGGATATGGTGGTGTCCCACTGGTCATTTCAACAGTATCCCGCTCCATGCGGCAGCGCCGTTCCGGAAAGGTGAGAAGGGTCTGCCCAATCTCTACATCTCATCATACACCCCAACACTTTCTGCCCTCCTGCGGTGCCAAAAACCACGTCACGCCCCTAACGACAAGAACCCGCCACAGTTTCTGGCGATAGGACAGGCAGAACCTGCAGGTGGTTTTGCACAGCTCGAGACTGTCGATCGAGAACTCGATTCAATTCAGAGAATCTTATCACCGGCCATACCAATGACACGGATGACTGGTGAAAACGCAACCCGCGCGCAGTCCCTCCACGCTATTCATTCAAGTTCCTGGGTTCACCTTGCATGCCACGGGAAGCAAGACGCGGCCCGCCCTCTCAAATCCTGCTTTGCCATGAGTGACGGTCCTCTGACCCTCTTGGACATTGTTCGCGCACCAGCAGATTCCGTGCAGCGCTCGGAATTTGCGTTCCTGTCAGCGTGCCACACAGCTGCCGGGGATCGTACAGCTCCAGATGAAGTCGTACATCTTGCCGCTGCGATGCAGTTTGCTGGCTTTAGGGGAGTTGTTGGAACCATGTGGGCTGTGGATGACGCTGTCGTGGTCAATATGGTCTCGGCGTTTTACGAGGCCCTCCTCGAAAAATCACCAGACGGACTGAATGCTGAGCATGCAGCAGTGGCTTTGAATGCAGCCGCAAAGAAAGTGGATAAAACTGTTGTTCCACTGGAACAAAGGATTGTGTTCATCCATATCGGAACGTGACTAGGAAGATATCATGTAAAACGGTACATACCAGTAAAAGGCTAGATACAAATACATTGTATTATTTACGACTCCTGGAGGCGACGCGTTTACTTTTCCCTGGCCTCTTACTACCTCCTGCACCTCCTCTTCCTGCCTTTGGTCCATGTCCTCCTCTTTTTCCTGGTACAGAATCGAAATTGTCCGTGGAAGCTTTGGTATTTTGTTTTGACCTCCGACCTTGGCCACCGAAGCCGAATTTTTGATCGCGTGCGTTACGCGCCATTTTCTTCCCGCCCGGACCTTTGGCGTGCTTAGCAGGTCTGTCAGCAATGGCATCTTCAACTGCGATATCAAATGCATCAGCATCTGCACCATCCGCCTCAGCATTTTCGAGGGCGCCTTTGCGTTCTAAGAGGGGACGACAATGAGTTGAACACATCAGAAGAAATCCAGTCTTACTTCTTTTGAGTCCCTTGAGTCGCTCCTCCATGTCCTTTTTACTACGTTCTCTCTCCTTCAGCTTCTCCATCTGCACCTGCTTGCCAAACTTCTTCCCCTCTCTTTCTCTTCTCTTTTCTTCAGACTTCTTGATCCCGGCACGTTCATCGAGTAAGCGCGAGCGAAGACGTTCCATGTGCGAATCGGACTTGACCATCTCTGCAAAATAGTCTGAGGGGCGCGTAAACGGCAGAGAATGAGAGGCAGCAAGCGTGCGGGCAGTATTGGCAGCATGTAGGGCTTGCTTATAGCTAGATGTAAAATGAGCTTTCACCAATGCGGAAAGCGCAGAACAAATACTCACAATGCAAGTTCGCGATTGAGGTCGTCATCTACATCGACTTCAATTTCTTGAGGGTACGATATAACGAGGGTATCTGTCCATGGTAATGATGGGTCGAGTTGAATTGTCTCTCGTATGCGACGAAGAGCAACCTGCATTCAAAAATTATTTTCATGAACTTCGCATCTCAATGAATGGATGAACACATACGGTGTTGTCGATTTCGACTTTTTGTTTTGGGACCACATCTTCGTCAATATGTCCATCTTCGAGATCATCAAGTGCAATCTCCTCTTCTTCATCTTCTGAACTATCTGGCTCCGCTCCGCTCCGTTCCTCAGTTTCTTCTTCCTCTTCCTCTTCAACCTCCTCATCACTGCCACCGTCTGAGCTCTCGTCGAATTCGTTGAGCTCGGCGAGACCATCTTCTCCAAGAAGTTCCATCAGCTTTTGTATTCCTTCCTCTTCAACGCCGTCGTCGTCCTCCTCGTCACTTTCACCTTCATCCTTTTCAATACCTTCGCTTCCTGCGCCGTCATTATCTTCGTACGATGGTTCTGCTGGTGCTGGCGATTGGGCTTTGGCGGGCTGCCTTTTATTTTGTTTCGGGGCGGAAATCTCTGTCTTGGACTTCTGCTTCTTCATACTTGCTCCTCCTTTGATGCGTTTGGCGTCCGATGGCATGACAGGGAGAGGTCAACTGGTAATAGAAAAACGATAGTCGCCGTTTCAGGAACCGAATTTTGGTCCTAATGCGGTAAGCAGTATTTCAAAATTTAAATCAAACTCTCTTCATCGTTCACGAGAACACGAGAGCTCAGATACGCGACACAGCTATACTGATTCATCAGCTCGACAATGTGAGATATTGAAAATGGGTGGGCATGCAAGGCTTGGAATTTTTCTGGATACTGATAGCTTTTCAGAGGCCAATTCTTTTGCAAGGCAAAATCGACTCGAGACAGCTCGAGACGGACAATTGAATGTCAATTTGTAAGAGTCATCTGGAGATCGTCGTCTAATTGTCCGTCTCGCAGATCACGCGCACGAACGATCACTCGAGTTCAACGGAGAAGGATACTTGCTGTTCTCATGCTCCAAAGACTACATCATCAACGTTTGGTTCTCGCACAATGGTACATACGTATGAGGGGGTTCCAACGACACAGTATAGGCGATCGACGTTGATCGTACGACTTTCTTTTTGCGCAATGGTAATGCTGATCTTGAACGATGTTCGGCAGCACAATCAAGACTCCTTGTATCTGGATCCGCCGACAATGAGCTACGCCTATGGAACGTGTCAGATGGCAAATGCCTATATGTCTGGGCGACTATGAAGCGTGTCGCATTTAGCGACGATGACGAGCGCGTCATATGCCTTACTGAGCAGCGCATGGGCTACTAAGGTGCCACACGAGCGGTCAAGCTGAACCGTGACGGGGTCGGAACAACTCGTGCGTAGATAAAGGTATCACCCTCGATCATCGCTGATGGCACTGGCCACCAGAATTACAGGAACAGGAATATATTTTCCATCCAATAGGGTCCAAGGCAACTGTTTGCGCATTCACATACACACTAGACATGATCTTAACTAGTCACGAGTTCGGAAAAGTTGCTCTTTGTATCGTGAGTGGGACGGAAGTACTTAAATAACGAGCGTGCTCATATAGACGTTGTCACCGGCTTGCAATTATTCCCCCGATCGCAGCTATTCTGTAACAAGTAGCAAAGACAGGACTGCTCAGATGGGTCTAGCTACCGACGACAAAGGTACTTGGTTAGTCTAGATACACGACACAGGAACTCTCCGAGCACTAAGGACCATTACAACAGAGACGCCTTTGAACAGTGCATCACTAGCACCCGACGGACCGTACGTGAGTCTGTAACCTGTGTGTTTTAGCTTTTGCTCACAGGCGGGCTATTTCTTCAGGTTCTAGTAGATGGTTGTCAAGAAGGATGCAGGTCATGACTACGTCGCTGCAGCAAGGCAAATTCGAAACCCGTTTCCGGTATAAGGGTTGCCAAAGTAAAGGGTTTTCTCGAACCCACCAACACGTAAGTTCCCAGATTTACATACTAGATGTCAGTGATCACTGACGTCGTCATACGAGCCTATTCATTCGTGTTGCTGATTGAAGAGACTCACTTTGTAGATACACATTCTCGAGGGGGCTGATACCTTGGCAACTTGCAAGCATAATCGTCACGCACATCCTTCACGGTTGAGTGCAGGTCACGTGTCATTGTAGGCTTCAGCGATCGACTCCCATCGACTCTCGTCACTCGTCTGTTGTCACTCGACCCTACATCATATTAACGTTGCACGAACGAGAAGACCCCAGGTTCGATCATATAATCAGCGGAGGTTCGGAAAATACCTATTCTAGAGGTTTATGTACTGCCGAGACCCTAGTATCCCTATGGCAAGACCTATCGAGTGGTGGTACACTGGCTTGGATTTCTTGTTATCATTTCCTGATGTTGACCTCAAGGCTATCTGTGAGTGTTTCCTGATGCTGCACTGCCTAGCATGCAAGAGGAAGCTCTTCGTAGTCATTGAGTGACGTGATGTCCCTTGTGAGACACTGCCAATCGGCTGGTCTGCCTAGCCCTGGTGGTGCCTAGAAATGCTGTCAACGTCGGCATCTGAGTCCGACAATTCGATAATCTCAGAGACGAATATATTATAAGGGTCCTCAAGCGCCACGTATATAGCTAAGAACTTCAACATTTGCATGTAACAGTAGGGGTCACACTTTCCTTGTTGTCTGCTGAATTCTGATGGCGTCCGACTCCGACTCCGACTCCGATTCCTCTCAACTAGCAGGTGAGTGAAAAGTGGCCATTATGTTGTACTCTTACAAATCCTTTGGAAAGTTGCGGCGTCGGTATCGCATGGCATTGCTATTCTCTGCACTGTCTTCAGGCTTGTTTACAGAGGTTGGATGCGTCAATTGTGGTGGGAGGATGCATGGGCGGCATTTGCACTGTTCTCAGACGGTATATTTTCATTGCATGCTGCCGTGCTCCATAAACCAACTACTGTATCACCAGTTTTTTGCATGGTATGGATCTGGACCCATTACTTGATACAATGTGAGTACTTGATTTCGCACTCCAAATTTATCTTACGTTTATATCAGTCCCTGCCGGGGTCTTCGGAGTGGCTTTTACCTCCGTCATGTGGTGCGCATCACAGCTCACTCAGTTATACTTTCAACTCACAGGTCCAGGGCTGCGCGCATGAGCATAATTTTCTCCATCATCCGAGTCGCCAATCGCTCAGGTTACAAGATCCACAAACGGATCACCTATCTCATCGCAGCCTCTTTTGTGTGCATGTGGGTCGCGGTGGCCGCGCAGAAGATCACCACCTGCATCTACAAATGCCAGACGACCCACGCGGTGGCAGTCTCGCAACTGATCAGTCAGTATATCTTTCTACTTTCTGTGCCTGCAGCATGTGATCCTCGAGTTATGGGTTCCTACAGCGGACGTCGTGGCGGATGTTTCCCTCATTGCTGCGCCGCTGCATTTCTGGAAAAATGTAGGACTCTCGCGTCATGGAAAAATATTGATACTCTCCGTATTTGGCTCATCACTTCTAATCACAATTGTCACAATCCCCCACTGTATAATGCTCTTCCAGTCCGCCACACAAACTACGCTCATCTTCGCCCATGTCAAGGTAAGTATACTTTCTTACTCTCACCCTTCTGCAAAATCTGACGGAAATTAGACTGCGCTCAGTCTCGTGATCTGCAACGTCCTGGTGATCGTCACCTTCGCATACCGCGTCTGCTGGAAGGAAACACTTGATCCCGACAAGTCGTTAACATCAACCGGAATCTTCTCGAGTGTCGTCGTAGCACAATTCCCGTTCAACACGATTTCCAGGGCGTCACCCTCTATAAATGAGGAGACAGCTACGGCGCAGACTGTGCAGGGGATGAAAAATGCAAGCGCGTTTTGTGCCGAAGAAGGCACCAGCACTGAGAGATAGAAGGGGAGGATGGCGGGCAGTGATCGATCGCTAGGGATTTTTCCAAATATGATGTTAGCGCGCTTTTTGCCTTACGATATGCTTTATATGCTGTACGCTTTCAAGCTAGTGAAATTTCAGTGTCAGTGGCTCATCTTTCAATTTTCTTGCATTGCAGTCTGGGTGTTAGCTCGAGTTCCTGATTATGAGTATCTGAGAAGGACATCGAACCAGCGATGACCATGAAACTATGTACATCAAGGAGGCCTTTATATTCTGGTCGAGGATCAGCATATAGATCGAACGTGGAGTTAGAACACGCTGGAGTAGGGGACCCCTAGGCAGAGGGTGAGAGGGAGAGAAGGTTTGGCGGTGTTTGGCCCGGAGTTAGCCGAGTAGAGCGTTGTCAGAGTAGTCGGATGCAGTAGCAGACCTTAAGTCTTTGGTTGTCTAACGATAGCAAGCCTTCGTGTATAACCCACTCCAATACACACCTATGAAGGAGCAGCTTGGAATCAGAGTGCATCAACCTGTGCTCGGATTGAAACAACAGTCGGGAGGAGTCACCTCATTCGTCAGTTTGCCGTCCAGAGTGTTGCATGCCGCTTGTCACGAATTCCTAATACGAACCATTTTTCGTTTCTCGGTTTTCCTTCGGCTACTTCCAGTACCCGAGCCGGTCACGTGACTCCGCGTCATAAGTCACCCGTTACTTCTCTGATTGGTTCCCCTACTCCACGGGCTAGAACAATCTCGATTCCCAAAGAAGAACCGGTCGGAACTTGGGTTTCTGTTTAGTTGCCGTCTTACTCATCTGCTTATATATCATGAGTCATCTTTAGTCATCCGCAGTAGTCGTACGACCTTTTTCTTATTGGCTGATTTCTTTCAGACTCCTATTCAATGTTATGTATAAAAGTAGGGTAGTTAGCGTAAGAGCTCCTTAGACTTAACCTCTTTGTTTCTACTGTTGTAGTAACCTAGACGTTCAACGCTCAATCCAATCCTGTTACTCATCGTCATCTCTGACCGAGTCCTAGTAGTCGTGAACTCTCCTTCAACATTATTGTTGGACGTGGGTCATAACATTAGGTTAAGTCTACTTTACCACTCCGACTTGAACTTTGTCTTGGACGTCACCGTTCTCGACGAACTTCGTAGTGCTGTTCTGCTCGAGAATATTCTCGCGGATCACGTTTTTTGTCAACTCATCATTTCCCCGACGCGCTTTAGTATCTCAGTTTCTTTACGTTAGTCTTTTAGTAGAAGTGGACCAGGCCCTCGTCTTACACGAGCCGCCAGTTCATAAGGATCAGCGACTTTAGGTCCTG